ATTATGTCTTGAAAGAGAATTTTAACAACTTTTATATAGTAAAATATTAGAGATAAACTCTAACAAAAAATATTGTGTCTATATATACATATATTTTGAAAATTTTACCTAATTATTAATTTATAATATTGATGGGACCATATATTTACAAAGGATTTTCAAAAAAAATATTATCTTATTATTTTATCGAAATGTGTCTAAAATTGCACTGGTCCCAACTTGGGACCGGAGAAATTTATTAATTTATAGAGATTATTAATTTATCGAGTATTAATTTATAGAGGTTTTACTTTATAGTGGAGCCAAGCTTCTCTTTTGGTCCATTAACACAAATGTCAAGGAGATCATACCTGAAAAGCCACCATTTATAGTTTATTCATTCACACTAAGTGAACAAAAACAAACATATAGGTTCCAACTTTGAACAAAGTAACATACCCTAAGAGATCATTAGCTTTCTTATACAACTCTCCAGCTACTGCAACACTCTGAGCCTCTTTACCCATTCCTATAATTGATTAGCTCCCTGAGATATTGCAAATTCATCACAAAAGAGTTGACATGATTCTGTTATGAGTTGACATGATCTCAAAAGAGTTTTCTTCAGAACTTGTAGTTGAACTTTCCCATGTCCACCACATGATGATTGGAGCTATAGACCATAGTATGTGAGACGATGAATAATTCGTCATTTTAGGTAAGATTTGTTGCAGCCTAGTTTAAGTGGAAGGTAGTTAAACATCAATGCAGTTCATTAATCTGATCTCCAGTATGTTTTGGCCTAGTTTAGTTTAATGGTAAATAGAGTATGACTTTGAAGAGGATGATTATCGAAGAACACACCTTTTATTATTGGTAAACTTATAATCGGTAAGAAAAAAATCAAAACACTCTCTATTATGAGGAAAATAACAAAAGTACAAAGGTTGGAACCACTTTCAATAGAGCAGTTGACCCATCATCTTTAACATATCAATTACCAACAAATCCTTTTTTCATTTAGAAAAATAAAAACAAAAACCCACAAGTCCTTAAGATCCAACGATACAAGAATTTTACTAGCATCTTGGAAGATCCAACGGTGGAGCCTGAACTGATTGCAACTGTCCACGACCGTTCTCGACTAGGAAAACCATAGCCAAACCCCATCCCAAATGTGAATCAATGTGACAATGCATAAACCATGCTCCTGCATTACATACACAAAATTATATGTCAAATTTTGTATTTTTTTCATTAGTGAGTCAATAAGATCACTTTAACCTATGATTAAAAAGTATCAAAATGCTTTTGAGTCAATAAGATCATCTAACCTGGATTATCAGCAACAAACCGGATTGCTACCCAACCTCCTGGAGGTGTACCAATGGTGTTCCTCTCTGGTGGATCAAATAGGTTAAACCTAGCCGGGTCTGTTCTCGGATTAAAGTTACCAAAACCTGACCCGACAACGTAGAATTGGTATCCGTGTAGATGCATGGGATGATTCTCAGGCGTGACAATGCTAGTGTCTTGTAACACGATTTGAACATGAGCTTTGTATTTAAGCTGGTAAGCTTTGGTTCCTTTTATTGGCTGCCATAGCGCGCGGCTAACGTTACCGGTGTAATCATATTGCACCGGTGGAACAGGTGGGAAATCAGTCGTGAAGATTCCGGGGATGCCTTGGTAGTAAGCTTGCATGACAGAGTTCGTACGAGGTAGCACGAAGGACATGTTGTTCATGCTGGCCGCGAATCTTGTCCCGTTAGGACCTTGGCAACGTGGACTGTTTGGGTTGACGCAGTTGATTAGTCCCAAACCGACAGTGAAAAAGAGGTTCTCGTCGATTTGTTGTGGTACTGGAGCTCGTTTCCAGTAACGCAGACGGTTGGTGAATGCGGTTGCGGTTGCGGTGTCGTTGAACCCGGGAAGGACAGGGAAAACTGGAGCGATCTGACCACGACCACGGCCACGTCTTGTTGGAGCGTTGACGTACTCTAAGATAGCTGTCGTGGTTGTGTTGTCGAACGGTGCGTTTGCGCTGTTGTAGGCTCTAGCTGCCATGTAGTAACGGCCAGGTCGCTGGTTTGCAGTGATGAGGACGTTAGTGGTTTGACCAGGACCGAGCATGATGACATTTGTGGTGAATGGTTTTGTGTATGCGGAATCAGTTTCAACGACCGTGAGCTGGTGGTTAGCCACTGAGAAGAAGAGCTCTTGGTTCATACCAGCGTTGATGACACGGAGCTGAACCGTCTCGCCCGGGAAAATTGGAAAACGCATGGTCCCGGCCCGCGAGCAGCGGTAAAGATCGCCTGGTTGACCGTTAATAGTGTAAGCGTCAGAGACATTAGCTGCTGCTCCCGTGAACTGTGCTTGCCTCAAAACGTCCATTGGGTTTCTATCCCACCATTCCCCTATTTTTCATCACATGTACATACTTAATTAGTATTAGCCGTGACAATAAAAAGTACAAAAAATGCAACTTGAAGTGGTTAGAAGTTTATAAATTCTTACCAAGAAGAATTGGGATGTCACGTTTAGGCATAGAGAAGGGATAAGGAGAACCGAGACGAGGGTAAATGATGAGAGCACCATAGACAGTGGCTCTGAGCCAACGGCTATGAGCGTGCCACCAAAGTGTACCCTCTTGGTCCTCGATTGTGAATTTGTAAGTGTAGCTTTGACCTGGACGGATCGGACACTGTGTTATGTACTCAGGACCATCAGCCCATGGATTCCTCATCTGTCTGAGTCCATGCCTGTATCAAAAACAGAGTATTAAAACAGAGCAGAACATGACAACATATGTTTGTTAAATATATATATAATGATCAAATCTATTACCAGTGGATACTAATGTTGTAACGGGCCCTGTTGATAACAGTGATGGCAAGAGAGTCACCGTTCCTGACCTCAAGCGTTGGACCAGGGAACTGACCGTTCACAGTGATACTTTGGTGAGTTCTGCACAGCCTCTTCACTGGTCTAGGCTCAATCTAAAGTCATCGTTGATTACACTTAAATTAATCACATTCATTACACGTAAAAACATACCAAAAAATAAGCTTTAATGTAACATGAGTAGCTTAGCTTACCACGAATTCACGGACGTGAAGCTCAGCGGAAGCTAGGAATGCAAAGTAGGCAAGAAGGGCGATGATGGATACAAAGGAGAGTCGCCGAAGAGACTCCATTGTTGCTAGCTTTTGTGTTGGTGATATTTTGTGATGTGAGTTTAGAGAAAGATGTAAAGAGTGGTATTTATACACAGTAAGCGGGAAACAACAGAGCTTTTGGTGAATTCGTTAGCAATTAGGAGGAATTTTTATTATATTTTACTAAAGTGGAAACTAATATTAGGTTTATAGAGTCAGCAGGAAGGAGAAAAAATGAAAAAAAAGTTCACAATGGGTTAAGTTGATTCGGTGCACCCACTTGACTAATTTTGGTACTAGGAAATCATACAATTCGAAATTTTATCAAAGATTCTTTTTATAGACTTTATTTGTTTTAACTTTTTAATTAGGAAGAATCAGCTAAAACAACATTTTCAATAATTAAGGTTTTGGATACATGTTATTCTAAAAGTTAGAGCACTTAATTAGAAGATGTTCACGTTCATCTCTTCTCTTATAAAATTCCAAAGTTCACGTTCTTAATTAATTAGCGTACGTTCACATTCTTTAGTAGCATACGTTTATGCCTTTATGGTGTGTTGTCACCTTCAAGTAGGTTTTAGAGTTACTTTAATAATTACTTTTGTAAATACGTACGGTAATAATATTGTGGCCGGGGGTCTAATTAACACGGCTAATCACATTGAATCATTTCGTCAAAAAGGAGAAACTACGTTCTCGACTCACTCTCGTGTGTGTCACTATTTAACGAAAATACACAACTACTGAACTGTGGAGTTGTTAGTTCAACTACTGAACGTCGTCTAAATCTTTGCGACTTGTATCCAAGTCTTTTATACTCCTTAGTTTCTTACTACTTTTGTTTCGTTATTGGTTTCAAGAAGTGATCTCTCTAAGCTCTCACTTTTACTCTAAAAGAGTAATATATAAAGGTTGCCTACACGATGCTTAGTATTAGAGTTAACTTGGGGAGAAAGCACACATAGACGGATTTTGACAGCACATATTACTTGATTAGTAAAATACACAATTTTCTCCCAAAGTAATTCTAAGTAAACATATTTAGATCTATCAAGATTGTCTCCTAGAAAATAAAATAAAATTCTAAGTAATCATTTAGTTTCATTTTATTTTGTGCGTAGAACACATATTTATGTGTTAGTTGCACATACTAGGAGCGCTTGTAATTGAAAATAATAATGAGGAGATGGAAAAAATGCAGAAGTGGTTCAATGGGAGTTGAAATTTGTGGTATGGATTTGGTATAGAAGTCTATAACGAAGTAACTAACTAACCTTTATTTTTATAATAAAATGTTAGTTGACCATTTCAGTCGCTCCACACATACCCACTCACACCCTCGATTCTATATATTCGTTTACATATAGATAAATACATATTAATTTAGATGTTAATCAACTCCTTAATTTGAAACCTCTTATTGTAATATAGATACAAAACCTCTACACTTAAATGATACATATAAACCTGTGAAGGTGCACCGGAATAAATATATTTTTAACGACAATCAAGCTGCTATGTACTACTTACTATCTAATATGACTTATTATTTTACTAAAAATATTAACAATCAGTAATATATTTTTCTTTATAATTAAAGTAAATGTGTTATTTGGGAGGAAGCAGGTTTTAACTAACTTTAATCAAATCTGATATCCTCGAATTGAAAAAAAAGATCATTAGCTTTCTTAACTCACACCCAACCAAGTACATCTTGTATTAAAAATTAGGTTGCCTGTAAATTGACATACTTGGTAATAAACTAATAACGCAAATATACGAGAATCATGTGGCTTTCATCTTTATTTTTAATTATATTTCCTTATAACCGAAGAGTTCTTTCGTATGGTTTCTTACAAGAAGCTGATTAATTAGCTATTAAGAATTAAATAAGTTTTCAGGACGTCCACATTAAAAAAAATAACATGTTAAAATGAAAGAAAGAAAAGCAAATCATAAAATTGTTATTTTCTTAACTCACGGTAAAATTATTGTTTTATGGCTAAGTATCTCGTCCATATATTTAGGTAACATAGATAAACTAAGAATTAGTTTATTATAAAAGCACCCAATTGATCTATAAGGCCATGAATTTGTGTCGTGGTAAGGCAAATTAACTAAAATACATTGTTTAGTTAATAAATTTTGTAAATTGTAGTGATTTAAGCCCTACGCCACTTTTGAATCTGAGCATCTATGAAGTTCCCTAGGTATTTGTAAGCCGTTTCGGTGGGATGAATTGAGTCCCAAAACAAGTGATCCGAATGATTTGAACAAGTATTTGAAAAGGAATTGCACATGAAGCTCGATTCCATATATCCTGTTCCACAACATCCTTTCTTCGTCTCCTTGAACCCTGTTTTTCATTTGTACCAAGATGAGCGTATATAATGCATAAATTAGTAAGTAGATGACTTGTTAAACAAGGAAGAAATTATATGTACCGTATTTGCTAGGGTTTTTGATCATGTCCATAACAGGGTCGTAGACGTTGGCGTAAAGGAACTTGCTCCCTGGTAGAGACGCTTGGATCTCAGGCAGTTTCTTTGCTAGTTTCTGATTGTACAAAACGGAGTCTTTGTTCTCTTGTTCCACACAGTATCTCAAAATGTTTCTCATTTTCATGGTCATTTGGATCGGTAAACATCCCATCGGCGGCAACCCTCCCACCATAATATTACGGCAACCTAAACTGTAAAGCTCCTGCACTCAAGAAGAAAATATTCGAGAGTTAGCACGAAAAATATAACAAAATAGCTATAAAAATAAAATAAAATAAACTGTCACAGGTGACCTAGAGACACAAAATTTCTAAATTTTACCCGGACAAAACCGTCAAGCCTCTTGAGGACAAAGTCTTGGTAACCATAGATAGTAGGATACTCGAGACGCCTCGTGGGAATATCATAAAAGTTCAAGATGAAATCGTTAGGCCCTGCGCTTATGACCACTAAAGCGTTGTTAATGATCTCCATTGCTTTCTTGTCTCCTACGATACCTTTGAGACGTGAAATGTAATTCTTAAACATGCTTGGTTGTTGTGAGACCGGGATCGCATAACTCGAGAGCGAGGTCCGGTCATCGTAGCCTGCACCAGCTGATGCAAAACAGACCCCAGTGACAATGTCTTGGTCAGAGATATTCGGTTGTAGAAACGGAGGAACGAACTCTTTGATCTTGAGTTTAGTGGAGATTACGTCAGAGATTAGCTTCCCGTTTGAGAATCTTCCGTTAGCTTCGTGGCCGGGAAGATCAACACCGTAAGGAAGATGTTTAGCCTTGAAAACGGCTTGTGGGTAGTAGTTGTTGTTGCCCGTATCTGCGGTTGAGTCGCCGAATATTAGAATCGCCGGGAAAAGCGGCTGCGTTGTGGCGTTTGCAGCCGCGTTGCAAGACACGAGGAGTGTTGCGACAAAGAGACCAAACACTATGGTCTTAGATATAGACATTGTGTGTATTTGATCCAGTCGCTTCGTGTTATTTTGAGTTTTCTTTAGTGTTGAAAATTTGTTGGGTGATGGTGTTTTAAAGAGATATTGTAACTTTGCAAGTAATGTTCTGTTGGAGTGACTTTATTTTTGTACTAGATTTCCAAAAAATTAAGTGTTTGTTTTCGTAAAACAAATAGATTTAAATAGAAGCTTTGAATATTAATGAGATTGGGCAAATAAATAACAAATTGGAAACAATTGCGTATATGTATTTTGTCGTCTGAAACAATTATATCTATCGAAACGAAAATTTTACTATTTTTTGTTAGTTCACTTTAAATTTATTTAGAATTTCAATTCAATTTATCATACGAAATAATATGTTGTCAATTAGTCCTATTGGTTGACTTGGATTTACTATTTTTAATCAAATTTTCTTGCAATTTAATAAATATGTATATTAAATTCATTTAATTTTGGTCTTGGACTATTGAATGGCTTTTAAGTTCAAAGATGCACAACATATACAGTATACTAATTAACAACATAACGTATCATGAATAAAATGTTAAGTAACTTAACAAGTTGGCTTTTTCATTTAAGGACTATGATCGTCGATAACGCAAGAAATTAAAATTTGAGTTGCATTACTTCATTTGTAACCAACGTTATAATTATGTTACAAAATTTTATGGGCTGTGTCAACATATTAGGGCCCAAACGATAATGATATATGTAGGTATGTGTTTTTTCCATAAGTATGGGCAAAGGAAAGTGAAATTAATGTAAGAACGTTAAAGGAAACAGTTGGAACTTGGAAGTTGGAACCCATAATGAGATTATGAAATGACACCAATCGAATAAGAGATCTAGTTAAATAGAATTACACATAATTCAAGCTCATATGCTTTAATATAAGTACATGTTATATTTATATGTATAGACATGATTATGTTTTTTTTTTAAATGAAAATGTGGCTCAAGGTCGACGGTTCAATTTTTGGGGTTATGACAAAAACCATTTTTCTTGTTAAAATATGAAACAGGTTTAATAGTGAACAATGTTAGTATATGCATATACATGTCTACATCTTTAACAAAATCTCTTAAAATGTAATTTGGATTTTCCTCTGCCGTCAACTATGCTAGTTCTTAAGATAGAGCAACATGCACTACTACTAGATCATATAAAGACAAGAAAAGATCTTACTCACGAGATACAATCCAAATCAACGCGTATTTATCGACTGGAGATATCATATCTAAGATAAAAAGTCTTTTATGTTATTCTCTTGATTTGTCGTTATACCAATCAGGTTCTTCCCCCTTAAAGCTATATGTTAATCTTCTTAATTTTGTAGAATTCAAACTCAAATATGTAATGCGGATTTTGCGTTATAGGATTAGATCTAACCAGCGCCGCCAACTTAACATAATATAGGGTACGTCGGACAAGTAACTTACCTATTGTTTCTTGGTTAAAAATATACTTCTATCTTCATTTTTTTTTGGGTGTTTTTGGCCATGAGGGTTTGATCTAAACCTCTATGACTAGTCTTGGAAGGCTGGAACCGGGGCCTGGCTATACCAAGAAAAGGTATCACTCTCCTTACCTAACATATAACTTGGGATGGTTCATCAACACAGCTCAAAATCTTTCAGAACAAAAATGTAAAACTGTAGTTTTGTAACTGAGCTAGAAAACTAGTCTTTTTTATTCATTGCACCATTTGACCAAAAATGACAGCTATATATTTATAGAGACAAGCAACCATTTTAATTAAGTTAATCGTTTTCGTTTCTTGTTAGGATTGATTTAATATTATAAGGACCATCATATATAGTTTCACCAGCATATGTTAAACTCAAACTTTTGTCATACAATTTTGTCCCAAATTTTAAAATATACTAAAGATTTGAAGATCACGATGACTGCCCTTGAACGAGTAAGTTGTTTATGTTAAAGAAACTTTGTAATGGAACTCTTTTTTTCTAATATACAGAAAGTTAAAGTTTTATCCCCTAGCTAGAATATTATTATACTGTCAGTCGTATAATATAATGATTTCAATCGACTGATTCCTACGTTAACATATTTAGAATATTATTCAGATACTTAATATAGAATATTGTTTTCTTGCATAAACTAGTTCAAAAGTAACAAACAAACAGAAAAGGTCTCCCTCAGTTCTGTCTTTAAACATTATTTAACCCTTTGTTTTTTCACCAATATATAACCTCATTCAACTAACATAATTAATTATATGGTTCATATGATACATAAGTGTTGTCCAATCGAGGATACAAGACAGACTTGACTCACGTTCTTCAATTAATGGAATCGTCTTTGTAAGTTTCATAGTTTAGTTAATACGTTTCAATTCAATCATAACTATACAAACACCCAAAAAATAAATCTTGTGGTGCGCACGAGGTTTATTCTTTGATGATTAGAAAAATAATGAAAAATCATGAGTTTTCGTATAGATTAATAATTAATCAACTTCAGCGCCGCTCGTACGTAATAGTCGGTGCCACAAAAGCTCCGTGCTACGAAGCTTCCTCTTACGTACTTGTTTATTAAAGGGGCATAAATCATTTGCATGAATATGTTTTTGGGTTTTACCAAAACCTTAATGAAAGCATCACCATTAAGTTCTTAACCATTCAAGGGGAGGTTAAGGCCTCGAGAGTCGAGAGAGTCCATATACTACTATAATTAATTGATTATTGTGAGAAATCATGATCTAGTAGCTAGATTCCTTACTCGTACATTTGGTACATGCATATTGCTCTTTGTGTCTAATCTTAACATCGAATATAACGTAGTACTGTCGGTACAGTTTCAGTCTTAAGCTTTTGTCTTTTCGACTTTCGAGTGAGAGACATGCATGTGATTATAACAAAAGCTTTCGAAAAACACTGTTTTCATTAGATTCTTCCAATTAATTCGACTATAATGATGTTAATGTCGTCATAGATAAATTTATGTACTATCATCTAGTTAAACTATAGTTATAAATTTGTCTTCCATTGAATTATAGTTGGTGTTCCATCGAAATTAACGTAGTAATCATCAACATAATTATTTGTCAAGTAATTTACCAAACAATTTTTTTGTTTTTAATTCGGAATCTTATCTGATCTGTTATGTTTAAAAATAACATGCAAGAAAAAACAAGAACATCGTTATAATTTATTTTTCCAGTGACGTTATTTAATATATACACATGGATCTCCTAGTAATAACCCGAACGTAACGGAACCTCTGACCAAATTTTTCCATTTTCTTATAAAAGTTATTAACGGCTCCTCTAACTGTTTTCCGTAGTAGTTAAATTATTAATAGTGCCATGTTAAGTGTTAGAGCCTTTCGGTAATTAATTAATTAAGTACAACAATATGGTACGTACGGTTTAAAGTTCTGATTAAGAACTAAAAGTATGTAACTATATATGTGTACTTGACTCAGTAGGGGGTTATATAAGCCTTGAATCATTCTAAGTAACTCAAAAATAAAGAGATATTAAACTTATTCGATGTGATACATAGGTGATATGTATACAACTTTATATTGGTATATGTCTAGGTTTGTTGTATCTAGTTATATAGGTGATATGTGTTATAATATTTAGTAGTTTGGTGCAAAACGGATAATTCTAAATTGCTATTCTTTCTGATTAATTTTCAAAACCAATCATTTTACATAATATATTCATTTCATCAATCAAATAATTATATGTTTTAGTTGTTAGAAATTAAAACTATTAGTACAGATAGATTTCTAGACCCGAAAAAATGATAGGTATATTGACCAGAAAATGAATGTATTTTATCGTTAAAAAGTAGATTAATTGAGTGGAATAACAGAAATAAAATAGTTTTGTATAATGAGCCACTATAATAAGATTAAGGAGGGCTGCTTAAGTTAATCACAATCAGAAGAAAGGACAATTTAGTAATTAAAACATCCGTATACATTTTGGTCAAGCTTAATCTTTTTTTTTTTTTTTTATTCACTCTCTCTATATATAACCTTGTCTTGCCCACAATAACAACACACACAACAACAACATCAAAGAATAAACTTAAAAAAAAAACAACTTATAAATCCTTTTTTTGTTTTTGTTGAAAGCAAAACTTTAGGAATCTGTGTTTGCAAAAGAAGAAGATATGGGAAACAGTTTACGGTGTTGTTTGGCTTGTGTACTTCCATGTGGAGCTTTAGATTTGATCAGAATCGTACATCTCAACGGCCACGTCGACGAGATCACTCGTCCGATGACCGCCGGCGAGATCCTTCAGGCGAATCCTAACCATGTCTTGAGCAAACCTTGTTCTCAAGGAGTTGTACGTAAGATCTTGATCTTGTCCCCTGAATCTGAACTTAAGCGTGGAAGCATCTATTTTCTTATCCCTGATACTTCTTTGCCGGAGAAGAAGAAGACAAAGAAGATAAAAGAACACCGGCGCCGGAAAAGCGCTGACGTAAGTAGTGATCGTATGAGTGGTGGTGACAAGGATCTTGATACCTTAGTACCAAAACATAAGGATCTTGATCATACTTCAACACCAAAAGATAAAGATCTTGATGGTCATTGTTTGACGTTGTGTGAGAAATATTTAGAAGATGTTATGTTGTCGGAGAAGATGAGTTCCACCGGTAAAGAGAATCGTCACCGTCGGAGACATAGCCGGTCGGCGTCAGTTTCCACGTGGCGTCCTCACCTTGATAGCATTACTGAGGATCTTAATTAATTAGTAAATTTTTTCTTTTCACTCTTTCGTTAATTCTATCTCTATGTTCTTAATTTTTTTTTAAAAATCTTTTGAATCTGGAAATCGGATTTTTATTTAACATCCCCGGGGAGAAAATTTTCAAATATTTATATTTATTATGAAGTTAAAAACAAAGCTATGTAATGTACTCATGTGGATATATTGGATAAGAGATCTATGTTAAATTTGTGATCTGATCTCAGAATGTGGCAGTGTGGGAAAGATTCTAAGTTAAATTGGATCATATGTACGTAAATTGGATCTTATACGACAGGAAGTACAGTTAGGAAACAGGAACAAAACTCCAAAATGCAAAATAAATTCTTATGTAACTGAGCCAAAAAAAAAAAAGTATATGAAAATGGTAAATGCAAATTACTAATTCAATAATGGTTGACGAAAAAAATAACATTTGGGTCAAGATCAAGTGAATAATGCGATATGAGTTTCATAAAACTGTAAGTCAATATAGTAATATCAAAAGAATCTAATTTAATTAGCATAAAGAAGAGAACTATACATGTTCAAGTTCAACTGTAATGCAACGTACTTAGACTTAGACCAGTTGTTTAAAGGGTTTTTATAAAGTTTCGGTCGTTGAATATAAACAATGAATAGTGTATGATTTGTTTAATTGGTTAATAATGCGAACTCGGAGACGGCTGATTAATTAAGGGTCCAAAGAAAGAGTGTCGAGGAGACGTCAGGCAATCATGTAAGGTCGTCACATGCAGATGTAGCCATGTAGGTGGACCAATCACCAAAGTCTTGTGAAGCTGAAACAAACCCATATGTTTTTCCAAATAGTATAATAAAAAATTTCAATCATTTAAAGAGCATAGAAAGTTAATGCTATTTACTATATATGGAGAAATTATATAAAGGTCTCAATGATTATACATGAAGTAACCCGATAAGGTCATGAACTAAAAACTGTTTTTAACAAAATCTTAGGTTTAAGTTCTCACCATTAAACATGCTCTAAGAACGATATTGATTTTTTTTGTTAAGTATTTAGGACAACATTATTGGAAGGTTTTTAAAACTGAAAATGGGTATCTTAGCACAGTGTTCTGTATCGAAATACTGTGTTAAAATACCCATTTTCAGTTTTAAAAACCATCCAATAATGTTGGTCTAATACTAATGATCTAATTTAATACGATAAAATGGTTTTGGTAGTGAACAAAACATTGTGAAATGATATATTTATGTCTATCATCGAATTTTCTAGTTAAGTTTTTCTTTTAGAGTATCAGATAATGTATAAAATGAAAGAATGTGAACTAATTTTTATGAAGAATTTTTATGTTTTCTTGATAACATTATTGGAACTTAAAAGGTAGGAGATGGAGACATCTACAAGTAAAGAAAGAAAATATAATAGGAAATGAAAGCTGGCGAGAGCATCTAATTCGGCTGCCTTCACATGGATTCCCATCCTTTATGTCCCATCTCTTCTTAACACCCATCTTTTCCTTCATCACATCTCTCTTTTTTTTTTTTTTTTTAACATATTTACAAACCAAAGTTATCCAAATGGAAAAGAAAAAAGAAAAATAAGCGATACCAAATTATTAATTTATTAATTCAAAATCAATCAAAAACTAACGGAGTGCTATATAAACACTAAAAACAAATTTACAACTCTTAATTCTAAGTTTTTCAACTTAAATAATAAACTATTACTAAGATCCAAATTTAACATACCATTGATAATGATGCTCTTATTCAATTTTCACAAATCAGAAATAACTAATAACTTGCAAAACACGATGCATCACATATAGAGCATAAGAAATTCATGTGAGTTTTTAGCGGAAGAGCCAGATTATTTGGGAGATTTAAGTTTTGCTTTTACAATAGTAAAAGCTTCAATTTTTTCTCTTAATTAAGAGACTATTCTTACAAAAAATATCATTTTTTGTTCTTAACTAAAAAACTATCCGTACTCAGAGACTACTAATAATCATGATATATAGCTATGTACTACTATGCTTCGATACAAAGAGCGTGAGATTGTACCTTATACTGTAGTTTGACGTTTTGCAAAATAGTATATTGAGCTGAAAATATGAGAAATAAATGCCTAATAATAAACCTTATGAACATCAACAACAATAAATAAAAATAAATAAGAAATAGTATCTTATCATGAAAATATGAGAAATGCCTAAAATGCTGAAATAGGTATTATTATTTTTCCATCTAGGAAAGTTTACAAACTAGAGAGGTGCTAATGTTATTTACAGTATGTTGTGTAAGTATTGAAAAAAATACGAGGACATAGATCAGAATGAAGTTAACAGATGTAGCTTTCTATCTATCTATAGGATTAGTATGTCACTTAGTTTTGGTTGTCCAACACATTAAAACGCTTCATATATGAGTGATGACTCTTTCATTTGTTTTATATAGCATTGTCTGAGTTTGTTAGTCCAATAAGAAAACATGTTATGAACGAATTATAAGTATACTTTAATTTTTTGTGCATCTTTCATATGTGTAGAGAAAGAAATAAAAAATAATAAGTTTCATATATTAAGACTAAAGAAAAAAAAATACAATTATAAATAATATTTTAGAGATAAATCTATAATACGTAATATGATCAAATTTTGATTTCATTAAGTAAAAATATTTCAATAAGTGTAAAAGTCTATGTAAGTGTTAAAATAAGGGATCCACTTTTATTATTTTTTACCCATCTACATATTTTTATTTTTAACCCAGAAAATAATGATTTACTAAGGGCATCATTATCGCAGCACTCGATCGGGCCTTCGGGCATTTAAATAAACCCAATAAAATCAAACAGGGAAAACGCAAGGTCCATCCGCTTCTTCTCCAACAAGCGTTGGAGTCCGAATCTTAGGCCACGTGGCGCAGCGGGAGTGGACTAAAAATAAAGATTTTTCTTTGGTTTATTATTTTGTGTTTTGTCGAAAGAAGAAAAAATCCCCAAATCGTGTTTCTTCCTCTTTTGTTCGAACCCTAGTTTCATCGACCATGGGAACGATTTTTGATCTCTGTTCTTTCTTCTTTCTCTGTCAAACACAATCGATTTAGGGGCTTATCGAAATCCTTCATTCGAAATCCACCGTCTTATCGAAATCCTTCAATCGTTTTCTTCTCTGGGAGATCTCACCGTCTCTTAATCCACCGTCTTTGTCCATCCTCCGTCTTTGTCCACCCTCCTCCGCGTCTTATGGATCTCGGCCTTTTCCTCTTCCTAGTTTCTCCGTGTTTGTCCATCCTAGTCAGGTACAAGTCTCTTCTCAGTCTTGTTCTTATTTTGTTCACTTTCTTCTTTGGTTGAATTCACCATGTCTGTAAAGTTTACTATTGTTGATTCACAATTAACTAGCGTTGGATATTTGGTTCTCTCTAGTTCGTTATTGTAAAAGCTTATGAGAATTAAGGTTTTGATCGTTTGATTTATTGTTTAAACTCGAGTGTAAACATCATCTGTCTTTTTGTGATATTTAGGTTACGGTATAATTAGATGGCATTGGAATTATATGTTGTATTGTAACATTAAGTTGTGATTTGTTGTTTAGAAGTGGTATGATAGAGGATTTGCATGATTTGTATCTTTTCTCGGTATGTTGATATGTTGTTGAGGAGAGGTTCTGAGGAGAATGTTGGTTTACTGAGTTAACTATCTGAGTTATATTTCCAACTCTATGTAGATTTACTGAGTTAACTATATTTTCTACACTCTCTTTGACGACCAAGAATTCGTAGAAGATGGCCCGGATATTACGTTTTCAAACAATATGGCTACAAATCTCGACGGTATAGGTGATCGTCGCAGAAGAATACGTGATAAACAAGCACATCACCAATTAAAAGATGATTTGATTGAGAATATATGGACGAAATTTGGACATCTTCCAAATGATTAAAAACGTTTCTAAGTTTATTTTTGTATCTTTTTAAGTTTATGTTTTTAATTTTAAAGAATTTATGTATCTTTGATGTTTGTATCTTTTTTTTAAATATATTTTTCTTTTTCATAATTAAAGAAATAAATTAATTTTATTTTATATTATTTTATTATTATAAAATTAAGAACCAACAAGTTTAACCAATAACTATCACATTTGGTTTGGTTCTTAAATTTAACTATTCATTATTTATATAATATCCTTCCCATAAGATGCATCTTGGCAATTACGCTGATAATGATGCTCTAAGTTGAGCTCTTAGGAATATATAAATAAAGACAGAAACAGCAAACTACAACTATTACATGATGACATCCTAATAGGACTCGACTCAAGATTCCAAATTCATGATCTACCTCTTAGATACATCTATGTATAAATATCTCTCTCGTTATGAACTTATGATTAACAAAAAAAAGTTACTAAATGAAGATTTAATTCAGTTGGTTACTCTAGTATTTACCGAGATCAATGGTAGTGAAACCTTCTTCAGTAGAGAAACGTTGTGGCATTACCGTATCTCCAATCTTCTGATGCTCGAGCGCAGGCAATTTATAACTATCGTCCAAGTCCAGTGCGTCTCCTTGCTGCTGATGAACGACAAGCGCCGAGAAATGAAAATCCGGCGACGTCAACATATCTCCGATCACACCTAACTCAGGGCACTCACTCCAGTCCGTGAGTCCATACAAAACCGAAGACTCTAGGTCGTGGTCTCTACCAACTAATACCAAGTCATAGGCATCTCCTAGTGAGCTAATCGCTTGCGTCGTCTCCACGCCATCTCTCACTATCTCCTCTACGTAATGAACTTTTCCTTTGTTCGCTGCATGGCTCTTGAAATCGCTTATTAGATTGTACTCGGACATGTCGCTGTAGTCCTCGTCGTGAAGAGAGCTCTTGTGACGGAAATGTATCATCGTGACGTTAAGGTCCGGCTTCTCAGCCATCCTCATGCATAACGCTAGCGCCTCCGCGTCATCCTTGCCTCCGATGAAGAGCACTGCCACGTTATTCCACGTACTAGTCATTAAGACAGAGCGACGTCCCTCTGTCTCTCCTCTGTCTATAAATATTGCGACAGAACAAGGTGCCGCTTCCAACACGTTAAGGTTTATGTTCCGGATAGGTCCGTTGACTTGTTCGACTGTCCCGTCTATCGCGTACTGCTTGTGGAACGGAATCACTATTAACGTTGCCTTCTTGTCGAGCGCGAGCGTACATACGTCGTTGTTTATACTCGAGTAAGGCGCTGCTGCGGTAAAATGTTGCGCCATGAGAGCTCCCTGACGTATATAAAAAAAGTTTTTACAAATACTTTGAAAATATTATGTTTGAAACACAAACGCAAAAATTATGTTTGAAACGCGAACCTGATACTTTTGTTCGAAACGCTGGAAGGCGTTAACGATGTGTGTGGACTGAGCCGTGTTAGGGTCAAGTTTGTTCATCTGGTGGTGCGGCGTGAGAACTGCGTGTGCTCGACCTTTAAGCTCGACAAGGTGCAACGTAAAGAATGAGATTGGGTTAAACCGTGTAGGGTAAGTAGCTTCTAGAAGATTAACCATAGAAGGAACGTTTTCAACACTGTAGAGGCCAATGAGAAGACGGAGCTGAAGATTGTGTTGCCTTGTGTTGAGGATCGTTCGTTTGCTTTTGCTTTTGTAACGTTTTGAAGGGTCGTAAAGGTACACGACGAGGAACCGGGAAATACCAGTTACTATCAGAATCGTGATGATCACCAGATTAAAACATTCTGTGTCAACAACCTGTAAACCAAATTAAAAAAAAAATTTTACCTTAAGTTACGATAAATTTTACCAAGAATCTAAGTTCAACTGATCAACTCAACTCATAGAAGGTTAGTATCAAAATGAGTTCTAACATACTTTAGAAACCACAATTTTTAGGTTTCTTGATTTGTATATTTTATAAACAAGAAAATATATTCACCTGAGCGTCTTTCCAGACGATAGTAGTGTAGACTTCGATGATACCTTGACAACACATCAAGAAGGCCAAACAAAGCGCGTCTCCGATCTGATTTTGGCAGTAAGCAGACGCAGCAGCTGTTCCAAGGAACTTGCATCCGTAAGTGATCAAGAGAATGATCTCAATCATCATCACATGGTGCTCGTGGCTCGCTGTGATCTGAAAAAAATTAGTTTGCAGCCCACTAATGGCGATGAAACATGGGAGGAACAGATTCGAGGCAAACATCTCGAGTTTCGCAGCGAGTTCCGTGCCTAAAGGAGGACCATCAGGGAGAGAAACGCCAAACCAAAACGCTCCAAACGCAGCGTGTACTCCCATAGCCTCTCCACTAAGGCTAGCCACGGATAAAAAGAAGAGGACCGGGAAGAACGGGACAACGTCTTTTTGATTCATCGATTTGGTTTTCCTCTCTGTTAGCCATACTATCAAAGGTCTAAAGATGAAATAAATGACCAAAAGAAGAGCAACGATCATGATAAGGGCATAAAGACTATTCAAAGTCCGCTCACGGGTGTAGATATTGAACGCGAGAGCGACAAACCAGCTACAAACTTCGCAGACCATTGAGCAGTGGGTGGCTAACCTTCCTAGCTCGGAGTTAAGGATGTTAAGTTCAGCTAAGACCGTGGTTGTAACCGGGAATGAAGTCATGGAGCTCAAGGAGATAGCGCTGCTTGTACAACTAATCACGTCGCTTGGAAGTCCCAAAGTTTTACTAAAGAACATAACCGTTAGGCTTCCAAGGGAGAATGGAAAGGCGTAAGAAGCTGTACCAATGAGGATGGCTTTAGAACTAGCTTTTCTGATAATACTCCCATCAATTTTGAGCCCGAGGAGGAAGAGATGGATGACGAAACCGACGTTTGATAGCGTTTGTATTATGATCTTGCCTCCAGCGGGAAGAAACATGTTCATGTATGTCAAATTATGTCCTAAAAAAGACGGTCCTAAAACAACACCTGTCTATACATTACACACACAAACAATAATAAGTATCAAAAACACATTGCTTTGCGATAAGAGAGAGTGGAATGTAGTATATGAAAGTTATACCAAGACTTGAGCAGAGATCATTCCTTGCTTTAGAGGTTGAAGGACGCGGAAGATAAGCCTAGAGGTGATGATGATGACTGACATTTGTATCATGAGAAGAGGCATTGCGTATTTAAGAGGGTCACTATTCATGAAAATGCCTTTTGACGCCATCAAGTTTTGTTTTTGGCACACAAGCTCTTCCTTCATGAATGGACCGTGCACTTCACCCCATTGCGACGAGTTGCTCTCATCTCCGCCAAACGTCAACAACTCCATGGTGTTTTCTTTATCGGTAAGAAGATGCGAGTAGAGAAGCGAGAGAGAGGGAGAGAGACTAGCTAGGTTTGGGAAACTACCAAGGTTATGTAATAGGAGAATCAGAGATGCTGCTTTGTGCAATGTTACGTTAATGATATGGAGAAGAAAACAGAGGACTCTGTTTTTTACTTATGGTAATAAAGGGTAACTTCTTGTTTTCAGTTAAAACACAGAAAAGGGGAGATTGGTCCTATGACTTTTGGTGAGGTCAAAGAAAGAAGACACAGAGACACAGAGAGGAAGAGAGAGAGAGAAGGAAGAAGAAAGATGAACCTGTATTTGTTGTTTCTATTTATTATTTCAATCTATTTTTATGTTCGGTTGATCTTCTCTCAGCATAATCTCCACCATTCTAAATTTGTGGTTTGGTTTCACTTCGTAGTTCTAATAATGGATTAAGAAGTTAATATTTTAAATTAAATCGTATGATATGGAGATAATATTGCTAGATATGTTGCACCAATCAAGCAAAGTGGGTTACATACTATTATTATTGCTTATGAAGCTTGAATGTATAAATGTACACAAATCAAGCAAAAGAGCAACACACAAGAACTAAAATGGACTCTCAAGTGTTTAAAGTCACACAGATGAGAAGGAAGGTTTCTATAAGGCCAAGATGATAAATAAAAAAACTACCAAGTAGTTACCACTCTGTACAAAACAAAGTATTGACTGTGTAACAAACAAATAAACAAACTGTGAATGAGCACAAAAGATAAGCCATAGTAAGTGTTTTTCTTTCTTCCAAATCCTAGATAAGATTACTAATGACTAAGTCCCAAGAATTTTGTTTTATTATGAGCGACGTAGCGCGGTTGGGATATCGTGATTGTGTCTTCCTTCATAGGTAGTGAGAACCGCTCTCTCGTCAGCTGCGGATCTTTCCACTTGCTTCCTCACTCCACAACCTTGGTATGTGCACTTGTAGTAGCTCCTGTTATAAGAAAGGAAGGGATTAGAAAACATGAAACAAGTTTATAGTTTGAGAAATTAAGTTCTGTAGTATAACCAACCTTGGATTAGTATTGCCCTTGACAACTTTTTGACCATATTTCCTCCATCTAAAGCCATCCACAAGAACATCGATGTCACTTATTGTTTGAACCACAACTCTTGGTTCTTTCACTCCTCTGCTTACTTCAATAGACATGCCTTCATCTTCACCTTCTCTTTTCCTGTTACATAAAGCCAAAAGAATTGTCATTTTCAAACCCAAGTAGAACAAACCTTTTGATTCCACTAATTCAAGAAACTACTTACATTCTCTTAATCTCAGGTTGTTCATCATCATCCTCTATCTCACCATATTCTGATTTAAAGCTTTTCTGCTCAAGATCACTATAGTCAAAAGAAATCGAAGAATTCTCCGATTGATCATGTGGTTCACTAACAACAGAAGCAGGATTAAACAAGCGCCTGCCATTAACCGATGATGGTAATGAAGATTGTGATGGTCTCTTTGTGAACTCAGGCTTAGGATGATTATGACCTCCTTTATAGATGATCTCAGTGATCTGACCATCAGAAGCAGTCTCAACAATCTTCTTGGAAACACAATTGGGATAAGTACACTTGAAGTAACTCCTCGGGTTCTCGCTCTTCTTCACTTGTTTCTGACCGTACTTTCTCCAACCATAACCATCATTAGAGTTCCTGCTCACCATGTATGATGGTACTTTGACCTGACGATCTGATCCAAAACTTTGATTGTTGTTTTGTGTTGCAACCTCACGAGGAATCAGCTCCTGCTTCTTTTGGTGATCTTGAACACCATACGTTTCTTGCAAAGCCTGGAAAAGAAAAAACAAGAAGGAAAGTTCGGTTTAGTACAAGAAAAATGTAGTTGCTTTGACTTGATGTATCAAAAACGCTAGATAAGGAAGAAACACTTACAGAAGAAGCGTTTGATGGTTGCGGTTGTAGCTGCCATGGGAAATCTGAGAGATTGTTTGAGCCTTGAAATGGGAACGCTCCTGTTGTTGGAGATATCAAACTCTGCAAGTAAACAAAACACACACAAAAAGACAAAGAAAATGATTTAGATTAGTTTATTGTTTGAAGACAGAACCAAATACCAATAATACAGAACATCATAGATTACAGATTTGATAAAAACACAACATTTTTTTGTTCTTTCCATTTTTACCATAAAGATAGATGAGGAAAAAAAGATGAAAGCTTTACGTGTGAGGAGCTGAGGAGAAGAGGAGAATCAAGGAAATCGGAGAAGGTGAAGTTATTATGAGAAGACTGTGAAATCGGAAGAGGAGGTGGTTGAGCCGTCTTAAACTTAGGTAAACCCGACCCAGTTCTCTCCGGGTTATACCCACCAAAACTCGACCCGGAAACTCTCAAGTCTTCATCATCTTCGTAACAGTCAACGCCGGAAGAAGCAAGAAGGTCGGTGAAAGAAGTCGAAGACATGTTGGTCTTAATTAAAGGAGACAACTTTAAAAGCTTTCAGAAACAGAGGATTCGCTAAAAGAAGAAACTTTTTTTTGTATCATGAAATGATCTATGAGATGAGATGAAAAAGAGGATAAAACTAGAAAGATGTTGAACAGAGGATTTTAAGATTGGGTAAAGACGACGACGGTGGCGTATCGAGCAAGGTTTTTTTTTTGTTTTTTTTTGTTTCTCTCTCTCTTCTTGTCTTTATCTACTTGGCCTAAATTTCATTTTTATATAAATATAAAAATGGTTGACCAGTAAAGATATTCTTTTTTTTGATAGGTTGGGTCGTCTTCTAAATTGTAATAAATCGTCAAGTGTGAAACCGCGTTTCAAGGGTCTCTATCAATGATTAAACCAAACCGGAACAATCTCTTGTTTACCACAATAGAACCGTTGGTTATACACACACCAGGTTTTGGTACAGTATTGTCTAATCTCAAAAGACGATAATAAACAAAAAGGAACACAAAACTCATTTCTTGGCAAAAGAGATGACCATTGGATTCTGGGGAGTGATTTTGAAACCTTGTAGAGCTTGCATTGCCATGGAAGATTGAACATCGTCTGCAAACTCTACAAAGGCGATTCCTGGCTTTGCTTCGGTCATTCTTATCTCTTTGAATCCAGGGTACTGTTCGAAGAGAAGCTGAAGCATTATGCTTGTTGTCTCGTGTGGGAGATTTTGAATGAAGAGTAAGTTGTTCGGTGGCATCGCTTCTTGCCCATTCGGCTGGAACGGAGGCTGCATTATTAGAAGACACAGAGACAAAACAAAAAGATAATCAACATCATTTCCAGTTACTACAGAATTCAACCAGAAGATTGTTCTGAAAAAGGTGAGAACAAGAACACTTACCGGAGGGACTCCGTTATTGGCACTTGGGCCATTAGCCGTGTTTGGTCGTTGGGTTTCTTCACGCTTTCTTTCAACTGAAAGTACAAACCGTAGTTAGTTACCTTTAGATACAAGTGAAAATTTCATAGTTAATCATTAGACCAAAATCTAAACAACAAAATGCAAAAAGAAAATACAAGGTTTAAAACCTTTTTCTTCTTGCTTCCTCTTCTTATCTTTTTGTTCGAAAGTTCCTTCGGCTTTGGCAATACAATCTGCCTTCTCTTTTGCGTATTGTAAGCGCTGCACTCAAAAGACCACATAAAAAGTATGAAAAATAAGTTTCAACTTAACTGGAAGTAGTCAAATAGTTTACATACACCCAAAAGAGGTAAGATGTAATTAACAAACTATATATATATACAAGTATAACAAACAGATCAAACATTTTGACTGAAAACATCAGAAGAGAATGTAATTGAGAAGTGTCTATTAGAATCAATAGTAACAAAATCTAAACACATAAGCTGGGTTATTACCCTAACAGCCTCCTCGAGCAACCTACTCTAGCAGCTAGCCCCTTCTGGCCCAATTTTTCGAAGAAGTCAAAATATACATGCACTCTTAACCGAGTGAGACTATTAAAATGAAAGGGTGGAGAAGTTAGAGAAGAGCATACTCCTCCCTATCCCTAAGTATATATTCTATTTTTTGGCAAAGGCACTCTCAAGAAAGGATGTAAAATCTAGTTGACTTGTCTTATCTATCCCTATTCTGACTAAAGATCGATCCACTGTAAATTACTAGTAATCGCACAGACATACAGACTATTTATGATTTACCACTTCAATCAATCTAATACAACACACAAGAAGAATGATTAAATGGGAATTACATAGGGATTGATACTCAGCGATTTAATAAAAACAAACAAAGAAGTGATGGATACTGACCATTGGCTTATCATAGAAGGGGAAATTTTGCATCTGACGAACAGCATTACTAGCAGCAGTGACTTCACTAAACGTAACCCAAGCTTGTCCACGGAGCTTATGAGTCTTCAAAGCAACCACATCAAGTATCCTCCCAAACTGAGAGAACAAACAGTAAAGAGATCTCTTCAATTCTGAGAAAACAAAAACCACGTTAGCTTTAACATCAAAACTGATTCCGCCCTGAGCCAAACAACACTAGCCCTCTCCAAAGACATCAATGAGCGAAAACAGACAACATCAACATATATCTTCCTCATAACCTCGTCACGATAGATTCAATACGATTCTAAAACCCTAGAAGTTAGACACGAACACTCCATAACAGCTAAAATCAAACAATAAAAGCTAACTTCAAAGCACTGTTAAAGCTGGGTTTAAGCTGGAATCAATGGTAGAAGCAGCTCATTGAGGGTTTCGAAATCTACGAGTTTTGAGATTTAGTTGACGAATCAGATAAGAGAGAAGAGAAAATTTACCCTCTTTCTTGACCTTTTCATTGAGGTTTTTGATGTAGATAGACTGATTCGGTGGTATATCTGCAGTTAACATCTTCGATTGAGCTCCGCGAAGACGATGACGATACGAGACTGAGAAATTTCAGAGAGAGAGAGAGAGAGCCCTAATGTTGGGGAATGAAGAAGATTTAAGAATTTAGCTGCGATTCAATTTCCGAGGGAAACGACGGCGTTTCATATTCGATTTCACAATTCTTGTACCAACCAAAGAATGAGCGTACCGGACGAACCGGATTAAATTCGACCGTATACCGAATTCAAATTGGACCGGATAGACGACTAGAATCAAATGAGGGGTCAGATGGTCTTTATAAAAAAAAAACATAGTGAATTTAACAGCAAATCATAATCTAAACTTTTTAAAGTGCAAATCTTTTTCTTCTTTGATCTCAATATTCATGTGATAAGATTCATGAAACACCATTGGTACATAATACCGATTTTTTTTTGAGATTCTCGTCGTATCAAAAATTCAAGTGTGAGCCGAATGAATCAAACAAAAGGCAATTTAAGGATGCAAATATTTGCAATCAACTAAACGCCTTTTGTTCTGTCACATTTTCCTTTTACAGTAGTAGTAATATAAATTTGAGGATTTTTCATTTTTTTTCAGCCTTGAAGAAACACGGCTACCATTGCGACTACTAGAGAATGATCGATGGATCCCGGAAATATCGTTAGCCGGAACTTGCTTCTCCCTACATAAATCTGTCTCAGCTTGTACATCAAACTCGTCTGCCACCAAAAACAAAAAGGAACAAAATCAAACTGAGGAAAAAATTTCAAGCACAAGACTAGAAATGAAACTAAAGGTGCTCAATATGTTTTATACAATAGTGAGGCTCAATGCTTTACCATAACTACATATCACATATTCCATCATCAACCATGATCCAAACCCGGTAATCAAAAAGTATTTCATGTTCTTCTTGCCTATTGAATTCACACAGTGCAGCAACACAAAAAGCTCTAGCATTTTAGAGATGAAACATTTGATGTCAGTAAGAAGATTGTGTTTTCTTTACCTGCGCAACAATGGAGTCTTTACTATAAATGGTACATGATTTCTGAAAGGGGCAACCTTTGATTACAAGAACTTGTGACGATTCTCCAGCAAAAGAGACCTCTAACTCTGTCTTACTGAATCTTTTCGATGTCCGCTTCACCGTTAACACCAAATCCTTACGCTTTTCGATATCCCCTTTATGTAATTCCCAAACTCCATTCTACATTCCCCAAAACATACACACACAGAGGTTTTAAGTTCATGTGTATATCCCAACTCAATGACTAAGTTTCTCTGTAAACACCTACCAAACTAACTAAACCCAAACAATCCAAAATGGTATATATATATCTACTGAAAGATTTAAAATTTCACCATTTATACACGATTCTTACAAATGCAACATGAAACTATGTGTGGACTATGTAATGAGAATCACTGTACAAAATTCCCAAACTCTATAAAATTGTTAAGAAGCTATGAATTGTTCTTAAACAAGTAGCTTTATAAGAATTGCAAAAATCAGATCAAAACTGCGGAATAAAGGAGGCTTACACGGAGACGAGAGATGGAGAAAAGAGGAACTCCGGAAGAATCAAGGAGCGATTTCAAAGAGGAGGAAGATTTGCGGAGGATGAAGACGAGATTTTCGGAAGAATCGACAAATCCGAGATCGTCGGAGGAGAGGTCGGGAAGCTTCTTGGAAGCGAAGAGATCGACTGGTATACGCCGGAGATCCTCGGGGTCAGGATGATAAGAAGTCGGAGTCTCCGACTCAGCCATTCACTTGTCTAATAACAAGTCAGAAACGATAGGTAGAAGAAGAAGACCAAACAAGGCTTTGCTTATGTTCAACGCTTTTTGTTTTTCTCTCAGACAAAACTGAAATATCAAAGTCTCGGTTTTTTACTATTAAAAGTTTTTATTTGATTTTAATTAATATTAAATTTATCGAAGAGAGGCATAAGTTTTTTTTTATTCACAGCCTTAACACTAATGATGGGCTTCAGTGTTTCTGAATCAGAATGTAACACAAACGACAGGTATGACCATTTATACTAGACTCATTCACATCCTCTGCATTACCATCAAACTTGTCAGTCTTTGAGGACTAAAAGAAAGATTGGTCCATGTTGGACCAATACATTTCTGGCAGAGAGCATGTCAACATTTATACTAGACTCATTCACATACATATCTGTTTACATGAATCAGTTCGAAATCAAAATCATTGCATTCATTCTAAACCCGCCTCCTTAACCCGCGATGAACCTCACATATCTACTATAAAAAAATGTCTACTTTGGTTGGGTCAATGAAAGTTAATGTCTAACGAATTGGGTCAAAGCAAGTTGGTGTATTTAATCTTACCTCACATTCACCGAGCTCTTTTGATTTCAAAATAATCTTAGACCATGGGCATTGGCAGGTCCCATGGCAGTCCCCCAGTTTTTCAAGAAAAAAAAAAAAAAAAAAAAAATTTTGTGTGCGGGTCGTTCCTTTAAACGGGACTGTCCCTCTTCCATTCGCTGGCCCCACTGACACGTGGCGGCCCGCGATTGAATAATTTTTTTTTTGTTTTTTTTTTTAATTATGTAAAAAGAAAAAAAAAAAAAAAAAAAAAAAAATTTGGGACCAGAAATCGGTCCCTCCGATGCACATGCCCTTAGTATACAACGCCCATTGTAAGTAATTATCTCCTGAGAGATTAAGAGCAGCAAAATCCAAGTTGTTGAGTTTCGACATCTGAAAACATATGCTTATTCTTTTAGGTTTCATAAAATTCTAATGTTCATGCAAAGCAAGTTATGTTCATGATTCAAACCTATCATACAATTCTAAGTATAGTTGTCAATTGGGCGGGCCGTCCATGGGCTTGTATAGTCCAAACTATTATGGACGGACAATAGACACGCCCAAACAAAAAATGGTCCAACTGGTCAAAAAGCCCATTTGTCCATGGACATGATGGACAAAACCATATGGACAGTGGTCAGCCCAATCTTCAAAAAGTTCTAGGGTTTAACTTTTTAAAAAATTTAAAATTAAATTTTGATCTTTATGAAAATATATTTTTGTGTTTTTGGCGGGAAAACCTAATGTTTTCGTTTTTGGCGGGAAAAGGTGTTTTTTTTTTTCGTTTTGGCGGATAACGTGATTTTGCATTTTTGTGGAAAACATGATTTTGCGTTTTTGGCGGGAAAACGTATTTTTTTTTTGCGTTTTTGGCGGGAAAAACGTAATTTTTTGTTTTTGGCGAAAAAACGTGATTTTGCGTTTTTAGGGGGAAAACATAATTTGCGTTTTTAGCGAGAAAATGTGATTCTACATTTTTGGCAGAAAACGTGATTTTGCGCTTTTAACGGCAATATTTACTTTCTAATTTAAATTTTAATGAAGAAAAACAACAAAAATAAAAATAGAATGTCCATGGGCTTGTCCAGATGGACATGGTCTTTATTGGACATGGACATATTTTTGACCCATGTCCATTACGGACCGTCCAAATATAGCCCATAAACAAAATTGTCCGTATGGACACGTCCAATGGGCGGTGGACTGACCAATTGACAGCTCTAATTCTAAGTGTTTCTTAAATTAAAGAGAAGAAGAGCTGGGCTATCAAGTCCACACGTACACTCACCAGTTTAGACGTAGAAGATAAATTGAACCTTTCAATACAAGCTAGGGCTTGTTTCTTAGGGTGTGGTATTTTCAATTTGAAAATTTAAAATTTAATTTTAGTATTGTGGTATTTTTGTCTTAAAAACAAAAATGATGGTATTTTAGAGAATTACCCATTAACATACTACCTATAATGTTGCTCTAATTGTGTACATGATGTTTTATTAATAACCGATACCAAAAATAACAAATATATAAAACCGTGTATCAGATGGAACCTGACTAATGTGGTTTTTAATATATAGTGCTTAATGATGCCTTAATCTATGATATATAAAAGCAATAAAAAAGACATGTATATATATAAGATCAATGTTTGAGGTTGAGACTTGAGAGTGAAGACTTTTTTTTTGTGTTTGTTCTTACAACTCAAGTTGAGAAGAAGGTTGACTGTTAGGATTATTATCAAGAGGCATGTATTGCGCCATTATCGCTCTTATCTCTGAGTCCATATATGTCTGCACACACACACACCAATCAATTAATACATATACATAGTGAAGATGTATCATAATGTTTTGAGATATATATAAATAATTACCCGAATCCTGTATTTATAAATAGTGTAAGCTCCTAAAGCAGCTGCACCAAGTCCCATTATTATTATCCATATCACTCCCCAGCTTACATCTCCTCTTGCATCTTTGTCTGTACACAACTAATGATTAGTGGATGATCATTTATTCCCAAAACAATATGATGCATGGATTTGTAAATATGTACTTATGCAAATGTCGTGCTCTCTTATGTAAAGTAAGCTTCCACTGCAGCTACATTCATAGCTTCCCCATGTGTTCTTGCATTTGCATCCTCGACATTGGCACGCTGTTTTCTCCTCACACTCATTCACATCTGCAATTATGTGTATGTCAACATAGTTTGATTTCAAGACTCTGATTTATGTTTTCTTAGCTTAATCTAACTAATACCTTGACAGTCTTTTAGCCCATCTCCTTTGAATCCAGGAGGGCATTTGCATCCTTTAGAATGATCATCCTAGAAACAACATAATGTTTATAATTAGGAAATGTCAAAACAAACAAGTTTAGTTAGTCGAGAGATTTGTAAGATTACACGACAAGCAGAGTATGTTTTTCCCATTTGAGTGTGTTTCCAACATCCTCCATTGTTTATGCCACAACGTAATGCTCCCGAAGCTACACAATATCGAAATTTAATCATGTGAAGCTTATAGAACCATGTCATATATATATATAGTTGAACATTTTTTACCTTCACAATGTGTGTAACCGTCGCCAAGAAACTTAACACCTTGAACAATGGGACATTGACATACTCTTCCTCTAAAAGTATCCTGAAACATTACAATAATATAACACTCATTTTAAGGATTAACATGTAATCAAACAAGAGTGTTTGTTGTAGTACCCTGCAAGCTGTAATGTTAGTTGTTTTATCCTCCCAACACCCTCCATTGTTTTGTAAACACTCATTGGTTTCTATGTCTGTCCAAACAAAGTATCCAAGACCAGAAATTAAATGTAATGAACCAAATAGAAAATGTACATCAAGTAAAGAGAACCTTCGGTTAAACAAATAGGTGGCTCGGTCGTCTCACGAAACCCTGAACACAGAGCCTTAAGCACGGCTGATCTCTGCAACTTCCCTATAGCAATGATACGTTAATTAACTACTACATTTTGAGTTGGACATTTAGAATCTTTGCTTGTTTCTAACCTCTATATTGTCTATTGTTTATCACAATGGTTGGTAGTATCGTCACATCTCCTCGTGAGCCTTTTCCAACCTAACAAAATTACCAATAAATGAAAACGTTAAGACTTTTGATATTTTTGAATTCTTTACATATCTTGAAGAAGAAGAAAAAAAAAAAAGCAAACTTGTGCATGTTGTTCTTCTTTAAGAACAGGATTTTCGGTATTGGCTTCAATGTCGCCGATACATTTGTCTATTTTCTTCACATCGACTCCTACTCGAAAATAACATATTATAAGGTCTCAAGACATGAAAAGTAAGATTATGCCAAGATATGTAAAGTTACCAAGAGAGTGAATGACTTGATCAGCACATTTCTTGTTGTACTTCTCCTGTTTCATGGGACAACGAATGGCAAAGTCGGTGACATAATCCCACCAAAGCCAAGGCTTCCCACTTTCATTAGTCACTCTAAAGAAGCATGCTTGGCGTAAATTTTGAACAATCACGTCTTTCCCATTGTATCCCCTTGAGAAATCTTGTTCAGGGTCGGGAGCACAATACCTTCCCCCATTAATGCATTGTGATTTACATTGTCTGCTTGCCAAAAATGCTTCTGGACAATACCTATATATATAGAAGTATAGATTCAAAATTATTATGTTATCAGTGTGTTGAATGTTACTATATTGTAAAGTTAACAAGTGAAATACCATGTGATGTAGTGGGGAGTGAAGCGAGTGTAGCCTCCTTTCTCAAGAATCTGAGCAGCTCCTTTGAACCTCTTAAGAAACTGGATCTGTGCATCACATTTTGGTCCACATTCATCATTGCTGTTGGTCCATAGCTCGTAGGCTACTCGATCATTCGGGTGTGGAAGAGCCTCCCGCCAGTCTAAACTTATATGAACAGGCTCACCATGAGCTATGGCCGTTTTGATGGCACTCCCTAGAGACCTACTCACCAATGCTGAAGGAATTGTGATATTTTGTAAGTAATCTGCATCTGTCGTCTCATCCTCTGGTGCGTCCATGGTGATGAGTTGCTCAGGCCTATTATCTGCCACCAAAATAGTCGCGGCACCTGCTCTTTGCGCGTTCCATGCCTTCAAAGTGAAGTAACAATCTGAGACAACAATATCAACTTTAGATGCCTTGTCTCAAAAGTCACCTATTGCAAATTTCTTGTATCGCAAGTCTTGTCTCTAATCTTAACGAAATAATCAAACAAGAAGAGAAAAGTACCTCCCCGATCGACGAGGACGAATGTGGGCAATCCAGCGACTCTAGATCTAAAAGAGATATCGAAATCGGCGAAGTTCTTGCAAGCCTTTTGGTTAGCTTTGGGATAAAGCACCGCACCGGACATGCTTCCACCATACTGAGGGATACCAAAGTTTCCGAGAGCACATTCGTAAACTCCTCTGATGGACTCTGGTGAAGTCACTCTGAGGTTGTTCTTCTCCACCACGAACCTTCCCATGCACGAACTCCACCCTACTATAATCCATACTATTACAACTAACCCTACATTCTTCATCTTGATCAACGTGATCGCAAGATAAACTTTTTCAGGATTAATGTGTAAACATGCATGCGTGAATGGATAGCCACAAAAATGTTCGAAAAGGCTTCGTTTGCCCAACCATAAAAGAATTGAAACTGTCAAACAGTGAGCAAATATCTCAGCGTTAAAAGGAAGACTTTTATATTTTTGTGTGTTTGTGTTTGTTTATTTTTTTGTTTTTTTTTAGAATTTTTGTTTCAGAGATCCAATTAAATTAAGCTTTAGTTTTTGGTTTTGTTGAGAGTTGAGAGTTTCTAAAATATATAATTAACTAAAAAATAGGAGACGCTTAAGAGAGAACTATAACATACACATCATGTTTTAAAACTACAAACCCTTAAGTGTTACCACATCAACGTGTTCTCTCATTTTAGAAAATTTAGTTCCATACATATATTTATGTATATACTTAAATTTCACCTACGAAATTGTTTTATTGAAAGATACATTGACTTATAAATGTTGAACTTCGAGGGATTTATTAGTAATATAAGTACTGTAAACTATAGTACTAATATTACTAATAGGATTTATATAAAATTTTGTTAAAAGTGTTTCTTGTCATGCTATAGTAGTTGTTAAAAGTGTTTATAATCCTAGTCTTATAAAGGTTTTATTGGTTCCCATATGCTATAATCTGACATCGAAATGGTGGTGTGCGATTTGTTTTTACAAATTTGAAGTAGTGAACAAAACAAAAAACGATTGAATAAGTACGAATATATCACCAAATGTGTTTCGAAGTTTATGTGTAAATTAAGGTAGTAGTTAGCAAATGTTTTAGTTTGACTACATATAAAATATGTTAATAGTTGAATTGGTGGCAACTGGAGTAACACTGGATCAGTTGGTGGCTTCTGAGAATTATTGGAAACTATCTGAACAGTTGGACATCAACCAACGAGATACGACTTCTTTCTTAGTTTTGCTGTCTTTAACATTCTTCCTCGTATTTGTTTTCTCCCTATATATTATATTCAACAACCTCGAATGTTTTTACTAGTTTTTAAGTATAATTTGAGTTTTAAAAAAAATCTAATTTATTTCTATTCATGATTGGTTTTCAAGATAATTAAGGAATTTATTTTTTGAGAGATTTTACCCGTTTTCAAAGAAAAATAAAATAAAAATCTTAGACCATAAATTGGTTTTTAATTATTGTTCTTAGATTTTAGTTTTTGGCCTTCTCTTCTAAATATATAGTTTTTGGTTTTTGCTAAAAGATCTAAAAATTAAAAATTAAAACATTAAAAGTTAAAATCGAAAAACAAGAGAAGAACACTTACGATTAGAGAAACCTATTTATGAGGGTTTTTGTTTTTTCTCAACCAACAACTAATCAAATTACCATTCAAGATTTTGGAAAACCTAAAATCTACACTAAGAATTTAAAACTAAAAAACCAATAAAAAAAAACTGCAAAAGATTCATGTTCTTAGAAACCAAATACTAAAATCCAAAAACCAAAAGCTAAAACCCAGTTTTAAAAAAAGTTTTTTCCATTTATGGCTTCAATATATTAATGTGCAATGAGAATCTGATTATCTTAAACTACACTGTACATTGTCCTAGCTCCCACGTATAAACCATAGGCCAAAGCGACAATGAAAAAGTTGGTCAATGACGGGCGAGAGACGGCTTCGATCCTAAAACCTTTGCTAATGCTATGCTCGTGCGTTTCCGTTAAACAAGGCCATTTGTTTAATTTTAATATTACCAACAAAACCAAAAAAAAAGAGAATGAAAAGTACATTTATATTCTATGATTATAATGCCAATTTCTTTTGATTAGTGAATTCTGTTATGTTTTTAAGAATTTGAATAATTGTGCCGAACAAATTAATTAAATTGGTTAGACTTTTGATTAAATAATAGTTGAATATTAACCTATCATTGTGTAAAGTACAAATAAATGAGCGAATTTTAGCGTTGAATTATAGCTACATATATATATTCAATACAAGTACTTAATTTGGTCACACAAAACGTGTTTTGTTGTAAGTATTATCAGTCATGTTGAACTTGAAGAAATTAATTAAATTAAATGGTCTTAGTCTATTTCAATACGTGTTTTGTTGTAATTCATAAGTTGTCTACTGTTATCTTGTTAACATCCGGATTTAAATTCGATATAGTTAGTGTTTCAAACCATGGGACAATGCATCTATCAAAATTCAAGATTCCAGTGCAGAAATGAAAATTAAATAAAAATTATAAAGAATTCATAGTGTTCAGATTACACATAGCATTATTATAGCAAATGTACAAATCTAAGAAGCCAAAGGTAACTGAAATGGTCATAATGTTCATTGAAGATGTTGGTGCTCTCGCCGTCCTTAATATCTTAAAGTTAAAAAAGGAAGGTACATTGCATTATACCAAATGTACATATTTAAGCCAAATTAAAAATGATCATAATGGTGCTCGACGATCTTATATCCTTAATATCTTAAGGTTAAACCATTCCATTAGATTCAGTCTGCAAAATCTGATTTTCTAAATGGTATGGACTGAAGCTTAGACGGTTTACTTAAACTTGTGGTCCTAATGACATCACTAATCTCGTTTAGTTTTTTATTAATATTTTACATTTACTTTTATAATATTGCATATTTTATGTTAGAGTTTATAGATATACAAATTTTGATCAAGTATGAATCTTCTTAAGTACCTCAAAAGGCAAAAATATGCCATAAAAAAATAAAGAAATAACTTCTAAATTCTAATACAAAAGGAAAACAGATTTATAACTAATTATGTCTTAGTTCTCTAATAATTATCACACCTAATGTTCTGCCTATCTTGGCTTTCCATCTGACTATTAGTGCTTTCTCTATCTAATTAGTTACCTCCCTAACTCACATATTATTATTTTCTCTTTTCATTTACTCATATGTTTAATTTTGTTTTTGTGGTTGTTATATAATGAATAAATGAGAGACTAGTTGACTATGTAATAGCCAAAAACTTTCTAAAAAAATAAAGGATGAAAATGATAAGCATATACCAAGAATGTAATTAGTTTAACAAATTTATGTTGTCGGCATACGTCCCCTTCTCTTTTATTACTTCTAATAAGCACATGATCATAAACCACATTTCTTTGTAAACTTTTCATAATTACATAATTGATCCATCTTTCAAAAGTTACAAAACTTATTCATCTTATATCTAATACTACATCTTAAACTCAAAATTTCAACAAGAATTCTTATGGTTGTCCTATGTGTAGAATTCTTGTTGAAATCTTGAGTTTTACATAATATTAACTAAGCTAAAAATTAACTATCAGAATTATAATTACCATGTTAACGAAGTGCGTATAACACGGACACCCAAGTGTTTCAAAGAGACATTTGTTCACGACAAGACGATTAAAAAACATTTGGAAAAAATCTGAGTACCAGTCCATTTGCGGCTTTGCCTACCCAATCCAAGACAAATGTAAATTTGTGGGAAAAAACTTTAATAACTTTTGCTTTTTATCCACTCCCCTAACTCTTGGGTTATTTTTCCCTATCACTTGCGTAGTTAAACTTATGTTTCGTGTGTTATGTGTTTTGCAACGAATGTTTATAGCCAAAAAGTTTTCATTATAGCTTTAAATCAAATCCTCCTGATATATTATTTTTAAAGAATCACTAATGATTCATTCACATTAAGATATAACTCCATATAAAAAAAACAAGTATAACAAGTTTGTAAGAAAAGAAAAAAAAACAAGTTTGTAAGTTTTTAAACGTATATTAACAGTTTATAAACTAATCAATCATGTATAGATTTTGATATATGAAAAAATTACTAAAATGAAATAGCAATAGTATGGATCTTTTACATAGTGAACAACACTTGTCAGTAAACACTAGAAATCAGAAATATGTCTTTTGGTGCTGTAAAAAAAAAGGTTTTTGGTTAAGTAAAGATAAAAGATAAATCATGTTAAAATTAGAGATAAATATATCCATATTCAATATTTCAGAGATTCTTTATTACAAAAATCATGTCTATTTCTTAAGTAAAGATTACATACATATCTATTGAATTAAATAAATATTTAAACCAGTGAAAAAAATGACAAGAAAATTTAGTTTGTTAAAGGAGAATATCTAAACTTAATTTCGGAAAAGTATTTGACGGGCATGAATTTCCTCTTGACTAGACAAAATTAGTATTTTTTTTTTTGTATCGTAAGAATATATTTTCAGTTTTTTTTTCTATAAGCACATAATGCAAGTATTTATATATTTTGTTTCGATAATGATGTGAAAAAGGCATTAAATTAAACATATAATAAAAAAAACCCAACCTCTTCTTTCCTTTTCTTGTATTACTAAACTAACCACATCTTTCTTCTCATTACCACAACATCCAAATCCTATTAAAATTTACAAAATCGTAATATAATCTCTCTGTTATAAATACAACTCCTACCTCAACTAAGTATTGCTCATTATATTCACAATCTCTTCTTTTATTTCTATATCACTCAAAGAACACAAATATGTCTCCCAACGTTCTAAGGTGGTTAAGCCTCGTCGCTGTCCTCTGGCTTCAATCTTTCAATGGCACTAACTTGAGTTTCCCAGCTTACTCCTCACAGCTCAAAGAGTTTCTCTCTATCTCTCAGTTTAAGCTAAACTATCTGTCTTTCGCCTCCGACGCCGGGAAAGTACTCGGTTTCATCTCCGGGATCGCCGCCGTTTATCTTCCTCTCCCTCTTGTCCTTCTCGCCGGAGGTACACTAGGGTTTGCCGGCTACGGTCTCCAGTATCTCTCCATCGCCAAAAAGATGTTTACATTGTCGTTCCCACAGATCTGGTGTTTGAGTTTCTTGGCCGGGAACAGTATATGTTGGATCAACACGGCTTGTTACATCGTAGCGATCAACAGTTTCCCGGTGAACCGTCAAGTTGCCGTGGGGATCACGGCGAGTTATCAAGGTTTGAGTGGGAAGATATACACCGACATGGTTAACTCGTTTTTCAACTCGTCTCCAAGCGAAGCAGCTTCTGGTTATCTCTTGCTCAACTCACTCGTTCCATTGGTGGCTTGTCTCGTGACGGCTCCTATATTGAGGAGACACGGAGGAGACAACACGACGTCTTCTTCAAAGGATGCTAAAGTAGGGTTCATCGTTTTGTTCGTGGTGACTATAGCCACAGGGGTTTACGCCGTGGCTACGAGTCTTCTCACGGCTCCTGCGGTTTTAGTACTAGTTGGCATTGCTCTGTTTCTTCTTGCTCCTCTCGCTATACCAATAGGAGTTGTATTCAAAGAGCTTGTGTCCTCTAGAAAAACACACCAAAAGGTACACGATCTTGAAGCTCCCGAGAAATTCCAAGTCATAGAAGAAGATAACACCAAAGAAGCAGAAGAAGAATTTGAGAAGGCAATAGTTGGAGTTAAAGAAGAGGTCGAGTGGACACAACTATGGAAGAAACATGATTTTTGGATATATTTCGGACTTTACTTATGCGGTCCAACGGTTGGGCTAGTGTTTATGAACAATCTTGGTCAGATCGCTGAGTCTCGTGGCTGCACCGCAACTAGTTCCTTGGTTGCTCTGTCTTCGTCGTTTGGTTTTTTTGGCCGCTTGCTTCCTTCGTTACTCGACTACTTCTTCTCTAGGTAAAAAAAAAATCACTTACTTTTAAACCCTTTTAACCCTTTTGATTAATTAGCAAGCTAGAAATTAATTAAAACCTAATCAATTATTCCTTAATAATACAAAACTACGTTGACCTAGCACGTATAACAATTATAACTTATGTTGCATACTTTGCATCTACGTGTTTGGTCTCATTCATCGAATAAACCTTCGACAAATCGACACTTAATCAATTCCCTAATTTCTCGGAAATCTTTTAATATGTATTTATTTTTTAGTTTTTGTCCGAATGCTAATTAATATTTTATTCATTACAGAAGCAAATACATGCCATCAAGTCCTGTTTCTATGGCGGTTTCATTGGTAGCCATGGTAGCTTCGTTTCTCCTCCTCCTCGTCGACTCTGACATCTCTCTCTTTGTTAGCACGGCGGTGATCGGAGTCTTCTCCGGAGCCTTGACGTCACTATCCGTGACAACGACTGCGGAGCTTTTTGGGACGAAGCATTTTGGAGTTAACCACAACATTGTTGTCTCAAACATTCCTATTGGATCTTTTGCTTTCGGTACGTTAGCAGCTAAAGTTTACCGCGACGGAGCCTCCCTTTACGGAGATGACGGCAAGTGTTTTGGGATGCATTGCTTTCAAACCACTTTGGTGTTTTGGGGAATGCTCTGTTCGATCGCCGCTCTTCTCGCCTCCGTTTTGTATGTACGCAACCGTAAGTTCTATTCACATAAGCCGTAGAAGAAGTTGAACAACAACAACAACAACCACAACAAGTTTTTTTTATGACAAAACGTAGCGTTTTCCGTCTTTATCAGGCAAAGCAATATGTTTTGGTAACATCCATAATTTTGTTATTTAAACCGATGTAAACCGGTTAAAGAGTAACCGATATAGACAGGTTTTTGTTTTTTTGTATATGGATTAGTATAAAGAATGTAAAAAGTAGATAGAGAGAAGCAGAATGTATACTGAAATCGATTTTTTTTATAAAGATCCTTTATTTTAACAAAATAAAATAAAATAAAGATCCTTTATTATCAATTGTTATTCTTAATGATAATAATTATTTTTATTATCATTATTATTCTTAATAAAAAAAATTTTTTTAGTTTGTTGTTGCTGAAATAGTGCATGGATCATTTATGAATGCTGGAGAAATTAAAACGACTTTGTTTGATTATTAGTGGAAAAAAAGGACTTGAGGAAATTTTTGGTGAGTCGAATTAATATATGCAAACATAATATTCTGTTGGTACGTTGTTGTTGATATGTTCTTGTTGGGTCGTCGAACGTGGGGTCTAAGAAATCGATCATGCGGCTCTTATTTTAAGTAAAAATTTTGATTTGTAAGTTGTAACGTGAACCAGGTTTTCTTGGGATTGAGGACCCAAGCAATAATCATCAATATACTCTCACCTAAATCGAATTATTTTGCATTACTCTATATCGTGTCGTTCAGATATTTTGTATTTGGTGTAAGTTATTATTAGACGTCGGTTTGAAACATAATGCTGAGAGAGAGACGACGGGAACGTTCTCACCCACAAAAGAGATCTACACCAAATATATGTATATGGTCGAGATCAAGACATGTATGGTCGAGATCAAGACATGCAATGTATTACGCGGAACTTATAGATTTGATCGATCGGCTTCATACCTATATGGCGCCGCCATATAACTTTTTGCAATGACTTATTGTGAACGTACGACAGTTTTTACAGGAATGTCTATTCATATTTACGCTAAATTGTTTACTCATGTTTAAGAATGTGTAACAGTGTAAGTAGTAAGTTGTAGTATATGATAAAAAGAGTTGTTGAACAAATAGGTGATCAATAGATAATAGCTACAATTTCGAGTTAGCTTAAGAATTTAACATGATAGTAACACGATACATATGTGATTAGTTTTTCTATTGAGTGCTAAAATCTAGGTATCTAATCATATGCAATTGTTAATATAAGCTAGATGAAATGAAAACAAATAATTAATCAAGCTAAGATGTGATTATATTCAACCAGGTGTAAATAACTTGGAGATAGAAATATAATCATTCTTCTAAATTTTGGTGTCATTATCAATGGTTAAGTCCACACGAAACAACTTACAATAAATGACACCGTACGTGGCCACTGAGGTGGCTTGGCCAAATCTTACACTCACACTTCTAATGAATTTTAATTTGAAAATATTCTAAATTTAGAAAGCGTTATAAAAAAATTAACCAAATTACATACGGTCTGTAACATGAGTACATGACTAACTACTAGCTAGTGGGTATTTACATAAACATTCATTTTTCAACATTTTTATAAATATATTTTATTGGAATAATTAAATCAGTTGCTATATTAGTAAATCATAGACATGGGCACGACTATTTTTGTCGCTAACGATAAATCATATACATTTTCGATATTGTTTTGTTTTTTCTTGTTCCAGAAGCCGCCTTTAAATATACCACTAGAAATATGTGTATGATTTGTCCATAAATCTTGTCGATTTTGGAATTTTAACATGAAAAGATGCTGTGCAAATTTGGCATTTCAGGCATGACATGTGCTAAGTGAACATATTTGTAATTTTTCTGTTATCAAAGGGTTATTTTATACATAAAACATGAAACAAGGTTAACAAACCTGTTTGGAGTAATTAACACATCGTACTGAATGAAAACTAGGTTAACAAACCAGTTAATTGTATGCAATCACAATATGGATGGAGCTTGGAGAGACCCTTGAAGATAAACATTCATTTAAAATTTTGGCCCATATCAGAATTAAGGAGAATGATTTGGTTTATACCGTACCTCAGAATATTTATACAAACATAATATATAGTACAAGTTAATCAACAATACATCCATTAGATTATATAAATACGTTTGTTAATTCTAACAGCAATTTTTTTTCTTTGCTAATTATTCTGTCTTTTTATTTACACACTGACCAACAAATTTTCTTTTTTACTTTTTGACCAATTTAGTTTCAATTGTATTCTGTTTTTGTCCATGCTAGTTAATTATATCTTTAATTAGATCCTGTTTTCTTTTTTATCTTTTGTTTTTCAGTTTCAAGAAAACAAACTTACAAATAAGAGAATCAAAAACCAACTCAAGTCATACAGAGGGTCAAAGCTCATTCCCTTATAAATTACTAACCAAATTAATTCAGCAAAGTAAAAATCAACAAATCTAAATAACTTTGACAATGTCTACATCCAAAACTGTAGTGTTTGGTCTCTATGTTGCAACACTTCTCGTGTCTTGCAATGCGGCTGGAAATGCCACAACGCAGCCGCTTTTCCCAGCGATTCTGATCTTCGGCGACTCAACCGCAGACACAGGCAACAACAACTACCATTTACAAGCCGTCTTCAAGGCTAAGCATCTCCCTTACGGTGTTGATTCCCCTGGCCATGAAGCTAGCGGAAGATTCTCTAACGGGAAACTAATCTCTGACGTCATTGCCTCCAAACTTAACATCAAAGAGTTTGTTCCTCCCTTTCTACAACCGAACATCTCCGACCAAGACATTGTCACCGGTGTCTGTTTCGCATCAGCGGGTGCGGGATACGATGACAGGACCTCGCTATCGAGCAAGGCTATCCCGGTCTCTCAACAGCCAAGAATGTTCAAGAATTACATTGCTCGTCTCAAAGGTATCGTAGGAGACAAGAAAGCAATGGAGATCATTAACAACGCCTTAGTGGTCATAAGCGCAGGGCCTAACGATTTCATCTTGAACTTTTATGATATCCCCACGAGGCGTCTCGAGTATCCTACTATCTATGGTTACCAAGAGTTTGTCCTCAAGAGGCTTGACGGTTTTGTCCGGGTAAAAATCTCATATACTTTGTTTTCTCTAGGTCTGAGACATGTAGTTGAGATTTCTTTGAGCTATTTTTATTATAAATATGGTCTTGACTCTTGAATCTCTTCCTCTTGTGTGTGCAGGAGCTTTATAGTTTAGGTTGCCGTAACATTGTGGTTGGAGGGTTGCCGCCAATGGGATGCTTACCGATCCAAATGACCGCGAATACGAGAAATATTTTGAGATTATGTGTCGAACAAGAGAACAAAGACTCCGTTCTGTACAATCAGAAACTAGTAAAGAAACTACCTGAGATTGAAGCGTCTTTACCCGGAAGCAAGTTCCTTTACGCCAACGTATACGACCCTGTGATGGACATGATCCAAAACCCTAGCAAATATGGTATATACCACTCTTTCTTGTCACGCAAGTCATCTAAATCTCAATCTTCCTAATATATATTGCGGAACAGGATTCAAGGAGACGAAGAAAGGATGTTGCGGAACAGGATACATGGAGACGACCTTCATGTGCAATCCCCTTACAAAGACTTGTCCGAATCACTCCGATCACTTGTTTTGGGACTCAATTCATCCCTCGGAAGCTGCTTACAACTACCTTGGCAACTTTGTGGATACTCAGATACGAGGGTGGCTTAAGGCTTAAGTCACACTATAACTTAACGAAATTAATCAATGTATTGTTGTCCTACGGTACACGTACATCTATTGCCCTGTGAGGATCTATGTGTCTAACGGGTGCTGTATGTTGGATTATAATATAATGGATTTTCTTATATTTGATATTTAACACTCCCATCATGATAAACAATATTATATATTTGGTATAATTGATTAGTATAAAAGTTTTTTTTTCTATCTAAAAACAAAGTAAAGTTTTAGGAAAACCTTGTTTTCATTTTCTAAGAATGGAAAAGAAGTTTAAAAGAATCATATATATAAAAGTAAGGTTTCACTCTCTCCTTATTGGTGGAAAAATATTTAAGGCTTTAATTTTTTTTAAATAAATAAATAAATGTTTATGACAATCATTCAATACAAAATTTAATTACACTATAAATTATAATCAAATGGCAAAGAAAATGAAAGGACTTAATCATATATCATTCAACAAAATAAATAAATAAATAAATGTTTATGACAATCATTCAATACAAAATTTAATTACACTATAAGTTATAATCAAATGGCAAAGAAAATGAAATGACTTAATCATATATCATACAACAAATTTTATAAGCCTTATTGGTGGAAAATTATTTAAAATCATATATATAAAAGTAAGGTTCCACTCTCTTTATTGTTCCATTTTGTATTTATTTTTTAAAATATAATATTTATTTTAAACCAAAAAACACATTTAATCATATACATTAATTCATACCTTAAATTCACACTTTACTACTAAAATGAAACTGAAAATTATATAAATTTCCAAAGACTATTGGTTTTCTTTATTGAATTCCAATTAAACACACTATAAATTATAATTATAACTCGTCTAATTTAATTATTTTAAAAATGTAACTTACATCACTTCTTATCATATAAATAGCCATTCTAACATCCTTCTCTACCATATCTCATATCTTCATTATTCTCTTTGTTTTTTTTTTAAAAGTTCTTGCATGGGGTGAAAACTCATTTAAAATATCATTGTAAGAGTTTGATTAATTATTTAGTTTAAACTTTTGTTTTCAATTTTTTTTTTTGTTTTTATGTATTTCTTTATGTCTTCATTCTTTTTTATATTTTTAAATGTAATACATATGTATAATAATATTTTATGGTTATAAGAGAATCAAGCTAAAGAAACCATCTTCATTCTTTTACTTTGGATGTTTGTTTCTTTCTCACATATTCATGTATATTTAATTTATTTTCAAAAGTATGTAATTTTTTAACAAAATAAACTTTTTGTTATATAATTATCAAACCAATTTGTAAGACATTCTTTTAAGAATAATGATCCTTATATTTATTTTGTGATTCAACATGTAATAATACAAAGAACATTATAATTTGTTTTAACTTTGAATTTTATACTTGATTTCCTATCTAAAAACAATTTGATATTCCATTTTCTATCTATTATATATACTACAAGGATGAAAAATATAATTAAACCTAGAAATATAACTTAAATTAAGAGGAATATAAAAAGAGATTAAAAATTAAAATTATTTCTTGGGAATTTTTAAGGTTTCACTCTCTCCTTATTGGTCCATTTAACATTTATTTTTTAATTATAATATTTATTTTTAATTAAACCAAATATCTAACACATTTAGTCATATACTTTAATTCATACTTGAAATCCACACTTTACTATTAAATTGTAACTTAAATTATATAACCTTTCAATTGACTATTTGTTTCCTCCATTTAATTTTCAATTAACACACTCCTCTTATTTAATTATTTTAGAATTGTAACTTACATCATATTTTATCCTATAAATACTCATTTTTACATCCTCCTCCACCATATATGATATTCTCAATATTTTCTTTGTTTAGTTTTTAATGTTCTTGCATGGGTTGAAAGCTCAATTAAGATATCATTGTAAGAGTTTGATTATATATTTGGTTAAAACTTTTGTTTTCAATTATATTTCTTCTTCATTTTTTCATTGTTTTTATACTATTAAATGTATAATACATATGTATAATAATATTTTATGGCTATAAGGAAATTACTTTATCGATGGGATTCAAAAATATTAATTTCTGACCATCGCACCATAAGAAAATCAAGCTAAATAAACCATTTTCATTGTTTTACTTTATATGTTTTTTTCTTTCTCACATATTCATATATATTTATTTTATTTTCAAAGTATGTAAATATTTTAACAAAATATTTTTTTGTTATATTCAAACCAATTTGTAAGACATTGAATAAATAAAATTTTATACACAAATAAAGGTAATTTTTGTGTATATTTATAAGTTTACACACATATTTGGATAAATTTCAACATTTTTAGTGGTTGTTTTGATAAAGTTTGAAAAGCGGGTAAATTTAAAAAGTGGTATTTTTAAAGGGGTATTTTTTAAATTCTCCCAATATCATTTCTATTTTTATCATTAACAATATTATTGTTTTATCAAAAAATACTGAAAAGTACTAAATAAAATTACTATCAAAATTGATTAATTGTTCAATTAACCAACGAATAAATTCAAAAGATATGGATGTATGCTTCTATTGTATGATTTAAATAAATAACATGTAAAAATGTCATAAGCATTAAAATTTATTTAATCTATTTTTTAGAAGTAATAAATAAATAAAAATAATTAAATAAATATACAACAACCCGCGCATATGCGCGGAACATTACCTAGTGTTCTACAATATGAAGCCATGAGTCAGTAATACAATAAATTCCAACAAAATCGAGTTTAATGATCCTTGAAGACGACATGTTGATGAGGCGAAGATTAATCAAAACGAAGAGTGTGACTGAGAGATGCGTTACGAAGCTAAAGTTACAAAGAATTGTTGGTGTAGGAATTAGCACCAACGACATACCGGCCTAAACCAAGAATGAATCGAATCGGACCAACGGAATCGGGGAATCCCGGTTCCACATTTAAAGAAGATTTATGTTCATTCCTAAAGTGGAAATGGGCGACTTTGTCTCGTTAGGGTTTCATAAACCCTAATTAAATATTTATGAGGATATTCTTTATAAATCTAGGGAATACGAGCATTTATTGTAACCCTAGATCTCTTGTATAAATAGAGAAGATGCCTCTTTTCTAGGGCATCGAATAATCAATACAAAAAACCCTAAATCTTTGATCTATTGAGCGAAAACCTAACTTTATCCTAAAGAAATTGGGACCCCCTTTTCATGTGTGAATTCCTAATTCAACAATTGGCGCCGTCTGTGGGGACTCTTACACAAGAGTCTCTATGTTCCTCTACCACTAAGAAAAACCGATTTGAAGATAACTAACAACCGATGAGAGAAAAAAGGAAGAAATCTCAATCCGAGACGTCTCTTTGCATGAAGCTTTCCCGGCGAAATTCAACGAACTATGTTACCAAAAACCCATCCCTGGATTCCACTGAACGTCAGCTTTCCGTAAAGCCCAAGTTCGTCTCAATCGGAGCTTCCTGCTGAGAGATATCACCGCTTCTCTGCAGCAGACACAGATCTGTTTGTTTCCAACCAAACAGCTTTGGGACCGATTTCCCGGCTGAGTATAATGAACTAGATTACGTTCTACCTACTCACGGATTTCTATGAGAATAAGCTTTCCACAGATCCCGAGTTTGTCTCAATCGGAGCTATCTACTGAGAGATATCGACGTTTCTCTACAGCAGACGCAGTCTATCAACGCAGAATCGTCTGTTTCCACCCAGTCAGCTACGGATCGATTTCCCAGCCGAGTATAAAGAACTAAATGAATTTCTACATATGCACGGATTTCTCAGAGAAAGAGCTTTCCAAAAAATACAATTTTGCTGCGATTGGAGCTATATGTTGAAAGATATCAACGTTTCACTGCAGCAGATGCAGTCTGTCAATACCGATCCATCCGTTTCCGATCAAACAGCTTCGGAACTGATCCCCCAGTCGAGTCCAATGAATTAGGTTATGACAACCTATCCTATGGATTTCCACGAATGTTGGCTTTCCGGAAAATCAAACCTCGTCTCAATCGGAGATGTTTGCTCAGAGTTGTCACCATATCTCCGAAACAGAGCCGGCCTGTTAAAACACCGATTCGTCATTATACAAACAGTAATATTAAAGTCTGATTTTCTGACGAAGTAGAACGAACTAGGTTACGAATAACCTATCTACAGATTGCCCTGAATGTCAGCTTTCCGAAAAGCCCAACCTCGACTGAATGTCGGCTCCGTGCTGAAAGTTATCACCTACCGTGTACAGCAGGTCAGAAACCCTAAACACAAACCATCCGACTTCACGATCAATTTTGGAGCAAACCAAAAGGAGCTCGTCAATATTTCATAGCTTACCTATCTCTCAGCTCGTCCACATCTCGCCTAGCTTACAGCTCCTCAGCCTACAGCTCATCAACAATTCACCTAACTAACAGCTTGTCAACTCGTCAGCAAACTAGTTAACTCGCAGCTCGAGTCCAAGACTAATCTACCATCGATCAGGAAGGAACCTGGGATCGATCTACATATCGTTCTAGAGCCTCGAGGTTTGTCTTTCTAGTGAAACCTACTTCGCTTCAATCGACACTGTCTACCCAAAGTTATCATCATATTTCAAGAACGGACACGTCTTATCCAAAAATTCAGATCGCCCAAGTTCGGGACCAGTTTCCCGCTGATCCAGAAGGTATCTAGAGTTGATCTACATATCATTTTGAAGCCCCAACGCTCATCTTTCCAACAAGACCAACATCGCCTCAATCGACACTTTCTGGCGAGAGATATCATTTTTTGTTTGCAGCAGACGCAACCATGCACAAATCCGAACACACAGATTCGTTATAATCAGATCATCCCACTTCTTGACTAGTTTCCCGACGATATCGAAGGAAGCTAGAGGCGATCTACATGACACTTTGAAGCCCCGAAGCTTATATTTCTATCAAGACCGACCTCACTTCAATCTGCGCTATCTGACGAGAGTTATCATTGTTCGTATGCATCAGACGCAACCCTTCCGAACTCCAAAAATGCCGTTTCGGATCATCCAGCATCAAAATCAAATTCCCGATGAACCAGAAGGAACTTGAACATGACCAAAGAATCTTTGAAAAGATCTTTCTACAAGGAGTCTAGTGCAACAAATGGATTCTCATTCCGAGTTAATCTCCATCTGCACATCGCTTTGGAAGTGGCTAAAATCTACAAAAATCTGAAAGAACGCCCCTTATCGCCTCAACTTAGAGGGCTCGTGGAAGACACATTCGACATCTGATGGAGACGAAATTTTACAGAGACGTTCATGATATTACTAGATAGTGATTCAACGGTGGGATCGAAAAAGTAACAGTTCAATGAAAACTTATTCATGCGTCTCTGAGAGGAACTAACGAAGATCCTACATCGACAAGGGTCTAAGGTACGACCCACCCATTGTCTCCAAAACCAAAGATAAGTATTACTACCTATGAAATTAATAAGCATTGTTTGATAATACTTGCTTTATTACTCTTTTATACTATGCTCACACTTGATCTGAAAATTCTTGCTAACCGAGCTAATTAAAAGAGTTGAGCAAGACTTCGCCAAATAGTAGCTCTCGTAAACCTGTTTCTTAGCAGCACTCCTCGTAAGCCTGCTCTTCAGCAGCTTGCTTTTCAGCACTTCTCCTCAGCTTGGTCTCATAGCTCTCCTCAGCTCGCTTCTCAGCTTGAGCTCACTTCTCAACTTTAGTTTGCTTATCAGCTTCAGCTAACTTCTCAGCAGCTCGTCTTAGCTTTAGCTCTCTTTTCAGCAGCTTTCCCCAGCTCGCTCCCCAGCTCGCACCTCAACATCTCTCTAGCAGTTCATTCCAGCTCGTTTCTTAGCAGTCACAGCTTGCTTCACAGCAGCTCTCTTCAGCTCTTACAGCAGTTTCAGCTCGCTTCTCAGCAGCTTCAACTCGCTTCTCTGCCGTTCTCATAAGCATGCTTCTTAGCAGCTCTTGTCAATTATTATGTAGTTGCTATCTCAGGATATAGCCGAGCCATGCCTCACATAAGAAAAAATCGTGCCCTGTAAATCGTGCCCTGTCTCGCATAACACAAAAGCCGAGCCATGCCTCGCAAAAAGAAAAAAAAACAAAAAAAATGTTCGGGAATCCGAACTCAACTCATCCTTATAATCACTGAACTACGGATGGCTTGATCCCTTTTCGGGTACGTAGGCAGTCCTTCATCGGATGCAGCTGCAACTATTAATAAAAGTAAAGTTAGCGTTTTTCTAGAACGTATTCCTACTTTATTCAAAACGAATCATTTGTCGACATCCTGGCCAGATGATCGACTTGCATCAGATGCATACAACTCTTTAAGAGATTAAGCCGAACCCAGAGGATCATTGGATCGATTTCGCATACAACTCTTTTACGGGATTAAGCCGAACCCAGAGGATCATTGGATCAATTTTGCACCCGAGTTCTAGTCCGGACGGAATCATTAGCCGAACCCAGAGTTTTATTTCGCAGTCCGCTTCCGACCTAGACAAAGGGGTAAGCCGAGCCCAGAGTTTCCTCTCGCTCCCCGCAAAAGCACACTACTGCTTGGGATAGAACACCCATTTACGGAGCCCAGAGTTTTTCTTCACCTTATGTCGCTCGTTTGACCGCGAGGTGTAAGCCGGGAGACGTCCTGCCGCTCGTTGAGTTCCAAATAAATCGAGTAAACCAAAATAATAACTTTATTCAAAGCACCGAATGGGCAATTTCTTGGCACATCTCGCCATAGAAACAAAAAATAAAACACTACTCCGAAAGAGGCATACTTCCATTTTTTCCAAAGAAATGAAAGGGAAACTCGACATAAATCGAAAAAATTTCAAAAGAATATTACAAAAGCCCACTGCCCATTCAAGTTCAACAAAAAAAAGAAAGAAAACCAAGGAAGCTCAAACAGTCTCCGCGGCGACATCGACATCAGGTTTGGCCAGCTCGCAAGGGGGGTCGGAAGTACCGTCCGAAGCCCAAAGATCGGCCTGGAAAACCGGAGCATTTGATCTGTGCAGATCCCGGATAGAGCTCAGAGCAGAATCTTCGGACCGAAGAAGGCCCTAGTCGAGCTGATCCGGAGACATGTTCAGATCAGCGGACCCTAGAACGAGGTAGTCAAGCGCGTCAACGACTTTTTGACACTCGACACTCAATGTCTTGATATTGGCAATCTCCACCTCGGGAATCTGGGCATGGCATTCCGTGATAAGCCGATCCACCGTAGCCTCGACTCCGAGAGCCTGGTTCAGCAAATCTTCCTTCGGGCGAACAGCGACCTCCTGCTCAGTCATGAACGCCTTCACTCGGTCAAAACGGTCCTGAGCCTTTTTCCTGGTACGCTCGACCTGAGCTTGACGATCCAGTCGACGTAGCCAAAGCTCGGAGTCGGCAAATTCCTCCCTCCGATCCGACCTCGATGATCATAAAGAGGTCGGAGCTTGTTCACGTAGATCCCAATGGCGGCAAAACGCTCCTCGGCATCCAGGCGATCAAGGTTGGAAGACTGCCCGACCTCCAGAACATTAGAGACGGCGACGTTATTCTCACCATCCCGAGCCGGTTGGCGCTAGAAGGAGGGGGGTAGAGCAAAATTTTACCTTTTTTATGAAGAAGCAGAAATGAAGAAAATGGAAGCGAAGATCTGATATTTCTAGAAGCTGCTGGGCGGCAAACCTAAGAAAAGTAATGATGACCTAGGTGATGTTCGACTTCCGAAATACGCGCCGCTTCCCGAATGAGCGACATGTGGCAATCCAAACAAGATAGGCGACCGTTCGCTTCAAATTTAATTCGGTTCTTCTTAGCTTAGGTCAGGTATAACTTAAAGTTCCATAACTCGAATGAATATTCGACCCATCGAACTGGGGGGGGGGGGATTTATTGTTGGTGTAGGAATTAGCACCAACGACATACCGGCCTAAACCAAGAATGAATCGAATCGGACCAACGGAATCGGGGAATCCCGGTTCCACATTTAAAGAAGATTTATGTTCATTCCTAAAGTGGAAATGGGCGAATTTGTCTCGTTAGGGTTTCATAAACCCTAATTAAATATTTATGAGAATATTCTTTATAAATCTAGGGAATACGAGCATTTATTGTAACCCTAGATCTCTTATATAAATAGAGAAGATGCCTCTTTTCTAGGGCATCGAATAATCAATACAAAAAACCCTATATCTTTGATCTATTGAGCGAAAACCTAACTTTATCCTAAAGAAATTGGGACCCTCTTTTCATGTGTGAATTCCTAATTCAACAAGAATGAATGATATACACGTCTTCATATGTTGTAAATCGTAACCCCAACATTAACTCATTGCTAACTTCCCTACATGATTAATTGTGATTTTGATATCTTACGATACTACAAACTAACATAACATATCTGACGCATGAGTGACATCGTATATGACGCCATAGGGACAGTATCTCTTTCTCCATTTTTAGGACAACCAAGTTTAGCATTGGATACTTATCGTATGATTAACTCAGCTTGTGTGTTGTGTTGTGTGCTCAACTTTAATTGACAAACTTGTTAGTAAGAGTATCGTCGCGTACTTAGAACATCAATGTTAGATGTTTGTTTTATTCCAATAATTTCGTATGGTAAAGGTTTGTCCAAAACTGAAAGACATTGAAGCCACTCAAGATATAGTTTTTTAGCGTTTTATGGAATTGTTTCTTTCATTTATATACACAAAGACAACCTTGAGTAGGTTATTAATCAAGCCACTCAAAATAATACGAAATCATGTTTACTTGCTCCAAATGAGCCACTAATCTCAAGCGAAGCTTGTGTTTGCTTTTATGATTTACAAAAGAACAAGAAAAAACTGAAAAAATGTTCTAAAAGGTAAAATGTAAAAACAATATGTTACCATTGCACTGAAAAAGAGAGTATTCCTTAATTTGTGAATCAAATACAGTGTGAAGCGAAGAAACTTTAGATGCTTCTCAATAAACTTTTATCAGATTCAGTGTAATTGAAACAATAATCATAACACATTCTATCAAAGGTGCACAAAAATAGATGTGACTAATGAATCTTAAGACCATCTCATAGAGCTTGATGAACAGCTACTGGAACAGAACTCAACTCTTCATCATCATCTTCACTCTTCTTCTTCGCCATCCATGGTTTCACGGCTTTCCACTCCTCCCAGCCTCTTCTTACATCTTTCAATTCCTCGTCTATCAAACCATCGTTCCTATCCAAATGCTCCAGCCACTCTGCCCATGGAGCTTTCTCAGAATCTAAGAATCTGCTCACCTGTGGAACCATCACTGCTCTGTAAAACTCCTCTATTTCTTTCTCCACTTCTTCTGATTCACCCGGTGCTTCCACCACCTGCCTCTGAGGAAATCTACGCACTTCGAAACTGTTTCCTCTTAGGATCAGTACTTCAGATGGAGCAAGAGGCAAAACGATTCTTGTGAACTTGTTCAGTGATAGTCTTATGATGTCCCTAGGAAGCAGCTCTCTCTTCACTGCCACAGCCGTTCCAATCATTTTCCGTATCTAACTTCCAAACATTTTACAAAACACAACAATGATACTGTTTTAGTTAAGCTATTATAAGCAATTCTTGTTTTTGTATCATTATGTATATACATTACCTGATGTAACATAAATGATTCTCCCCATATGGAGATCTCGACAAATCTGAATCCAAGTGAACTCTCCAGCTTTCCACTTCGACATCGAAACACTTTTCTGAAATGAGCACCGCTCAGCTTATCTGTCTCATCTGGCTCATACAACCATTTTGCACGAGTGTTCACCTGAGAATTATCAGAAAAATGTTCATCAGATTCACCATCAACTTCCTTTTCCTCTTCCTCTTCTTCTTCAATTTCTCTGTGGTTTTCCTCTGCAAACTCTGTTTCTGATGCTTTGACTGATTTTGGTTCTTTTGGAGGGCGTCCGTTTCTTTGTTTTAACTTTTGTTCCGACTTTCTTCTGTACCGTGACCGCTGTGTATAGTTATGGAAAGGATATTCACCCTACAAGGAAAAAAAAACAGTGCCGATGAATCACAAATGTAACAAACTTGAAGTCTGATAACCAAAGAAACAATGCAAAGCTCTCACCTCAAATTCTTTTAAAATTTCATTGAAATCAGTAATGTGATAGTCAATCTCATCTGAAGTAAAGTTACTTTTGATCCCGATAACATCAACAGGAAGGAGGTAAGAATACTTCCGAAGCGTACACTCTCTTCGGGGATCAAATCTCCTGTGAAGATACAGAGCTTATAATTGTAAATGAGTCAAGCATGAGATTTCAGCCTATGATTTCAGAATTTTATTCGGCTTTCCAAATGCTAGAATCATATTGCACCAAGCGCAGAACTTGATAAAACTTCTCACTCACCTATTCGATGGTAACACACTGAAAACTCTGATATTCTCAGGAAGGTGTTTGCTAATGCATTTAGCAAGAACAATGCCCTGAGGATCATCCTTCCACGCTGTCTCAGGGATCTCCATTTTCAACGATATTGACGTTGCCAAAGAATGAACCTAAGAACATGTTACCAACAAACAAAAATCAAAGACACACAGTGAATATATATGCATCAGAAGGCAATCATCAGTTATGGAACAGAGCAAAAAGAAAAATGCTCACTCCTTTATCAGTTCGACTACTTCTAGCCCAACCAATCTTATGAAGATCACCATAGTTACTATCTCTAATCCCACCTGCCTTGTATATAGCAACTTCCAATTCACCCTCAATAGCTACAAATTCAAAATATTTGAGCTTAGATTAGCACACTAGTGAACATAAAAACATGATCTTACAATAGATGTGCAAGGTAAAAGAACCATGAAACTGGAAATTGCAGGAACTAATAGAAGACCTGAGGTTTAGGGTTTATGCTAAGATTCACTATCAAGAGTAGAAATCCAAACTTTAAGACAAAAAAGAACTTACTTTTGATAGCAGGGTCGTCTCTTTGAATCTGCAAACCTGTAAATGAAGAACAAGGTCACAAAATGGTTCAATTCACAATAAAATCAGTCAAGAACTACAAAAAAAGCTTACCTCTGTAATCAGTACCAACGTATCCAATTCGAATAACCACCTTCTTCTTCCGATATGATTCCCATTTATCGGCGAGAAAGTGGTCGGAAGAAGATGGTGATAACGAAGTAGAAGACGGCTGTAATGTGGCGGCGGAAGAAGAGAATCGTACCAAAGCTGGTGTGGCCCGAGTAAGCCGGGTCGGATACCAGAAGACCCGCGAAGGAATTGGAATCCGTAGAAACGAGACTGCCATGACAATCAAAAGCTCTGGCTAGTTTCTAGAACCGGCGCTAACACAAAAGCTCAGATGATTTCTTCTTCAAAACTGCGTGCCGTCTTAATTGAGTAAAACAACACGCAGTTGTTAGATATATAGTAAAAACATCAAGACGTTGGAAAATTGTTTTTGACGTTTTCATTAAAACCCTACTAATATATATAAGTTCTTCTCCCTATGTTATTTTTGTGTCGCATCAAAACTATGGATACCTCTTCCTCGCCTCCCATAACGTTCCTGCCATGATCACTTTCGTTACTTCTCTCGCTACGTTTTTTTTTTTTTGGTAAAAGGTTAAATAATTCTCTCGCTACGTTACTAAAACTTCAAGAGTGTAATAACTAATAATGATGATGGTATGTAACGATTCTGATGTAGCAGCAGCCATGCATATTTATATTTGTAGGTACTTTTCATTCATCTCTATATGAATTAGCCAATTGATTTTGTTTTGCTCATGTTAATTCAGATTGATCTTGAAAACAAAATCACCTTTAATGCTTGTTTATGTTAATATTGGCCGGACGATGTTTAGGTAAGGCTGGAGACCAGGGACCACGAGAGTGATGTAGAGCAGCTAGCGTCCGGTTGGGTTGGTTTGTTTGTTTATGTGTTTTTTTATAATGAAGACTGATTTGAAAATAGAGCACTTATGTAATCACACTGTTATGCTTCTAGTGTATTGTAGGTATTTATAAAGCTTTGTATATGTTTGGAGACATATCCATCTATTTGCCATGGAAGCTTGAGTATTGAAAGGTCCACGGATTCTCAGGTAGGCATAGCTGATTTCTCTCAAAACCTTTTTTATATATATATAGTTGGGTTTGCATCTTAGTTTAAATAGGCGCAAAGGGTCCTTGAATCGTCGGGAGTCTTTTAGACATGTTTTGGTAGAGATTTCTAATAAAACATACAACTCACATCTTTAAAAAAACTTGGCCGGTCTAGAAAATGATATTATGCAACTGCAACAACTACCAATTGCGGTTGATGAGCAAAGCAATGAACATAATATGTAGATTCACTTTCTCAAGAAACTAATGGTCTTAGCTTATTAAACGCATCTTTCTTGTTACGTGTTTCATCATAACCTTGTCCTCTTAGCTTTGTTAAGCTTAACTTGTATTTTGCAAAAAACCATGAATACTTGATTTTAGTGAGAAAAAAATGATTCTTTTAATATGAATAACTCCAACGAATCTTTTTTTTAACTGCTCCACTCTTATCAAAAAGCCGGAAAACAATAACTATTTGTTCTTTGTCTAAAATATTGGCATATTCATCAACTCAACAATCCAAACACATCATGATCAATTTCTCCAATGATAGATTTCACAACTTTTTAATTATTTTTTTGAGTTCCTAGAGAAATTATTTGAATATCTGTTTGAATGACTATTTAGATGATTTATTTAAAGATTCAAAATTATTTGAAAGCAAAAGAAATTGTGAAATCTATCATAAAAGATATTGATCATGATGTATTTGTTTTTTTGGTTGATGAGTATGTTGATGGTTGATAAGACTGAAACAACTAAAGAAACATTTGTTGGAGTTATTCATGTAAAGAACAAAATTTAAATTACCTCTTATCAATTATTGTTGGTTTGTTAGCACAATATGGATTAAGTTTGATAAAGTTGACATGACAAGGTTATGATGGCGCATGTAATATGAAGGGTGAATTCAATGAGTTTAAATCATTGGTTGTGAGGAAAAACAATTCTACATATTATGTTCATTGTTTTGCTCATCAACTTCATTTGGTCGTCAAATCAGTTGCAAAAAAAGAAAAATTTATGTTGGTGATTTCTTGACGTAAATTTTATGTTGTTGACCATAGATGGAGATTTTATATGATTCTCAATAGAAAGGATAGGATTCAAGAAAGTTATTGAAAAAGTGCATAGCGAAATTAGTATTGGTGATATTAGCAATAGAACATGATTGAATCAAGATAAGTTTTTTTAAAAATTTGGTATTCCTTGAGTTATTGCATTTGGTTCCGAAGTTAGTTTTAATGTTGTCTGTTGGTATTGCAATTGTTAAAAAGTGTTTCTCGGCAATGAAATTAGTGAAGAGACATCATCACGCAACCGAGTTTAATTTGAGACCAATTTTAAAGTGATTATATAGTTTGTTATATTGAGAATGATTTATATGAATATTTTCAATATGTAGGTGAGCAAATAATATTTTGCTAAGGTATTACGTTTTGTCCATTTTATCACGTGTTTAGTAAGACATAACTTTCAAATAGTCCCGGTTTTTTTTTATATATGCTGTTTTTGTTTTGACTAACAAAATAGGTCGGGCGTAAGATGAAGACAAGAGAATGGATGATCTAAAGCATATTTTACAGATGCTTTATCGGAATGGCAAATAAGGTTTGATCTCAGATTCTCAGATCACTTTTCACACATGCATTGCGCTTACTTTCTGTGCATCAACGTGCAAGTCATCCCGTAGCTTCTGGAGTTTGGGGCTTGGCTCATAACCTGGAACTGTAACGGACTGAGTAATGAGTATTCTACATGAAGCTGAAAATATTGTACAATGGTTCCATTTGGTGAATGAATTCAAGTTGTTCTGGTTGAAGTAGGTTATTAGGCCAATTCCTTTATTGTTGTCTACTGTAAATTGTTATGTTACAAGGGTGATGGTGGTCTGTGGGATTGGTTGCTATTGAGAACCCAGAGACAAGTTCAATGATGTTTTCTGCTTTATGTTAGAATTTGTATCTAAACATGAAAAGAGAGGCCATTCAAAAATGCAAGTACGCATTAGAGTTTCATAAACCGATTTAAAGCAGCCTATGACCACGGTAAGTTCGACTCCGTCTATTAAGGAGGACTTGATGAAGCCTACTCAAGCTAAAGAATAAGCTCAGTGGTAATCTCTTGATACACTCAAAATTGTCAAAAGCAGACAAGGAACTCGCCGAGATATATATACCTGGGGCTAGACAGATATAACTCTCAAAGATGGTCTTCCCAACTAGGACATGATCGATCTGTACAAAACATACTTGCTCTACTGTGTAACCGGAGACGTAACAAGAATCCCATTCGGTTCTCGGATCACAACAAAGAGATACGATTCAGAGTACTCGCTTCTGAATCATCTTAGTGGTGTTCTTGCTCTACTGTGAAACCACAGTTAACCAAAAACAGTTTCGACAGCTCGAAGAAGTAAATGTAAGCTTGGACAGCATGATCTCTATGCATTAGAGAACAAAATCTATTCAAGAAAACAGTAGATGCCATGTTGTCATTATGAACCGGTGAATTCGATTGATTCCAATAAGGCGAAATAGAGTACTTCATGTTCTTCCTTTTGAGTAATCTACTACCAAACTCTTTGATCCAATCTGTATCACTACACTCAAACAGAGAAACACTAAAGAAATGGTATGTAACATCAATGGCTATAAGAACAACTCTGTATCAAAATACCAAGAATTTGCTTTTAGTGATCTTCATGAATATTGCGAATTGCAGCAGTGATCTTCTTACAATCAAACTCCATAGTCTTCATCCAATTCTCAAAATCTCCAATCTCCTATCAAAATCAAGCAACCATATCCATCATTGAACAAAACAAAACAAACAAAGAAGACGAAACGAGATTGAAGAAGACTCGTCGAGATTATTAGAAACCTTAACGGCGCTATTAACGGCGTGAGTCGCAGCAAGCCACTGATCCGTCTGTTTTCCAAATCGCGCCACCGTAACCGCGAGACTCCGAATCTCCGACTCGATCCGTTTCTCGTTGACGAAACACTCCTCCACTCCTCCGTTCACCGCCTTAACTAGCAGATCCGCCGTCCTCGCCGCGTGTCTGATCGCCTCCTTCCTCGATCTCTCTGTTTTCCAAAATTTGTACCTCTGTGAATCTCACTTTCTATTGTCTCGATTTTGATCGGAATTAGCGGAGGAATGGAGTCGATTTACGTACCGGTTTTTTCCCGGAGCTGTAACGACGATCGACGGTTGTCATCGATTAGCTGTAAGAGACTCGATTCCAGTGTACCAGAATCTTCTTCCGTTTTATCCTTCTCTGAAAATGATAGCACGCGCCCACGCGCCGGCATATTCATCTCTCTCTCTCCGGTGAATTGGTTTGGTAACAATTATATTCATTCTTCGACTATTTCGTGTCGTTTTCATACTTAAACAGATACTCGTTGCACTACGCGCCGTTTATAGCTCATGGAGACGTCACGCATTTCGTTTTTAATCACAAATTTCATGTATACTACTAGTATTTCGTGATTTCTAAAGTTAATTTAATTTATTTGTTAAATCCTGTCTTTTTAATCAATTTACTTTGCAATATCCCTACTATAGTAAAAGAGAAGTACACAAAAGATTCGGATCGGGGTTTTCAAAAAATTCCGGATTAAATTTTCAATCGGATATTTGCCAAAAGTTTTGTTAAATATTTGCCAAATATATCAACAATATATACCAGATTTCTATCATTTAGGAAACTATATTAATGTTACATTATTTTATTTTAGAAAATATATTAATGCTAAATAAAAAATATGTCTTATAAGGAAAATTTGTTTATGAATATAAAGATCTCAATCTTTCAAAAATATTTTAATTAGTATATTAATTTCTTATATGAAAAAAATATAATTTTTTATAAGTTTAAATCTTTGATATATAGAAAAATTATAATTTAAAAATATTTGGTATAAAAATATAAAAATGCATCTAAAATACATAAATAATGGTAATATAATCAATAAAAGTGTTAATTAGTTTGAATTAGTTAAACTTTTCGAAAAATAAAATTTGAATATATATATGGCTATAAAAAACGAAAGACTTTATTAAATTAGTATGATGTTTGTAATATATTAAATCTTTATTATTATTTTTTTTCTTTCCTAATATGTTAAATGAAAGATTCTAATCAGAGTAAAAAAAAAATAGAATATGAAAAGAGGTTTCAAAATTATTCCAATGATCCAATCATCAATTTGAATTACCTATAAAAAAGAATAATATTTTATCAGTAGCATAATTAATGCAAAATTATAGAGATCCATATATATCTAGAAATGGTTATATTTGAATTTTGAAAAAAAAAGATTTTGACTATCATTAATATATTTCAATGAGTAATACGAAAATATTTTGGATACAAAAAAAATAATTAAAATTTTAGGATAATTATTATAATTAACTAAAAATACTTTAATAACAATATTTTATCTTTCTAATTATTAATCATCAAATCAGTACTAATACAAAATCAGTCATAAAGAATATATTTCAAAAGTTAGTTTAAATAAATTACCTTAAATTCTGAATTTTCCTTAAAATGTTCTAAATATATATATATATATATATTAAATTTAAGGAAATCACTTAAATTTGTTTTACAAGCTGAAAAGGTGTTTTCTATAAGAATTCAATTTACTAACTTACAAACCCAAAAAATCGACACCCTCTCCTTACAATATAAAGTCATATATTCGTTCAATATTATACATTTTCATGATTCTTTTTAAATACACGAGTTTTTGCTGATTGGTTCGTCACCACATACATTATGAGTATATAATTTGTTTAATAATCATTCTTTTATTTAGTATATTAAAATATTATATTTGATTTCCGAAAACACACTTTTCTCAAAGACTTGAAACTAAATATACATTTTGAAATAATAATTGTTGATACTAAAATAAACGAAATAATAACACATACGACAAATCACGTTAAAATAAAATAAACCTGAAAATATTCTCAGCGCGGGTCTGAACCTAGCATACGTGACAAAGTACACATCCACGATAGTACATATTCTCATACTTGCCAAATTCAACACCAGCAATCTATTTCAATAATTTAAAATTTACGTAATTCGGAAAAAACAAAAACCGACACTTTTCCTCCGCGCTGTAGCGCGGGTCCGGGCCTAGTTTATTTATATTTTAGTAAACTACTTTTTTTTTTGTAGAGAAGATACAAAACTAAGTCCATAATAAATAAATAAATTATTAGATAAAATATGAAAGTGAGATCCTCCTTTAGATTACAACAATTTGCTTGTATATATGTTTACTCGTATATTGTCGGGATGGAATGATGTTATAAAGAAAGCAATATAATGGATGGAACAATGCCTTTTGTTATGAAGAGAAGACATTGGTCTCTGTGTGGCTGCATCCAGAAACAATGGCTTTACGTCCTTGAGAAGTGGGCATACGACCGTGTAGTGTGTGTGTGTATAACCAATAACCCTACTTAGGAAAAATAAAATATGAGCTAGAGTGTCATAAATAGCTTATCAAAATGCATTTCTTCGCATGAATATGCATGCTGCAAGATACCATAGATAATTAATTCACTAGAATGTAATAATTAAAGTGTTCTTTAAAGGATAGTTTTCGTCTCTCTAAAATGTCAATATTTTTGGTATAAAGAATCTTCAGTTTAACTTTACAATATATATTTGATCATTTTAAATCGCAATACTAAATTAGATAAAGAAGAATAGGAGATTTTAGAGTTTTTACCAAAGTGTTGTATCGTAACAAGCAAAAGAGGTTCTACTATAGTATCATTAACATAGAAAGCATTATATATTTATATGAGACCATATAAATCTTCATTTAAATGAAAACAAATCTAGTTACATTTTGATGGATATATTTTAGTACTTCTAAAAATCAGAAAAATACAAAATAATTTTAAAAAAAATTATATTCGCCGTGAACACATTGTGTATTTTAACAAGCAAGCACATGAGTTGTAGTGTATGTAGGTATATAATGGCTGGAAATAAGTTAAGGAAAAAAATCAAAATGTGATTATTAGGAGTTTATATATGGGACATTGTGTAATCAAGAAATCAGATAAATACTAATGGAGTAGTACTATATTACAATGTATGTATTGGCGTCATGTGATTACTCTGGAACCCTGTTAGGGATATTAATAGATTCTGTTCAGTTGTGATTAATTAATTGATATTAGTTAATCTCTTTAATTAACTAAACCACATTGAATTCTTATAAATTCATTAGTTGTACATGGGAATACTCGTTGCCCAATTCATATATGTATTAGTCAACGCCTCCATTTAATGTTAAATCTGACTTAATTAAATAATTATAATTTGCTCATAACTTAATGAATCTCTCTTTAAATACTAGTTTCAACTTTCAACCCTCACGAATATGTTTTTTTTTACCCATTTAAATTTGGGTTCTCATTTTAGGAAAAATTACAAAATTTCATATATATATATATATATATATGAAAAAATGACAATGATTAGCTCTAATTTTAATAAAAAGTTAAGGGAAACAGCTGTTAGTTATTAAAAACCGATACTACGTACGTATTTGTATATGATTGATCTAAATCAAACATGACGTCTGTTTATTCACTTAATTATTTTTGTTATCCTGTATAGTTTGTTCAACTAGATGACTATACTTAATTAGGAACCTAAAAAAAGAGTATGATCACATATCATATGACACATATAAAAAGGTTTAGCGTGTACTGATTAAGAATTAAGAATAAAATAGTATATAAAAAATGTATAAAAACACAGAATTAACAAACACATAATTCTGATTTAATCAAAGTAATGAACATTATTATCACTGGACATAGAATTGCTGTATCCAGCCGCCGAAGACGGAGGAGGGTTATACATAGAATTGGTGGCTGATGAATTTGAAGAAGACGAAGACGACAACACCATAGACGGAGACGGCAAAGAAGCCGGTGGAGTAGGCGGTGGAGCAGGCTGATGAGAGTGAGAGGACAACAACCTTGGTGGTCGTGGGGGAGGAGGAGGTGGAGGTGGTGGTGGGAGGAGAATCGCCGAGGCTAGACCATGATGATGATCACAGCTCAATGATGATGTTGTTGTAGTGTTGTTGAAGCTGTTGTTGTTTTGGAGAGAAGTGATGGTTGTGGCTTCTCGGTACTTGTAACGGAGGATGTCTGTACGAACGGTCGTGAGTTCGGTCTGAAGAGACTGAATGTGGTGTTGAAGAGCTGAGATTGCTCCCATGCAGCCGTAGATTGGATCTCTCAGTCTAAGGTTTGCTTCGTACACTAAACTGTTCGCTGCGTCTCCTCTTTGGCTCTCTCCTACTTCCTGCGATGACAACACTTTTAGTTTTAGTCCCTACTTAAATTACATGCATGTGCATATTATTTACCTATGTTCTAATTATACAAGCTACTTAAGTTTTGAAAGTACTGTATCTAGGAGGAATATACCAAAATGTAATGTGTAATTAAGATTAAATCATTCTTATACATTTCACAAAATTAATGGTAATTTTTTTTTTTGAAACAGAAAATTAATGGTAAGTTAGTATAAAAAAATAACGATAAAAATCTTCTAAGAATTTTTTTGTATTTATATATAATTACTGTATATAGCTTCATTAATATTATGAACAATATAAAACAAGTTCCATTAATCTTATTAGTATGTGCATCTAATATTATGAAATATTCTACCTATCTCAATTAGTTAAACCACCTAGACTATATTATAAACTAGAAAATTACTGTTTTAATTAGATTTTAGAAAGAGTCAAACGAAATTAAAGTTGTAGATCTGTTCAGCTATATGTTCCCATTAATCAGATATGATTGTATAGAGTACTCAAGTTATAAACATATATATGCAAGTACGTACCAGAAGCATCTTAGAAACGTTACTAGCTCCAAAGACTTTATGAACGGCGGCGAACTTGTGAGGCTCGTGGGGAGAGAAGTAAGGAGAGAAAGGACACTCCTCGGCGCAACGACGGCGGAGGAGCTTACAAGCGGCGCATGGGGTAACGGTGTTCAACGTCGTCCCCGGAGGCACGGCCACATGTCTTCTGATGCCCATCACGGCATGATCCGTCGTGGTTTCGAAAGTTGGATCTTTCTTTATCTTCTTGACGATCTCGTAGTACTCTCCAAATCCTTCCCTGTTGTTGTTTCCATTCATTATTTCAAACCACCACCAACACCAAGTTGATTGATCATAAATCTCAAAAGATCATAAAGAAAGATTTATATATGTCTGATTTGATTTTTACCTTTCTCTGGACATTAACGCATGCTAAGTAATTATAGCATCAATGGAGGAAGGAGAAGAAAGAAAGAAAGAAGAAGAGGAGAAATGTAAGCAATATAGTTTCTTTAGAAAGAGAGGAGAGTCATTAGGGTGTGTGTATTAAATGATCTTTCTTTATTTAACATGGAAATATATATATATATATACTATAGTATGATCTAATACTTGATTATTAAAAAATTAATGTCTTGCTCTTGTACGTTAAGATATATTAATTATCAATATATTCGAGTTCGAGATTTGGAAGGAGATTATTAACTCTTGAGATACAAATCTATCGTCAATAGGTAATCAAATATTGAAACAAATACTGCCGACGATTTAAAGTTTTAACAATGCTCAATTCATTAATGTTTTTTGTTTTTCCATATTCTGACCATATGATATATAAACCCATTTCTAAATAAAGATCAAGACCCAACGATCAAAAACAATTCATATAATATATAACCTTTAAAGGTAGGTGGTTAAAGAAAGTTAGTTGAAGATTGAAAAACATGGTGCAATTGTACCAATCCTTGTACTATACTTGGTCTCAACTCATTAGTCAACAATACTCGATATTTAGGTAGCACTAGGTTTCTACAATCAGGATGAAACGTACCGGGATGATCAGATTCAGTCCGAATCTAGATCAAACATTACCTTTTAAAAAGACTAATTTTGGTGCTAACTGCTAATAGTGTAAAGATTAAACTCATTGTGTATGTTCAAGAGTTACGTTTAAATAATTGGGAGAGACCGAACCTTTACATTGTTTTTTCTATTCTTTGGTCAACCTGTTCACGTGTTTGTTGCAACTTACTTATGTCAAAACTGTAAAAAGAAGAAGAAAAAATCTAATACGAAAGAAGAAAGAAATTGGAAATATTGGACATGTGAGTACACGTGAAGGATGTTTCCATCTAAAAACACCAAAAATTAAATGCTTAAAACCATTTTTCTAGTGTAAATCATTGACCGTAATTACAAAAACTATGGTTCGTGTTTTTCTTCTCTCGTGTCAAGTACTCGCACGTCTTTAACATATCATAACATATACTACTATTAACATATTAACATGCACACTTCACACACGAATATATAAAAGTCAACACTAATCAACATCTAGAGAACATGTGGTTACTGCCGATCTCATCAATTTCACACTCTTCGATAATGGGAATTCGATTTTTCATATTACGCTCTATCGTAACTAGTCTTTGTAAACTGATACATACAAGTATTAAGTACATAAACTCTACATGTGTAGTTTAACTATAAAGAGTTATATATCATGTATTTGCAGAAATTAATTATCTTCTACGGGAACCAAAACTTGAGGTGTTAGAAAGCACCAAAAAATATAACTAGAGATTACGCAATAAGGGAGAGTGGGAGACTTAATATGGTTTTTTTCCTAATTAACAACATTGATTATGCGATTCAGAAAGTGACAGCATAGAGAGAGAGACACACACATGTTCAATTTTTCATTACTATCTATATAGACTTAATAAGTGCATTTGTTTGAGCATCTAGATGCTTAATCTAAATCTTATATCCCAATCTAAATCTTATATTAGGCAAATTAGAGACAGAGCAACTCATTTACATACAATGTGTTTTATTGAATATTTTGGATACAAGGTTTGAAATCTTTTATTATATATAAAAGAAAATTACAAGAAAGTTGATTTTGATTTGCACACACACAAGTGACATATTGTGTATTATTTCTACAACTCTATGAAATTAGGAGACCTAGTTAAATCTATAAACTCAGAAACTCTTCGTCTCTTCATAGACGACCCAGCTCTACAGCTTGGTGATGGAGTCATCAGATCTATCACCTCAACGTCAACCTCAGTCGTCGTCGAGGTGATAAGGTTCCTTCTTATCCAACTATCTTTCTCCATAGCTTCAGTGTTTCTTACAGTTCCATGTGATACTTCTTCATCTTCAACGATCTCTACTAAGCCGAAACCAGTGAAATTTGCTAATCTGTCAACGAATACAGTCTCGGGTTCTTTATCCATAACTTCAATGGATCCTACAGGGCTATGTGATACTTCATCTTCAACAGCCTCTTCTTCTAATGACCCAAAACCACTGAAATTTGCTAATCTGTCTTCATCCAATACAGTTACGGGTTCTTTCGCTTTTTCAAAATGCCGGTCATGAAGTTCCTTCTCACCCGGATACAAGTCATCCTGTGAGCTTGCACCTGAATTCCCAGGTTGGCTTTGGTTGCTATCTTCATCCTCCGCTTCTTCATTAACCTCAGGACTCTCATCATCTTCGGGTTGAGAACTGTTGTCAAGCTTTGTGAAGTATGGAAGATCCTCCATCGCACAAACTTCGACTTTCATGTGTAGAGGTAAACTTGGAGCAAGACCACCATAATGTGCATACTTTGATGAGAAATAATTGACTGTCAGGTTTAAACTGGTCACCAAGACAGAGAGAGATATATACGTTATGTCAAAAATCCGATAAGTAAAAATGGATAGCAGCAATGTATAACAGTAACAATAAAGCTTCCTAACCTGTTCCAAGCCGGAAGATTTAGCATTGTGTATACAAGCTTGATCTTGCCTGCAATCCCAGGGAAGGATTTGAAAGCAGCAGCAGCTTCTCTCACTGCCAACGATTCTCTCGGATGCTGCCAAGCCCATTCAAACTGCAACAAAGTTTCCACATCAGATTGACTAAATCTAACAGCAAACCATTCTATCCTTACTATTTATCTAACCTATTACTAATCCATATCTCTTCCCAATTCCTAAGCCTAATACCCCAATTTCAAAGTGATAGTGTACATACGTAACAAATGAGACTAAAACCGAAAAACTTTGTCCATGGGAATCGAAAAATACGATCTTTAAGTCGAAATATCTGCAAGGGAGAAAACAAAAGACCTGAAGGGCAGAGACGTTGGTTGGGAAACCATAGATACAGAGAACCATTTCCCATGGACGTTTCTTTTTTGTTCTCCAAGCACCACAAGTAATCTCTCCATTGTGCTGCCTTATTCTCCGCCTCGGGTTAACCGTGAACCTACACAAAACCAAGATCATTGTAAAATCTGTTTTTGAACTTAACTTCCACAGTTTATTGCCATCACATAGAACATCAACATTAAGCAGCAATCCAACATTTCGAACACTCACAAATCCTAATTCTGATCAAAATTTAAGATACTTTTCGTTCAGTCTTGATTTCAAGATCAAATGGGTCGGATCAGATTGTAAAGACAATCAAATAAACCCCCCAAAAAATGTAACTTTTTGTCTCCCCGAAGTAACCAGAGTTTGATTCAACACACCAGTCATCAAGATCGATTAAAATGGGGTTTGGATTTATCAAATCAACCGAAGAAAAAATGAGACTCTCGAATTGGGGAAAAAAGTAAGAGAAGATCAGAAATGAAGAACGTACCCGATATAAGTTTGACCCTTATGGCGAGGGCTCAGAGAGGTCAAGAGGTAGCAGGCGAAGAAGCCCTTTCCCTCTTTTCCGGTGACACCATCCTCACCGGCGGGATCTAGGGTTTTCCGATTTCCCCTTCTCTCTCTCATCTTTGTCTCTCTCTCTCTATCACTTCGCTTCAATTCGACCGTTGCATTAAACGGCACATGTTTATTATCTGTATGAACAGTATTGGGCCAGTTATCGTTAAGGCCCATAGTTTTTACTGGATAGCCCAGTTTATTTAACTTCTATTAATTTTTATCCAAAAAAAAAAAAATACTCACCCACACCAACTATACAAGAATACATGACCACACATCCCAAATTTATAAATATAGGACTAACTACATGAAATAGATATATTACATACCCACATATGCTAACTACATGGTAACATATGGTCAACATCACAATGTTGACCGGAATCCGGCATTGACCAATTTTATCAATGTTGACCAACGTTGGCCGGCGTTGACCGATATAAAAATTCAAAAAAAAGCAATTTTTTATGTTTTCAAAAATTAAGATATAATTTTTTTTATAATGTTATTTCATTACAAAACACATTGCTTTTCTATATTTTTAGTTTCAAAAAAACAAAATAAGAAAATTGTTCTATTGAACCATTTATGATGTTATATAATTACAAAACACATTCTAATGTATTTATTTTAATAATTAATACAATTCTAGTCCAAAACATAGAAAATATAGAAAAGTTTACATAATATTAGATATATAATTATTTTGATTTTATAAAAACAAATTGTAAATAAAAGTCATATGATATCAGGTTTGATTCTAATGTTTTTTATTGTAGGAAATATTTGATGTGGTTTAAACATATTAAAATAGTTTTTTTTATTAAATAAATATAAAATTTTAGTTTGATTAAATTTGTGGAATTTTATTACCGACAATCTTTACACACGACAATATGCACATGAACAAGAGAAAGTGTTATCACAGTAACCAAAGAGAGTTTTGTTGCTTTTATAATATTAGAACAAATACAAATTGTTAAGATCATAAAAGACTCAAAATTCGTAAAAACATTTGGAAAAGGAGTAGAATATTAGAAAAAGTAGATTTTCAAGACTCCCTCATTTCGTTAGGAAAAGAGAGTTGATTTTCATAAATTTTGTTCATTGAAAATTTAGATAAGATCAATTAGTTGTTAAAATTCTAATTTATTTAATTAACTATGTGTTTAATCTTGTTTGATATAATCTCTAGGCAAGTATAGCTCAAATCTGGTCATGTACTAATGGCTATAATGTACTATCCATTTATGGCTGAATTTTACGTTCATATTTTTCTCAGATTCTATAATGGCAACTGTTAATTTTTAAAGTACTCCATTACCATATGCTTGATGTGGTCATCTTCACATCCAAAAAAGTGGTTCAAGAGTAAATTATAGAAAATAATATAAATTTTAATATAATTTGATTTTTAAGAGGTTTTCATTTTCGTAAACCACATTTTTCCTCTATCTAATTTCCTAATTCAGACCAAACATACCTAATCTTTTATATGTTTTTGCGCCTAAACCAAAAGGTGGGTTTTCAAATGAGCACATGAAACTAAATAAAAAAAGAAGTGATATTCTTTTAATAACAAATAAATCGGCCAAACATATGATGAGAAAGGCTGGTGCTTATGATGATGCTTTAATAATGATAATGATTCCTTAACATTCACTCGTTTTGAGTTGTAATCGAGTGGACAATAATAGCATTTTATCACAAAAAGCTGCATACATTTGTTTGAATATTGAGTTTTTGTAAGGAATTACTGTACATACCTTTTTAACTTTTTGTATCACTGGATGTGGAACTCCAATTCAATCATTTCATATATTAAATGATACAAAAAACAATTTTGATTTTAAGAACTAAGAAGTTCAATGGGATAAATAGAAATCTGAAATTGACAAATTAAACCTTTATAAAGTTTGGACACATTTTAAAAATTCTTCGACCTCTTCGAATTTTTCTAGAGTTATTGATTTGTTTAATAAACTTAGACATTTTAAAAAGAAAAACTTAGACATTTACAAACCTTTGATTTGGTTTGATTTGGAAGTGATAAATTTTGATTCAGTTTATGTAAAGTTAATTGTTTCAAATTGAAACTGAACAAATTTTTTAAGAAATGCACTTATTCAGAGGTTAAAACAACTATATGTCTATTAATGTTAAGCCTCATAATGTTATGATCATCACAAGAGATAAGAACTTCAGAAAAGTTCTCCAGGATTTGTTGAAGGTTGGGCATAAAACTTTGGTTGCTTTTCGTACTCAAAGTCAAAATATTATTTCAGCTAAGATTAGCAAGTATGCGAAGCTCAAATGGAACTGAAGACCATTTTTGTCTCTTCCACGAAACAACGTCGGTAAAAAGACGAAGGGTGCTGATTTTAGAAAGAGGAAGGCTGCTGAGTTTGAAAAGATGTTTGGGACATACACTAGTATACTTAGCTCTAATCTAATAAAACTATGATTAATAATGTGGTCTAAAATACTTGCCCTTTTTCTAAACAGGTAGTTATAAATCCAAACTTTAAATAGAAGAACAATTTCTTCATTATACAAAAGAGTAAAATCTCTACAAAATGCATTTTTAGACTTCGTTGTACATAATTTAGTAACACGTATAATAATAAACACAAAATAAAAGATACCTACAATTTGGTACAGTATTTAAACACATATTATTGTTAATTTATTTTTCCTTTTTTTGGTACGAAGATAATAAAATCTAAATGAAAAAAAAAAACCGTAACAGAAACGCAAATCAACCAAACCAAAACGCTAGTAGCGTTTTTCAAACACTGGCGTTTGGCGGCGTCTGATCGCAATCGCGAAAAAGTTGAACCCTGAGTTTATCATTCCACATCTCCTTGTAACAATCATCATCACCACCTCTCCGCCGCGCCTCCACCACAACAAGCAAATCATTCAAACGTGAAATACAAATTCCGATAACAAATTTACCATTCTGCCCTTCCATTTCAAACCCATACTCTTCCTCCTCCATCTTCTTCATCCTCAGCTTCTCCTCTCTCGCGAACCCCTCAACCTCCTCCGCCAATTTCTCCGGCGACTTCTCCGATAAAAACCTCTCCGATTCCCCAATCGAACCGCTGCTACAACCGTCGAACAACCCCGACAGATCCAATCCCGACGAGTACGAAATCAAATCAAACGCGTTTAAATTCTTCACAGCTTCCAATTCCATTTTCGGATCTTTCTCGATCTCGTCGTGGAACTTGATCTGTTTCAAACCTCCTTTAACGAACCAAGGATCTATCAAAATCTCATCGATGGTGATCCTCGTCTCTGGATTATTATCTAAAAGACGAGAAACGAATCGTTTCAGATCCGGCGACATCCATCGAGGACAACGATACTCTCCTTTGTAAATCTTCTTATACATATTCATCAGATTCGGATCGCTGAACGGTAAATAACCGGCGGCGAGAACGAACAAGACGATTCCACAAGACCACACATCTACCTTAGCACCTTCGTATCCCTTCTTCGACAAAATCTCCGGTGCGACGTACGCCGGAGTACCACACAAGGTATGTAACAACCCGTCGGGTCTGATCTGATCCGTTAAAGCGCTGAGACCGAAATCGGAAACTTTTAAATTCCCGTTTTCGTCAATCAATAGATTCTCCGGTTTGAGATCCCGGTGGTAAACACCGCGAGCGTGACAATAACCAACGGCTGAGATTAACTGCTGGAAATACCTACGGCTTAGATCTTCAGCGAGACGACCGTGTTTAGAGATTTTATTGAAAAGCTCTCCTCCTTTAACAAACTCCATAGCGAAGAAGATCTTCGCTTTCGTCGCCATTACTTCATGTAGCCTAACGATGTTGGGATGAGATAATCTTCTCATGATAGAGATCTCTCGTTTGATGTTGTTGGCTAGTGCTGGATTCGCTAATAGCTTCTTCTTGTTGAGAATCTTCACAGCTACGCTTTGTCCTGTACGGCGGTCGCGTGCGTGGTAGACTTTCGCAAAGGCGCCGCATCCGAGAAGCTTTCCGAGCTCGTATTTACCGAATAACGCCGCGGTGTTGTCCCCGCCCGGGACGATCTCGATCTCTGGCATGGTTTTAGAAGCCAGAGATCGATGATGATTGATTCAAAATGATGATTTCGAGCTAGCTGGTGGATTATTTGAATCCGTTTCGTTTGCGCGTAAATGCAGAATGTGATGATCACGTACCTATTTGCTGAGTCTTCTTTGTTGTTGGAGACGTTTGTTTTTGTTTTGTTTTGGGGTTTACTTTTTATGGAATCGATGAGTTTTTAAATAAAGGGGGAGTGGTTAGGTTCGTATTTAAATGGACGAGAATTTTGTGGTTTGAACGCGGATAGAAGAATAAAGAAAGGGTGAAAGCAATATGAGATGCCTAAATCAGGTGTTTAACTGAAGCTATCTTTTTTTTCCTAAATGGATAATTTTTTTATAGGGATGTTAACAGTTGAAAGAATTTAATTTGTTGTCAATTTAGATAATAAATGTTTGCCCAAAAAAAATAAAATGTTTTGGATACGTTTGATAAGAGTAAGAAGTTTACGTACGAAAATATGTATATACAAACTTAAGAAAAAACGTTTATAAACCAAACTTAAATTAACCTCATATAGATAACCCGAAGCAATATATAATATGAACCTTTAACTAGATCATATACTGATAAGTGATCTTCATTTGTAAATGTGTTAACTAAACTTAGGTTAAACCCACTTAACTTTTCAAAAACCAAACTTAAGTTAACCTCATTTATTCAAATCTAGCAGCAATGTAGACCTCATTAAGGTCATACTCAATAGCAATATCGACCTAATTCATATCATTTTTGGTCCTCCTTTATCTTCATTTCAGAATCTTGTATAATTATGATACATCAATCTTCCAGCAAATATGTGTTTTCGTTGATCAGTATTTGCGTGTCTCATTTCACGTGGTTTTTTTTTTTTCATTCAATTTTTAGGTAGTGAAGATAACGACTTGACTTGGTTGAGTTAATAAAAAAACACACAACATGTTTCACGAGACTGTGGCAGGTGTCCTAATGTTTAACACTTGGCGATATCACAACGGTGGAATAAGTCGACGCCGGCTTCCAGCTGGACGATTCAGGGGTTATTGTGTACCGGCCGTTGAAAAAAAATCAGTGTTGAGATATGATCCCATTATTATTATTAAGAGAAAATTGTACTTTATACCATGTACAGTAACAAAACTTTTATTAAATGCCATTTTTCCCATAAGTTTTTCCCGCTTGCCACAAGCAATACAAAGAAAGACAGTTTTGTCCTTTCTTTAATAAATCTGCACAATTCAGCTTTTTTTTTTCCTTCTCTTACCTCTGTCTTTGTTTTCTTACTGTGTCGTTTCTACTTCATCTTCCCCAAATATTTTTGTTCGGTTACTTTAATTTTCATCTCTCCCAAAAACCCAATGGAAAAAAAACTCACGCTATCTAATATTTTTGCATGAAAATTAATCCCACCACCTCTTACTTCAGATTCAATGGATGTCGAACCACATCCCGCCGCGTTTCCACTCAACGACGGTGAACACGTAGGCAAAAATCTCAAACCCCAACACGCCATAACTTCTCTGAGACCGATTTTGGCTCAAATAACGCAGGTGGAGTTGTTCATCAGAACTCGTCAATGTAAGTATTTATGGACCAGATCTATACCAAATTCTGTCCATGAGATTTTTGTCCATCATAAGTCGTCCTCTAACGTTAATTTAACAGATTGTCCATCACATCTACAGAAGATAGCTATCCATCAGCTAGTACATTAGACAACCCTCCTCATCCCAGGTAAAGTATGAGATGTACCATTTATATTTTTGTTGGATGCTTTACCATTCCATCCTTTCTATTTTCTATTTATTGATGGACAAATTTTGTTCTTTAGGATCTATGTAGACAACATAGCATATGACACCAGTGATGGACAACCGTATGAGGAGATTAAAAATCTTGTTTATCTTGTGGGCCTAACCAAAAATCTGGATGTTCTCCTTCTTCAACCCTTCTTCCCTTATCCAAATTATCTCTGCCATTTTGTCTATCGTAAGTCGTCCTTTAACATTACATATTGTCTACCAAATCTACAGAACAAAGTTGTCCATCAGTTAGTCCAGTAGACAACGCTCCTTAGCCTAGGTAAACTATTAGATGGACCATCTATATTTTGTTGGATGTTTTACCATTCGTCCTTTTATTGATGGACACAATTTGTTACTTAGGATCCTTGTAGACAACATAACAGATTACACTAATGATGGACAACCGTATGAGAAGATTGAACATATTGTCTATTCTGTGGGCCTAACTGAAATCTAGTTGTTCTTCTTCTTCAACCCTTCTTCTCTTCCTCAAATTTTCTCTATCATTTTGTCCTCCATGAATCTATATTCGAGATCTGGATTTCATCTATTAATTTACTTTGTAATTATCCACTATTCTAATATTCTTTGGATAAAAGCATTATGTTTTGCATTAAATGCTGTTCTTCCAAGTCAGAAAAATGGTCCCATCTGTATCTACTTTTTCCTGCACCACTAAAACAAAACAAAGCATATAAGAGGACAAAACTGTCATTTTATTTATCTAATATGGCAATTGAGAAAATAGTATGTGGAAAGTGGCAGTTTTAATTTTTTGAGTTTTGAAAGTGGCATAAAATATAAAATTCCCTATTATTAATCTGATTGCAGACTAATTATTTCTCTATAATTTATAATCTAATTGACTAATTATTCCTCTTTTATACTAGTATATTATTATACTTTTGTCGGTTACTCAAAAAATAAAAATCTTTGGTCGCTCGCGTCGGTATAATCTTTTTCTTTTAAAAAGAAGAAGAAGAAGAAAAAAATTCATGGGCAGTTGACGGATCCATACTTCATACTCACATCGTGATCAAATTTTACATAAAAGTCTAGTTTTCAATAGGAAAGAAGAATTAGTCAGTCAATGAATATACATATATGACTACGACTTTAAAAATCCTTTGATAGTAATATATCATATAGGGTATAAGAATACGTAAGCATATGCATTCTTAGATATTATTGGTATATAGATGATTAGATTATTTGAGTTCGTTGAAATCGTTGCAAAATGTAAATGGAATCAACGAGTCCCGGAACTAGATGTTTTTATAGTTTTCTTGGAAGCATGATCGATTCATATTACGTGCTAAGTAAAGTGTTATTGGGCTTTTTGCTTATGTATAATATCATTCCACATATGATGAGCCTATACCTATGTGATATTAAGAAGCCCGTATGTTGAATAAGACAATGATTAATCATGTATCATTTGTTTAGAAACCTAAAGTAATTGTAGTACATACAGAACCATATGCGAGAATCATATCAGTTTATCATCAAAAGTTTTCACTCTTAGAAACATGTTTAGCAAATAATTAATATTTGAGTAGAGACATCAGAATTAAGACACAACCGTCAAACCTACATATAGATCATTTATATATATATAATAATATATAATGTATATATGTGAGTACGTATAAATATATATAATTAACGATCATGGCATGTACAACTTGTTGCCACACTTGCATCTCCAAGCCTCAGGATAGTATTCGGCGGTGACAGGCGTGCCCGGTGGCACTGCTACGTGCACAGGCCTGCACGGTGTGCATCTTCCACACTTTGATGAGCACCTTGGCGGAGATGACCCCAATCCCCTTAAAATCCTCCTTTGCTCCGCCTCCTTGCTCCGGTCACCGATTTTTCTCGTGTTCTTTATCACTACTGTGCTCTTTCCCTCCTCCTGATCACATACTCAAAACGACATATTTTGTCACATTTTCCACAAAATATATATCAAAAGTATACATACATATATATCCTAAGACTAAATAAAAAGACACAGTAACACAAAACCAAATGTAAAGGTTATCAAGATTATTTCTATACTTTTTGGGATTCTTACAAAAAAATGCTATTTTCTAAGGCAACTATATATTTTTGCGAAAATCATATGGATTTGTCATTTTTGAACACTTAAAAATGTCTTTGATTATTTTTCTAAGATACATATTATATAACAAATATTAAATCGTAAGAACAAATGTAACCGACTAAACACAAACATAATAGATCAAACGTGATCAAACGCTTGTTTAATCGCATTTTTATAACTTAAAAAAAGTCATATCCATAAGATTTTTTTAAAAAATGGCAAATCCACATATGCCATCACAAAAATCGATTCTATAATTGATTCATACTTTTTCCTGATCAGAATTTTAAAACAGTGAACTCAGCAAAAGATTATATTGCTAACATGCGCACACTATTTGCTAACGTGCGCTAGATTTTGCTAAAATACGCGGTTTAGGTAAAAAACATTTTAAAGACAGGGCTGGGGGGTGTGGAGACAAGACGCGGGAATACCGCTCCGGAAAAAGCGCTACGCACATTACCAAAAAAGGGCAGAGAGATTGAGTAGTTCCAAGAGGGTGTCATAGGTTAACATGCACCGTGGGGGCAAGCAAGAGCAAAACTACTAAATATTATTACCACTCTCACTCTCTCGATCGAGATCGAAACACAGAGACAGACGCAAGGCAGGGTCCCACGAAGAAGTGAACTGGACCAAAAGTTGAGTACTGTCCTTGTCCTCGTGTGCGCATGAAAACGAATCGGACGGCTTAGAATCAGTATAGGACTACATGGCAGGCATCTCTGCATGCCCATTCAGTCTCTCGACATATGCCGTCACAGTCGCTTACTGTTCAAGCGCAGTTTAGCCACAACCCCTTTTGTTTGTGTTGTCCTTTTAGAGACCCCCACATTATAAGCTTTTATTATTTTTAAAAAATATATCTCTTTAGTTATGATGATGATGATTCAACATCAATCTTGTCCTTCAAAGTTACTTGAATCAGGAGAAAACAGAAACTAAACTTTATTTTTTTGGATAATATGTGGCTATAGTTATGTCAAAGTTTTAACATGGTTTTTGAATCTTCCAAAACTAATTATTGACTCATGAACAGCACCAAAAAAAGAAAAATGGGAAATAATTATATTGGATCACGCAAGAGATCTAGCTAGTAAGAGGTTAAAAGAAAGCTTACGAACCTGTGCATAGAAGTTCCCTAGTTTCTCAGAGTAAGAGTTCCTAATATCTGCATTTTTACAACAATATAATATACATAAATTGTACCCTAGTGATTTATATGCTACGTACGATAATTATGTTGAAGAAAGATGATAATATTAATAAAAACGAGAAAAAGGAACAGGGCTTACATGGAGAAGAGGAAGTAATGAACGTAGTAGTAGTAGTCAAACAGAAGACGATAAAGAGTAGGAATATATAGAAGAGACTGAGCTTGGCTCTTGAGTTTTCTGATGTTGGTAATGATGTTGGTAATGATGATGATAATGATGATGATGATGATGATGATGATGATGATGATGATGGTCTCTCGAAACCCATGATTACGAAACTTCCTGAAAACCCCACCTAAGAAGAAGCTAGCAGAGATTAGTTATGAACTCCTCCATGCAAAAAAATTTACAAAAAAACTTGGTGGGTATATAAAACCAGAGATGAAAATACAAATCAAGATTTTAAATGTGATTTGGTTTCTTATGGTTTGGGTTTTCTCAAAAAACGAGAGGGAGTATTGGGAGTGGTTGAGAGAGAGAGAGAAAGAACACAAGGAGTCGATTATGAGAGAACAAAGGAGGGGTTTACTGCAAAAAAAAAAAAGTGCAATTTAAATTTAGAAACTATATATTATATAATATAAGAAAAAGAAAAATAAGAAGATAAAAATTATACAGTAAAACCTCTATAAATTAATAATGTTGGGACCATGAAAATCTATTAATTTATAGAAGTATTAATTTATCGATAAATTAATAATTATTAATTTATAGAGAGATATTCCTAATTTGGAAAATATTTTCAAGATAGTATTTTAAAATAAGATTTAATCATGATAATTAGTATTTTATGTAATCAATTACAAATAAAATAATAATTATTATGTATTAAAAGATAATGCTAACTATTTTTCATATAGTAAAATATTATAAATAAAATCTAACAAAAACTAATGTGTCTATATATACATATATTTTCAAAATCTTACCTAATTATTAATTTATAATATTGATGGGACCATATGTTTACAAAGGATTTTCAAAAAAATTATTATCTTATTATTTTATCGAAATATGTCTAAAATTACACTGGTCCCAACTTGGGACCGGAGATATTTATTAATTTATAGAGATTATTAATTTATCGAGTATTAATTTATAGATGTTCTACTGTATATATGTTGGAGGGGGGAAAAGAAGAAGACGAAGAAAGAGTGTAGGAAGAGAGAAGTAATTAAGAAAGGTACCTAAGCATTGCTAAGTTTGGGGGTTAGATTCTCCTGCACCCTATACTCTCTGTCATTGTACCCTTCCGTTCCTCAGAATTTGCTTTATGCAATCTTCCAAGCTATACATATTTATATGCATGTGTGTATAGTATACACTTTTGTGGTGTGTGTCACCACACGTTCATGAGGTATGATTTTGCGTGGTTAGTTATATAATATAAGTTCTTGATTCTTGTTTCTTTCGTTAGGGTTTAACACAAGTACTCAAAGATTAGGGTTTCACATGAGTGCTTAATTAAGGCAGAGAGATGTGAGGTGATTGATTTGAAGAGAGAGGAATAAGAGGGAGGGCCGTAGGATGAAAGATGAGTGAGATTCCAAAGGCAAGGAGGTATGGACAAAACATCCCAACAAATGTGTAAGAAGGGTTCCATGTTCATTCCTAAATTATACGTTTTAACCTATAGCTAGTTTTAACAATAACTATATATACTCGTATCAATTCACAAAAGGTTATATACTATATTGAAGAATATTCTTAATAGTAGGGAAAAAAACAATAAGCATTTCAAACAGTACAATTACATATTTGCAGTATAAATGAATGCAACTATTCGATTGGATGGTCGTTAGTAAAATGGTTGATCTAATATATATTTTGGCATCATGATTTGTAAAAGGAAAGGAATCATAGCTAAGGTACCCTTTTAGCCAACGAGAGATTTGGTAGACGACGACTATGGAATCAAAGGGATCGAGCCTCATCTCTCCGAGTCCGACAATGATGGTTTGGCTCGTAAACTAGTTGTATTTCCTGTTTACTGTTTAATATTATCGAGAAGTGTTTTTTTTTCTTTTTTTTTTTGGAAACTTTCGAGAAGTGTTAAAATAAAAAAATGACATGGAGGTTAAACTTTTACACTTTTATCAATTCTATTTGGTATACCAAATATCATATATATATATATATATCATATATATATATATATATATAAATCTATAGAATAAAACTTAAAACAAATATTACAACTAATATTGATAGAATTTATTAATGAAGATTGTAATATAAATATCTAAACAATTTCCTATTAGAAGTGAACATATGTTGAAAATTGAGCTTCAATGTACCCAAAAATGAAGACATATTTACAAAGTTTTAGTCAATGATATTGCAAACTTTTATTTTACGTAAGTGAATTTAAATTAAAAATAGGAAGATAAATAATTAATATGTATAATCTAGTACGACGTTAAATATAAAATAAAAATTGAAAAGACTGTTAGATATGTCACTATATAGTTTTTGTAATGAATTTAGAACCAAATTGTTACAATTCTGATTTATCCTCACGTGGTTATAAGCTTTTTTTGTTTGTGCTTTTTAAGATTAGTTGTAATTGTTTGTTTTTCACAGTTTGTTTTAGATTTAGACATGTGTTCTAAGTGGCACATGTCATAATCAAATTTAGATATGGAAGGATACATGTCTGAGTAATCCAAAAAGACAATTCAAAATGTAAGAACTATTTATCAAAATGTAAGAACTATTTATCAGAGGGTAGAGTGGTTGTAGTGAGATAGACTTGAAGGCGCAGCGCCTGATCTGATCTTGGAGCAGCTAAATTCCAGCCATTAGCATGGCAAGCTTCTATGACTCTAGCTTTCAGAGGGACACGCAGGCTTGAAGGACCATCAGTGCCCATACAATTGATAAGGGGACCTAGTGGAGTCCAATTATCAAACCAAAAACTTGCATTTCTCCCATTACCAATTTGACATTTGATGAACTGTTGAGCCACATTTTTCAGTCTCAATAAGCATCTCCAGTTTCACGAGTCAGTAGATTTCTCAGATTGATTCCAAAAGCTCGTAGCTGGATTAAGATTTATCAAGTAGTTGCTGTTCAAACACATGCATGACTCACGAAGTTCATATCTTGCAGATTCAACCGTCTTGTTCTACAAATTACGATCGATAACAACATGCCTGATGCCCCTATCTAATTTAAAGTAGAGTTCTAATTTTGATTTGAAACTTAATTTAGTTATGAAAGCAGAAAAATATGGTCGAAAATTATGTCACCGGTTCTCCGAACACGAGTAAACAACAACACATGAGCTGATGATATAAGACGTAGAAGAATGGTCACATAAATTGTTTATTATATGTATTTTGTTGTGAACTTAAATACTATGGTTTAAGAGAGAATACATACAAAATACTCAAGCATAGGAAAAATTTGAGAGTGTCACATGCCAAGGTAAGTATTTCTCTATCCCTGACACACCACTTCTCAATTATTTTGTAATAAGGTTTTAATACAAAGATCTGACACACTGTATCCATTTTTTTTTTCATTTTATAATGTTATTGATATTTGAAAATTTCATTTTGTTTCTTGACTGAGATAGATGGGACTTACATTGTTTCCTATCTATTATATATGTACTGATTCAAAGATGTCAAGGATCATGCTGATGATATAAATACTTACTTTTTTTGTTAAGGCCAACTAAAATACATTTTGAAGAACGAAAACATTCTAATTCTATTTCCATCAAGTCCAAAATTAATTGTGCTAAATTGGTAATAGGTTTGTGGGCTGAAAGGTGATGGGTCTAATTAATTTATTTGAGTATAAAAACAATGTGAGAGGATTAGGAGTTCTACTTCTTTCTGATAATGACTTGTTGAAGACATCTCCTACTAATATCGAGAACTCGTTGGGCCTTTTCCTAAAATGCTAGCAGATCTTTTATGGCGCACAACCCTACAGCGCAACCCTAATGCAAATTTGATGATGAACTAAACACAAGAATTAATAAGCATTTAGTTCTTTTACATAGTACTTTACTTATAGTTTTTCATTATCAATACTCAATAGCGATAAATATATGCTATATTCATTATTTTACAATATATATGTAAGCTATATTCATTTTGTCAAGTATGTTAGTCAATTCTTATCATACTGAAATTAATTTTGTGCGGTGAAGTATAGACAATGAATATATTTTGCAACTAAAAAAAACAAGTTCAGATCAATTTCAACCACTTTTTTCTTAAAATTCTGAACACTTAAAAAACAAGACACAAGAAGTGTGTAATAGATTACTGACCAAAGGAAAAAGAAAAAGAAAGATACTAATTAATTTAATTATGATAAACATGCAAAAATTGAATTTTATTTTATTTAATTAATAGTAAGAGTTAAAACAGACTCCAAGAAAGAAACAAAGGTGAAGACAAAAGTTTTTTTGTTTCTCCACGACGGTGCCTCTGGAGATTCCTGAAGGTTTCTCTTGGATTCCCAAAGATCTATTCAAAAACAATACATTTAAATAAAGAGTATTTTTGAAAACTGGTTGAAAGATCAAAGTTTTCGATTTACGCAAACAAATTAGAAAATGTTTTTAAAAGAGAACTAAAAGCCAATTATAGTCGACTTATATAATTCAGGAATCCAAGAATTATCACAATTAACGAGGCTTTTGTATCTTCTTCTCTTGTTTATTTCTTCAGTCTTGTTAAATTTAGGAGCAAAATCTAAAAAAGAAGAATATAAACGAACCTCATTCCAATGTTTAAAGCAAACAAAGCATTCACTTTGATAGAGAGAAGCACAAAGACTCCAACTTTGGCACTTCCTCGTGCATAGTTTTTTGCTTTGGCTGCTACTAGTGTACAAAAAAACACCAACTAACAGGTGATTTTGCTTCTTCTTGTTTTTTTTTTTTTCATTCTTTTGTTCTGTATCGTTTCAATGGTTTAGCTTTCTTATGGTTCTTCATCATTTGAATCTTTAAATGTTAACTTTTGAACGCTTTGGACTTAGCTTTCACATTTTGACCAATTTGATCAGTTAAAAACCAATGAAAGCTTTGGACTTTTCTACAGTCTCTGTGTTTACTGTTTCGTTTAGTGTTCTATGGCTTTGCTTTGATTTGCTAAATGTTGAAGATTTGATAAAGGTTGTTCCTTTTTTTGCTTCTGGATTAGGGTTTCTTCGTCAACGTTCAAATGGAGACTGTGGCCGTTAAAACATCGAGTCACTCTTCGAATCTATCAGAAATCATGTCCAAATTCGCTAAAGTCTGCAAATTTAGATCTATTGGTGTGTTCCCTGACCACAAGTCGATTTCGAACGATCTTTGTGAAGTAGAAATCTTGGTGGATGATGATAAAGCCAAGGCCAAGGAAACTGAGATTTGTGATATTAGTCACAAACCCTCGAGAAAGATTCAAACTTTTAGTTGGGATGATGATGAGATTTCGAAGCTGTTCGACATTGTTTCAGCGCTTAAGCTAGCTTATATTGAGTTTCAACAAGCTCATTTGCCTTATGATCCAGACAAGGTCATTGAAGCAGATAACCTCGTCGTGTCTCAGCTCGAGGCTTTACGCAGAATCAAGCGTCTCTACCTCAAAACGAAACAGCTCGAAGCAAAGAAGACCGAGCTTGCTGCTTCTTGTTTGGATCGCTTGAGAGATGAAATCGAAGTGAATGAGAAGCATTTGGAGAAACTTAAGGCGCAAGTGAAAACAAAGGAGAGTGAGATTCATTCTTTGAAAGAGAAGCTAGAATGTTTGGTTGCAGAGAATAGGAAACTCCAGGATAGGTTTGTGAGTGTTTCTTCGTTTGAATTAGCATTTAGAGCTGCTTCTAAGTCAGTTCACGACTTTGCGAAGCCAGTGATCACTCTGATGAAAGCTACAGATTGGAATTTGGACAAAGCAGTGGAGTCTATTGTTGGAAATGTAACATTTGCTAAAACGTCAGATAAGAAGTATGCTTTTGAGTCATACATTGTTCAGAGAATGTTTCACGGCATAAAGCTTAACCCTTGTGATGTGACAGAACTAATGAGTTTTGATGATCCATTGGATGTTTTAACAGCAGTTCCAGATTCCGCGTTTTCAAGATTCTGCGGCCAGAAGTATCTTTTAGTTGTTCATCCGTCGATGGAGGCTTCGTTCTTCGGGAATTTGGATATGAGGGGATTAGTTTTGCTCGGTAAGCATCCAAGAACGATGTTTTATCAAATCTTTGCAAAAATGGCAAAGTGGGTATGGATCCTTGGATCACTTGCAGCTTCCTTGGATCTAAAAGCAAAGATCTTTGTGGTCAGAAGAGGAACTGGATTCTCAGGTGCATACATGGAATCTGTAGTGGGTGATGAAAAAGAAGAAGGACAAGGCGATTTGAGCGTCGAGTTCATCACAATGCCGGGGTTTAAAATTGGAGAGTCAGTGTTTAAGTCTCAGGTTTATCTTTCTAAGACAAGAGGGTAAAAAGAACCTCTCTGCAGATTCGATTATTTTGATAGTTTCAGGTAAAGAGCTCTCTGCTTTTTTGAAAATTTTGTAGGTAAGTTAAATAGTTTTTTCCCCAAGGATCATTTGTTTTGTATTGTTGTTCACATTCAAGTTTTGGTCCATAGTTAATAAATCCAGATTCATCAAAGCTAAAACTTGCAGTCTTTATAGTCTTTGCACATCTCAGTTTGCAACTTTGAACGTCGAAAACCTAAAGATGGTGTTTTCCTTTGGTATTGACAAAGAGAGTTTAAACATTTTTGTTTTCATTATTATCAGTTCATCACATGAAAACAGGTCTCTGCAGAATGCAGAGTTCTCCATAGGATCTGCAGACAAGTTCAATGAAGATAGGGCTCTTAAGATAATTCCAACATAAGATAAGCAATGAATCAGATAGTTTTCAAAGCTTCTGCTAGCATCTTCGACAACATTGTCTTCCAATGCATCTTTTGAGCTCAGCAGTTTCTTGGCCCATGCTGCATAAGCAACAGGGTAAGTTCAGTTCGACTAAAGTTTGAGATAGTTCTGTCTCCAGTCAGACGATAGTACAGTGTTAACTAGAGCAAAATGCCAAAGAATAAGCATTCCTCCCTTCTGGTTGGAGATGGAAACTTTATAATGTGGAAAAGGTCAACTCTATCCTCTCAATGGATAGAGCCTTGATTTGGTGACAAATTGTTCTAAGGCATTATGAAGATACAATGTGAAGTATTTAATGTCAACATTCTACAACATAGAAAACCAGAGTATAAGAACATAGCTGGCCTTATTTCCACATATGAAAGCTCACATTTGGATTTTTGGTTGGGGTTTGTGATGGAGAAAAAGTATATGTTCTTTATTATAATGAAGGCAAGATGCCCCACTGATGTAGAAACCCTTTTCCAGTTGTAACTTCGAGCACCAAAAGCGCTAGCACCGCCAACATTGCTGCTCTTCCGTTCCATGTTTCTGCACTTTTTGTCCATCCCCATTCCCACATCGTCACAGGTGCTGGTAACTCCCTTCTCTGTGAATCATATGTTGCTAATAGTTCTTCTACACTCCCAAGCGGAACTAGCGACTGCCCAACAAAGAAGTATGAAAAACGTTAACTCAGCAATTCCATACACGGGTCAGCTATACATATAAAGAATAAAGATTTCCAACAGAACTACAACTATATGCTTGACATCATATTACGTATAAAGATATCCATCAGCTTCTTTTGAGGAGGTTTAAGTACATAAAAGATGAAGAGTGCTGTTACCTGTCGAGCTTCAAGGTTTGAGACTGCCATAGCTCCAACATATGGAAGACTTTCCACAACAGCATCTGCCAAGTCAGATATAAACATTGGTTCTGTTCCTAATGCAGGTACTCGCCCCCAGTTTTTGATACCAGACTTCAAAGCTAATTCTTTATATTCAACATCTATCTCCTCCAGAGTTTCAATGTGCTCACTCACAAAGCTGTTAACAAAGGAACAAACTTGAGTTTCAAATAACCCGAAGAAAAAATAAGATGAGACAGAGTTTGTACCAGAAACACTGCTTTCTTTACCTTATGGGTACAGCCAGAAGATTCTCAACACCTTTTTTACCAAGATCAGTAATGGCTTCTTCAGTGTATGGTTTCAGCCATTCTACTGGTCCAACTCTGCTCTGTTGGAGAGTTGCGAGAAAATAATAAAACAACAGACTGAGTGAAACTCGTATTGTTTACCAAGAAATCTCTACCATTTCCATATCACATTTCTAGTTACCACATAGGTAACAAAAATAAATGGAAAATACCTGATAAGCAAGAGTGTAAGAATTAGTGATCTTTCTCTTGTCTAACTCCTCCATAATCAGATCAACACATTCTTCCATCTCTGCCTTGTAAGGATCACCGGCTTCTTCAACATATGCAAGAGGCACGCCATGTGCACTGAAAAATATTACAACCTGTAACATATATTTCGGTTTGAAGCGCGTCTTAGGATAGTTGAATTGACAAAACCAGAAAACTACAAAAGACTTGAAATTCTTTCTTTCCTCTAGTGAATCAGTTAACATATATAATCGAGTGAGGAGACACAAGATTGTCTACCTGACTAGGCGAACCAAATTTTCCCAACTCGCTTTCGATTAGATTTGCCATTGCCTTTATATATCCCTCTCGCTGATACCACGATGGGATAACAGTATGCTGCATGTTCACAAGATACTCGTCCTCTCTATGTAAATAGTGAGTCAATCACAGGAAGGTAAACAACTAAATAAGATATAGTCTTGGTATACTAAAAAATGAAAGAGTGCAAGTCTCACCGAAATATTCTCTCCAAGAGTCTTAGGCTTGAACCACTAGTCGATATCGAAAATTGAGGATAAAGTGGTAGAACAACTAGTTTTCTAATTCCATCTCTTTTTATCTACAGGTAGATATAGGAAGACAATGAGTAAGAGTCACAAGGTGCAAATTCCAGGTGTTCACACATAAATCAGGCTATTGTAATTGTACACAATAATTCAGCTTCAAATGTTTACATACTGATAAAGAGCAGATAAACAAACTCAGTATAGTTTAAGCATTGATAATAAACTAAGAAAGAGTTTTAGGCTTTGATTATTTTATTCCTTTTGCATTTAGATATTAAACTATTGTGTTCACATTCAAAAGCTAGCATAATATATTCTTTAACCAATTATTATTTGCAAATTTAGAAAGAGGAGGTATCATCTGAAGTGTGCATCTACGTTTTGCAAATAATGTGTGATAAAATAGAAAATGTTGTGGTTACCTGTTCAATGGCTTCTTCAGTGAATGGATGCCAATACCGCATACCAACATATACCTTTGCTGGGACATTTTTCTCCCAAAGGGACTTTCTTAATTCTTCAGCCTGGTGAAGGATGTTATGACAGGTACAACATAAGAATATAGAAGTAACAATGTCAATTCCATGAGAAATGTAAAGCCTAGAATAGTCAAGCTAACTTTAACCCCTTTAGATTCAGTACTTATAGGTCTTCCTTCCAAGATAAAAACTTAAAATGACAGAGGATAAGAAAAGCAGAGTAAGTAAAGGAAGGACAAACACCTGTTCATCAGTTATGTGGCGAAGAGGAGAACCACCACCAATAGCTGCATACCCTTCCTTGCTTTTGGGAGCCCTTGCTACTGATATAAACTGAGCTAATGGCTTCTGAAGAAATTGGAATAGAGGCGGCAACCGTATAATGTCCTAACACAAACAATTGAAACAGCGATCAGTGATAAAACATAATTCGAAGTAAAGATGACAAAAGCTGTGCTCAAACAGTCAAAGTTAGGATTTTTTCAGATAAAGAGTGTATCTTTCCAACATTAGACATCTCCAAACAAAGATTGTAACTTTGAAAAATCAAAAACACATTGTATTAATGCATTTCAAGGATGCAAGAGAGATTGATAGTTACCGGGTCGGCAAAGAGGTTAAACAAGAAAGGTTGAACATCATCCAAAGTCTCAGGGCCACCAAGGTTCAATAACAAGACACCAATTTTGGCATCATCACTGATAACAGAGGAAGACGAAACATTTAAAGGGTTTGAAGCCACCAATGCTCTCAAAGGCAATGAATGCTTTCCAAGAAGCCGGTTCGAAAAGGATAGATTTGAACAGTGGAGAGATCTCTGTGAATCGTTGTTACTCAATTGTGGCAAGAGTCTGCATAAAAAAAGACAATACTAATCAGTTTGTAATGTCTAAAGTTTACAGAGATAAAGATGTCATAATCGTAATCCGAAACTTACGGAGGAGGAGGACGAAACGTAGAGTAAGAGGAACAGGAAGAAGAAGAGCAAGAAGAAGGAGGAGAAGCTGCACTCATGGCTGGGCAGTTCATTGCAAAAAATTGAACCTTTAAGTAACCTAATGCAACGATTGGACTTGGAGGACTAGAAAAATCTGAGGATTGATTCTAATGGTTGTTGTTGTTGTTGTTGTTGTTATATTACCCTCCCAGATTTATTTATTTTTTTTCCCATTAATCAGACACAGAGTTGGGATAAAATGAAAGGGGCTTGAGGAGTGTGAGGACGATGAACCACACGTGTCCACACATTTGAGATAATTTTTTTATTTTCTCGTATATACTCTTTTTTATTTTCTTCTTTTATACAAATACCCTTCCATTGGATTTTTTAATACGTATCTACTGTATTATGTAGTTATTAACATTGTATTTATATCCTAAGTTTCGTATCATCTTTTTTTTTTTCAAAGTTATGCTGTATAAATTAGAAGAAAAAAATGGAAATTATATAAATATGAAATAAGTAAAATGTAGTGATAGTCAAATTGATTTATTACATTACTTTAATTTTGCAAAAATCGGACCGGTCAGACCGGATTAACCCATGAATCAGTTGCTTGTCTGTGTCCGATCCGGTTTAAAGAAGACATTGAACGAAACAGAACGTGAGAAACACAAAAGATCCAAGATTTGGTCTAGAGTTGATAAATACAACTTTCTTTGTTATGTGAAACGCGAAAACATACATATATAGTCTTCACACATTACGATGGTGTGTGTATTCAATGACAAAGAAAGATTTTTATAGAAAAAAACTTTGATGTTTCGATGATTTATCAAATAGGTTCATTCACCTGAAAACAGATCTCTGCAGAGCTCACCATAGAATCTAGAGACAAGTTCAATGAAGACAGGACTCTTAAGATTCTTCCAACAATAGAGAAGCTCCTCTATGTCCATTAAGTCATCTAGTTTCCCTTCTTCAACGATCAGGTGGATCAGATAGTTTTCAAAGCTTCTGCAAGCATCTTCTACAGCGTTGTCTTCGAATGTGTCTCTTGAGTTAAGCGATTTCCTGGTCCGTGCAGCGTAAGCAGGTGTTGTGATGGGTGAAGTGAACAGCTTCTTGGCTGTTGCTGGTGTAAGAGGCGACTGCATATACTTTGACATATCATCATCATCGTTTACACTAACTGCATTGGCCATTGGAGGACATAGAGATAAGAGTTTCATGTTAAGTTTGCAATATAGTTTATATTCGAAATTGAAGTGATATATTGTAGAAGACTTGTCTTACAAGAGGAACTTCTGGGTTTGGTGTTGCTCATCTTCTGGTTCTTGCTTGTGCTGAGAAAACATAGACAAGAACAGATTGGCTTCTTGGGTCGACGTTGAAGTCTAGGTTTGACATTGCCATGAGTACTACGGGAACGAAGAGGTCTAATGAAGACAGGTCTTTTAACCCTGAATCGGAAGAGAGATACAAATCTGTTGCATGATTTGGAAAGCTTTGATTTGAAGTTAATCAAAGTTGCTCTCACTCTCATTGTCTTGAAGCTTTTTGTTTTGATGATCCTCTTTGGCTTCTTTTTTGCTTTGTTTTGGTGTGTAAGTATAAGGTTAGAGGATTGGCCATTTTGTGTTGCGTGGGATTCACGTCTTTTGTGGTGTGTAAGTAAAATCATGATGGTGGAGTCCCATGATGTTTTATTATATTTTATTGCAATTGTTTGGTGGCTCTCTTTGCTTATATACAAAATCCAAGATGATGAAACTGGTTTTGTTTTTGTATATTCGAAAAGGTCTTTGCTTGATTGGTGGGTCAATGCAAAACTACGTACACATGTTGAACTTGAACATAGACTCGTCCCACGTCCACATCTTAGTGGATAATGAATCAACTTTTAAATATGAATCCCTCCGCTAGTGTTCTGATATCTAAACGTTCGTGTCGTATCTCATAACTATTGCAAAAGACTTTGGGCTGTGAAACCAAAAAGAGTGAGATCATTCAACAACTCACCATAAGGACTTGTTAAAAGCAATATGGTCTCTGAGTACTAATCACTTGTGCTAGCTTATTTAAAGTAAGGATGGAGAATGTTTTTATTTTGAGTAATCATTTATCCTTTGTGGAAGTTAAATTAAAAGATGTAGTTGCCAAAACAATTGATCTGTAAAGGAAATGTAAAGTTATATAAAAAAATTGGTGTGATCAAAATGTTCGGCGTTAGTGGACATAGTAGACCACAATTTTCTTAAGATCATGATTACGACTCAAAAGTTTATTCACCTTTATTCAAAGGTGTGTTCAAATGAACAAAATGAAACTTTCTTTTTTATCATCCTAATCTCATCATGTATATATATATATATGTGCATATCACCTTAGTATATAAAAGTGCGACAAATACTAAAAAAATATTTCTACCTAAAAAAACATAAGATTAGTTTCAAACTTAATGCGTACTAAAAGCAAGATAGAGATTCCTTCACACACACATATATAACGTTTTAGTTGAATTGTGTAGTTTTTTTTGTTTTTATTAATAAATTTCTTTGTCAGTTTAGGATTAAGGCTGCAAATGGTGAGTAACGTTTTAATGTTTTCGTTCGAAAAGTTTCTTTAAAAGGAACAAAAAAAAAAAGCTGCAATATTCATTTTTTCTTTTGCAATTGCCATTTGGTCAACGGATTCCCTAAAACAGTTTACATTTGTCACTCTTTATAATTCGATAATAATTTCTCTTTTCATTTATTTTGTCATTTTGATGAAGTGAACAAAATCTTAATGAAATGATGTTAGAAAAATCTGTCAGAATCAACTGATGCGTATTCTCATAATCTTTTTTCTTTAAGCTAATCCCACCATAAATGTTAACAAATTTTAAGCTAATACTAATTATGTGATAACAAAGCGTGTAAATGTGATGTCTCAAGTAGTTCATGCTGATGTGTGATGTTGAATGATGATGATGATGATACAAATAAAAAGACATACTTTAAGCTTTTTTCTAGTACTGAGAGAGCCCCACTAATTTCCAATTTCTATCTTCAGTTTCTTCTTTATCTCTCTCATGTCTTGTAGAGTGACTCTGCTTTCTCACCTTCTTCTTTATCTAAGGAAACAAAAACATAGTTCTCCCAAGAGAAACATCACAAACTCTTGTGAGAAGAAGAGAGAGAGACAAGATGGGGAATTACAAGTTCAGACTTTCAGATATGATCCCAAATGCATGGTTTCATAAGCTCAAAGACATGACTAAACAGTCCAAACCCAAAACCAAACCTTCTTCATCTTCCTCAAACACCTCTAACAAGAAAAAACCTTCCCCTGATCATCTCTCTTATCTCTCCAACAGCTTAGTAGCTAACAACCTTCACCATAACTCACCAAGAAGCTCTCTTCACACAAGACGGATGAGTAAAAGAAAGACACTTTACAAGCCGTCCCTGACTCCTCCTCCTCCTCCTCCTCTTGTGTCTGCAGGTTTCAACAAGAGCAAGATCAACGGTCAAGATACATCTCACTCCTTGTTCCCAGCTCTTGAAACATCCCCTGAGTCTTTCGTTTACAGTTTCTACGAAGAGAAAAGTGATGATGAGTTCGTTAACTTCTCCAACTTCAAGATCGACACGAAGAACAAAGCCTTCACCAAGCACACGGTCAGGGAGTCTGATTCCATAGAGAAAGCTTGTCCTGCAAGTAACACAGTCCAGAAACTACATAAAAGCCATCTTTCTGTGAAGATCCACAGAGAGAACGAAGATGATGAAGATCATGAGTATAGAACCGAGAAAAAATACCACCAAAGGAGAGTTTCAAGTGGAAGAAAATCCTCAGCAGGGGCAGGGATAAACCTCAAAAGAGTAAATTCACCTAGAATTCAACTCTCAGGTACGCGTAGAAGCACGTCAAGAAGACCAGAGAGCAGACAAGATGTTCTTGAGAGCTTTGCAGTGATGAAACGGTCCGTTGATCCAAAGAAAGATTTCAAGGAATCAATGATTGAGATGATAGAAGAAAACAACATCAGAGCTTCAAAAGACTTGGAAGATCTTCTCGCTTGTTACCTCTCTTTGAATCCAAAGGAGTATCATGATCTTATCATCCATGTTTTCGAACAAATCTGGCTTCAACTCACAAAAATTTAAATAAAATTATTAATGTAATGTTTAGTGTTATAACCTAATGGTCAAATTAGTATAGTTATGTCTTGTGGAAATTGTAGTTGTTTGACTTGTTGTTAATGTTCATATGAAGTTTAAGACTGAACTGTGGAGATTCTCTTTGAAGCCCACTTTTTTTTTATGATGCCTTTTATAATAAAAAGTTGTTATCATATTGTCGTTTAAATCCAAACATGATCACTAAGGGCGTGGAAGCAGCACTAGTAATTAAGAAGAATTGATCACTAAGCATATTCTTGTCTTTGTCTAGAGTGATGGCTTTGAGGATTTGTTAAATGTTTCATTCGAATATTTTTAAAATCAGAAAGTTGAAAATGCGCGGTAACAACAAAAAAACCAGAAAAAGCCAACAGTGAAGAGACAGGGGAAGAGCAGATTTGAAAAACCAAACAAGTACGGATCGAGTAATGTATTTGTATATATGAATGATGAAGGAAGGAGCATTTGCATATATAATCGTGGGAGCTAGGGTGGAGAGGACCACTGACACAATAAAAAAAAAAAAACTGAGATGTGATTAAAGAAGAAAGAATCAGAGTTGAGAAAGGTTTGTTTCCTTTTCTGTGAAGAATGAATAAGAGAGGTTGATGAAGAAGAAGAAGAAGAAGAAGAGGACCACTCTGTTTCGAATTCCATCTCATACATGTGTTGTTGGCTTATCAAGTTTCAGCAAAACACATGTGATGATTTTGGTATTTGTTTTCTTCAAACCAATGAGGAATATGGATCTTGTAAATTTTGTGAAATATAAAAGTTTGAATTGAGCTAGTTGCCTAGGTGATAATTAATGTCAAAGGCATTTTTATTTATTTATTATAATCTGTAAATATTATGTGTGGTTTTCATGTTAATGTATGGTAGTTTGTGTAATTGTAAACCATGGTTCCAAATACAAATGACAATTTTTTCAATCCTGTTTTTAATATTTGAGGAAAAATTCTAATGTATGATTAATGATATCTTACTCTCTGTACACTTTCACATAAACTACATTATTGATATTTTAATTATATATTTCCCTAAAGAGTTGGCTCTTGATTTTCTATTATTAATATTGATACACTAAGTAAAATTATGTATTTTTATGCTAGAAGGAATAGAGTATTTAAATTTGATAAAATAAATGTTTTAAAAAAAAACAATTCAAAATGAAGTGCATATCCAATTATAAGTTTTTTTTTTTTTTTTTCTATTATTAAAATAATAACAAAAAAATAGGAAAAAAAAAAGAAGAAAAAGGAAAACGATTCTTAAAGTAGTGATAAATTGTGCTTCGATTCATCAAAGCTCAGCGCCGTCTCCTCCTCCCTCACTTGTCGAATTCAACCTTCTTCTCCGATCATCGTCTGGTTCGTTTCTTCTATTTACACTACTTGTCTTCTTCTTTTTTCCCGTTTCAATCGAAGCTATTGTTTGTGTCAATCTCAACAGTAGATCGGAATCATGTATATTAGATCGATTTAAAAACCCAAATTGTTCTCGATCTATTGCAATGCACGACTCGTAGGAACTTCAACTTGCATCTGCGTAGATCTAATCATCCAATTACGCAATCGGATTTTAGTTTGGAGGAATCGTAAAAGCCTTTAGTAATGGAAATCGTTTTTGTGTTGTTTCGCTGGTGTGATTTAGAAAACCTTTAGTTTTTGGGGATTTTGGGGCAGGAATCAATGGCAACGATTAGGAACTTGAAGATAAAAACATCAACGTGTAAAAGGATTGTGAAAGAGCTTCACTCTTATGAGAAAGAAGTTGAGAGAGAAGCTGCTAAGACTGCTGATATGAAGGACAAAGGCGCTGATCCTTACGACCTTAAACAGCAGGTTAATAATAATGATCTTCTTCTTCTTACTTCTTTTTTCAAAAATTTCTCGGTGTTCATTAGATTCAGAACCTGTCTTTGTTCGTCAGATAAGTTTCTCATGTTTCTGGTGCTGATTAGGATGTGTTTGTGTTTCTTGTTTTCTAGTCATTTGTATCATCTAAGAAGCTAAATGTGGTTATAGATTTCTGATTCTGATTCTGAATAAGTTTTTTTTATCTTTTTTTTTCCTGATTGTCTATGTGGTGATGATGCAGGAAAATGTGTTGGGTGAGTCGAGGATGATGATTCCGGATTGCCACAAACGTCTCGAGGCTGCAGTATCCGACCTCAAGTCCACTTTGGTAACTACATTTCACATTGTTGTTACTTTGCTAAGCTTCTCGGTTCTAGCTTTAGATATTAGTCTATGATGACAAGTGTGGAGTGTGGTGTGGAGTTAAAGGAGCACTTATTCTCAAACTAGAACTTGTATGTATCTGTAGTGATGATAGAATTGATTACCACAGGAAAGCATCTTAGGTACACTCTTTGAAGAAAAACAATGAAATAGCACAAAGAGGAATCGTGAAGTCCCTGCTTTGTGTTTTGTTTCTAACAAAAAACTGAATTTGCAGGCTGAATTGGAAGAGACAGATGAAAAGGAAGGTCCAGAGATTGAAGATGCAAAGAAGACAGTCGCGGACGTGGAGAAGCAGTTTCCCACTGAAGAAGCCTGAGGGTTTTAGTCATCGGTGAGTGCTTGGTCTGTGTATTCTGACTTCTGAGAATGTTATTATGGTTAACCAAAATGTAAGAACATATCTCGTCTTCTATGTCGTTATCAAGGTCGAATTGCATACACTGAAATTGCTTCACCTCTTAATAACATTTTTGGGTGATTGTTTGTTCAATTCAGTATCTTTAAAATGACACACCAGTCATAACATGTGTTGTGTAGTAGCTTGCAACAAAACAACTCCATCATACATGTTGGTTGTTCTTGTTTGATTGATCGGGTACATATCACTTGCTTTGCAAAGAGATTCAACAAGTTCTTAGTCGTCGTCATATATGTGAAGAGAAGAATAAAAAGATTCAAGATTTGTTCTACAATAAAGCTTTCTTATTTTGTTCCTTACATTGTCCATATCATAAGAAAAGAGATCAAGGAGGAGGAGAAGTAGAGAAACGGGGAGATTTGTGGAGTCGGCGTCGTTTGTGAGAGAAGTAGTCAGAGTTTCTCATAATCCAAAATCTCTCAATCTCATTTGCCTTTCGTCCGACAACTCTTCTTGCTATTAAATCCCACCTGACAAACATACATATTCAACCCAACTTATTATTCATTCGTTTCACTGTCTTCGAACTATCAGTCTTTCAATAATATCTTTTTTTTAAATCTTCTACATTGTTTTTTTCTTTGGTAAAAAATCTTTTATAATTTATTGGTTTATTCAGTAACATATAACTTTCGGTTGAATAAAGGTAATTATTCAGCAATTATTCTTCTCGATTCATGCTCAAACTACTCTACAATAATTGCTTATCAACATAATTTTGTTTTTCTTGTTTTTTTCCTAGATCTTTGCATCAAACATAATTTATAATTTATGATGAGAAAATAATTATATTTATTGTGACTAAACTTGGTTTTCAAAGTAAGTATTCACATTATTGCAGCATGAATCAACTGTTCATCGAGTAGATATTAACACATGTCAAAAAGTTATTATTGTTTTCTTATTGAAATAAGAAAATAAATTCAATAAGAAAATAAAAAAAAACATCTTCATATATATTACTCTCTCCGTTTCATTTTAAATGATATCTTAAGCAAAAAATTTTGTTTCATTTTAAGTAATGTTTTCAACTTTTTATGGAAAAATTAAATGTATTTAGTATTTTTGACCAATCATATTTTACAACATATTTTTTATTGGTTGATTTCATTTTTCTTTATTGGTATTTTCATGGAAAAGAGGTAATTCATATGTCATGTATTGCATAATAAAAGTTAAGTTAAAATTTTCATGTTTATAGAAAGAACAAAGTTTTGGGCTTGGATCATGAGTGATTAATGGGAATACATTTAAATTTCTATAAAATAGAAAAGTGTTTGTTTCTTATATATTTCCATGGAAATTTTTCCTTGTGATCACAGTCACACATAGCACAACAATATGGGAATCTCCATTTGATATAAATTACCACAATATACCACACATATTATATATAGATTCAAACATGCTTAGATTTAATTAGGCTATAGATATATATTATTTGGAATAAGACAGAAAATAGAAGACGACAAAATATATCTAATAAACAGAAGAAGATTGTCGTTACCTATCACCGACAAGTCTGTACATTCGAGAGATGAGATCTTCCTCTTGTTCGGTCATACTGATAAACTCCCACTCGATGCTACTCACTTCTGCATGAGAAAGATATTAATTCAACGTAGACAAGTTAAAAAGATGTGCGCGTACGTAAAACCCAAACAACGATTTGAGACTAACTAAAATATAAAAGAGAGAGACCTTCGGAGTCATGGCGAGTGAGCTTGTTTTGCCTGAAGCTGCGAACACGACGAAGACGGTTGGTATTATCCATTAATCTTGGGAAAATGAAAGAAGCTTAGACATATGCATATATATATAGAGAGAGAGTACTGAGATGTAGAGTTTGGAGAGAATGCAAGGTATAATAGAGATATGTGAGAAGTGTTTATATTGAGAAAGAGATGGAGAGAGAGAGAGAGAAGAGATATGAATTATTATTTTATAATTAGATGTATACATTCTTATAAGTTATACTTTTTTATTAATTTTAAATCAAAACAAAAAACGATAATTTTTTTTACTATTCAAGACGTTTATAATGCTTTTGGGTCCAATTTTGATTTCTGACCTAACTTCACAAGTGAAATATTAACAATTTGTCGTCCTTTCGATGGCTCATTTTTCACTATCCGTTGTCTTGTTGGGGTAATTAATATTAAAGTCACACTAAGAGTTATTTCACTGTTAAATTCGCGAGTGATAAAACATCACATGTAACTACACATCTCAATAAATTATATTTTGTGAACACGTAAACCTACAAGTTGGAATTTATGAATATCACACTATTTTTTTATATATACATATTTTGGAATTTATAAGCATGGAGATGGTTGTGGATATATATATATATATATGAACACATTAACTATACGACTATTTTAGACTTCTCCTATAATATTAATTGAGATTTTTTTTCCCGATATAGAAAAATTGGACAAAGTATTTAGCAAAAAAAATTGGACAAAGTCAAGATCATGTATCAGTAGATTTTTGTGTTGTGGTATAGATCTGTGGGTCGTAATAGAAGTTATTATAAAGTCCAACGAAACTTTTGTTTTCTTGCACAGTACCTTTATAATTAGTATTTTGTTGCATTATACTTTTATAGATATGCCCTACAGTGAAGATAATTTCGATTTATGCATCTCTCTATTCAATTATCGTCTCAGAGATCATAAATGCACAGTAACTGTAAGAAACAGACGTATCAGTGTTTCTTTATATATCTAGTCCAGTTACTTAATTAGCTTTGTCACACATAAATCGATCGGTACTTCATCATGAGTTTATCATTTCCTCAGCGTGATATGTATTAAAGAACCACTTACCCGATCTACTACTAGTATAGTCTATATTGTAGTAACGTGATGTATATAATTTTCTTTATTTATTGTACATATGAGTATAACATTTAGTTATCAATATATTTTATAATATGTGTACTAGTGATAGAGAGATCGATCAAGATCGACAGTCGAGATTGCAAACCTAAAATATGAAAATTTGAAAAATATTAGTTTAAAATAAATGATAAATATTACTATTAAGTTTATGAATATTGACATTAAGTATTTCTATTTATATCATTTATATTTATGTTTATCATAGTTTACGATATCTTTATCTATATATAATAAAACACAAATTATATCATTATATTCATGAGAATCTAATGTAATTCTCCTTTTAACACTTTACATGTTCTTATATTCTCATCAATTTATCAATATGCCATACCTAAAACCAACAAGAACGCATAGATGACACACTAGTAATGCATGATAACTATCCCCAAAAACTATTTGTTGCTAAAATCCTTCATACCCTGCAGGATAAAACTAATTTTAGTCACAAATAGCCATCAACACAGTTAATTTGGGGATGATTGTACGTACGTAGCTTAAGTGCTTAACCATAGGCAACTTTTTAGTCGGCAGCGGAATTAACTACTATTCCTAGCTAGGAACAATACATTTTGAACTCTTTAGAATTTTCTTATATAATTTACATAGATTTAGATAATTTGTTATTCTATTGCAGGACCAATTCAAGAAAGATGGGAGTTCTTGGCTGCCAAAGATTAAATTCAGTATATAAATGTTTTTCACTCTTGACAGAATACGTTAAAATTTATTGACTAGAACGACTTTATTGAAACATTATGTTTCAGGCTGCATACAGTTGTTGTCTGGACATTACAACTTAATTCTAAAGAGTTTGCCAAGACAAATATATTATACTTTTTACCGTAACGCATCTTACGAATATGTGTGTGTAAATATATATATATATATATATAGAAACTAGATGAATAAATTATAACAACTAGACAAAAGAGCTTCTTCAAAGACCGCGATGATAATTTAAAGGACAAACAAGATGCAGACCTGTATCACCTGGCTCACTGAATAAAGTTTATTTGTATGTCGTGATCGTCATTATGGTTTTGAATGATGTCGATCTAGGAAATGTTGTTCTTAAGTAAAAAAAAAAATCAAGATGAAAGTAAAAAGAAAAAATATAATCATCAAGAAGCTCTCGACAACACGTTTTTTTTCGACAACATGTTTAATTAGTGAAAGAATATGGAGCTATGACGAGAAGGCTGATTAAACCGCACATCAAGATTTATATAACGAAAATGTAAAATCGTATTTATCATGTTAGTATGCGGATGCATACTCTTATTCGCTAAAGTATAGTGTGGCTTTGGAATGCAAGATACATTATTGGGAAGTTTGTAAACTACATGTGTGTGGCAGTGCAACTAGGGAAAGTTTGGATTATTGAAAGAGAAAGGGGTAGTGAGAAATCAAAGAGCTATAGTGTGAGATGGTAAAGATCATGAGTAGCAAGGATGGTCGGTTGCCTGAATCTTCATATAAAAATTAACAGCTTAATGGATCCAAAGTTGTCAGGTTCTTGATTAGATAGGCTGTGGCCCATATATATAACTCATATATGGCTTCACGTGGCTACCCAATTTCTCCTTTTCACCTTACAATATGGTTTCTGAGATTTAGACCTGTCTTTAGTCGTCATATAGTTAATTTATCTAAAACTGCTCATTTTGTGATATGATAGTACGTAGGAGTGTTTTGTATTGTTCTCTAAGTGCATATTTTAGCTTCCTGCTGGTTGCATTTAACTTACTGTCATGAGCCGAGCCACTAATGTATCACTTAAGCTATACGTTACATATATTAGATACCGATTTCGATAAGTCCAAGCTCCTTATAGCTGTCCTAATTGTCTATGTTGTGATGCAAGATAATGTGCTGGGTGTGTCAAGGAGCCAGTACCCTTGAGTCATTAACCGCAAATTAAGTCTTAAGCATGGTGTCTGAACTTGCACGCAGAATATGAAGAGACGAGGAGAAGGAAGGGCCATATATCAAAGTCGTAGAGAAGTCAATAATAGAGGAAGAGAAGATGAATGATTATAATATTTAAGCGTTAGGTGTGTTGAGTGGTCCTTGTCGAAATGGTAAACGCCAAATTTCATGGTAATCAATTCTAAGAATATTCTTCACTCTATTATAGTCATAGACTTAAAAAAAAAAAAAAACAAAAAAAAAAACACACTCCACTGTTAATTGTTTCAATCAATATTTTGACTAAGTTACAAGTAGGTGTAGTTGGAACGAAGCAAGTGACACAAGTTGTAGAATTGACATTAACATGGACAACCATTGTTGAGCAATATAAACACATAGAAATTTATTCGATCTACTGATCAACTTTTTTGTCCATATAAAAACAGAAATTAAGGAGAAGAAGATATACAAAAACGAGAAGATTTGTGGAGTCGGCATCGTTTGTGGGAGAAATGATCAGAGTTTCTCATAATCCAAAATCTCTCTATTTCCTTGGCATCTCGTCCGACCACTCTTCCTGCTATTAAATCCCACCTAATAGTATTCATTTTCATTGCCAACAATCATATTATTATTAATTAACTGTTTTATTATGAATTTGGTTTTATAAGTTTTTGCATGTGTTCATAAGTCAAAAGTATAACTGACGTCGACGTATGTGGGCTATCAAAGCATAATTAGAAGTGGAATTGAGGTATCGATCCCGTAGCTAGCTTGATCAAAATTAAAGTAAATAATTTTGTGTTGAAAATTGCATTAGTTTTTTTTTTCTGAAAAGTGGTAATATAACGTAATGCTATATATGAATTCAAATTGTTTTATCAAAACCAAAAAATAAAAATAAAATTCTTGCTAAAAAGGGTTGAAGCTAAGTTACAAGAAAAAGACATATAAATGAGGAACGAGATAAAAAAAAAAAAAATGATAAACAGAAGAAGAAGAAAAAATGTAACCTATCACCGACAAGCCTATGCATTCGAAAAATGAGATCCTCTTCTTGTTCTGTCATATTGATAAACTCCCATTCGATGCTACTCACTTCTGCGTTTATAATTTAGTTTTATATCAAATCACATATCACTGAAATAACATGACAACGGTTAGATATATTTCTAAGTAAAGTATAAAGAGGGACCTTCGGAGTCACGTAGAGTGAAAATGGTTTGCTTACGGCGACTGCGACGGTTGGTATTATCCATTAGGTATTAGAAAATGAAAAAACTATTATACTTACAGAGAAAAACTGAGAATTTAGAGTTTGGAGGATGCAAGGAACTTAAGATAGATGTGAGCAAACTATATAGAAAACCTTATGAAGAAGGAAAGAGAGAGAGAGAGAGAGACATAAGAAAAGGGTCCCCAAGCTACTGTAATGTGGACTACTTGACCAGTATAGACTTGTTCTTCATACAACTGGATAAAGATTACGATCTATAACATCCTGTTTTATCCATTGTTTTGCTTCGATACCATCTAACAGTCAAATTACGAAATGAATCAAATACTAAAATAAACCATATATTAGAACGCAAGTACAAATACTAAAATTTAAAACTCTAGATGATATATATATGGTTCGCTTTTAAAATATAAATACATGCATACATATATAAATCTATATATTAATTACAGATAATGGGGTGTGATCCTGTGGTGCATTCTTAAACTGAGTACAACAATATAACTATAATCATAGCAACAATATTTAAGTACAACGAAGAAAATTGAAACTTGATATATAGAACTACCATTTGACATATATACACTGTATTATTGTAAAAGACAATTAACAGCCGTAATTATTAAAAACATTCTTCTGTCTTCTTTATCCTTTACTCTCACTGGTTTAAATATTGGCATCAAACTCTTTTGTAGAGTAATATTAATATTGTAAAACAGAAAAATTATCTTTTGTACTGTGGATTAGGACAATATTGTTGGTAGGATCTTAACAAGTATTTTAATTTAAGATTTGATCTTATATAGTTATATATAAAATAAAATTTTAACAAATCTTACCAAATATTTTAATTTAAGATATTTGTTAAGATTCCACCAATAATGTTGATTTGATCTGTGTGCTGTGATTTGTGTGCCGGGATGTATGCTCGTACTCGTAAAGCCTAACCAGTTATTTAACAATAGTGTCACACGACCAATGAAACTTCTACATTCTTGTAGTAATTTTTTTAAATTACATTTTTGGTATTCTACATATTTTACCTTTTTTGGTTTGTCGACACGCAAATTAATGCAAGTAGATATACATATATGCGTTATACTTATGACTCGACTCAGCAAATATTTCAGTGATAATAAATTCAGTTGCTGTAAGAAACTGACACGTAACAATCTCAGTTTCTTCTATCCAAGGCTAAAGTTGTATTAGAATCTTCTCTAGTTTTATAACATTTAACGCTATTACAAAACATTATGACGACACAATCAAGGCTTTATACCTCAACTACGCTCTCGGGTATTGACAGAAGTAAAACTAAAGACTCTTTAGATGGGTATAGTAGGGTACACTTTATAAGGTCGGGGATGAAGAATGTTACGTTCCTTTGTGATGCGGCATGATTTGGTTTGTCTTCAACTCTCTTTTGATCAATGTCCCTCCTCATTACTAACTTCGTTATAAATGTAGTTTTGGTTAATCATAAATGTAGTTTGGAAACAAATATTAAAACATCAAAACACATGCATGTTGCAGTAGGTCACTTCAACTAACAATCTTATCCATGACGTATCTACGAGTGCATATGAGTGAGTGATGCCAAATTTTAAAACCCGATCATAAGTCGCAAGTAGACAAAAACAAGTTAAAAGAATAAATACATATGGTTTGTTGATTGGTAGATATGCTTGATCGATTTAAGAACTCGTCGACAATATATGTTTCTGAAGTGGTCCAGGAATTATAAATACAATGTAAGAAGGAGTACGTAGATTCACTTCACCGAACCCTTATTTAATTTTTTTTTTTTTTTTTAAATAGAGACTTATAAAGTTGAAAACTAAAAATAAAAAAAAATAAAAAAATTGGTGGTCACTTTTGATGATTTAGTTAACCTTTTACATAACCCTAGATGTACAGTGTATATGTACGCTTAGTGAATTATATATAAATAAATGAGTCCATGAAGCCATCGATACAATTGACAAAAAGATGTTAGGACGGCTTTTGCTTATATGTATAAGGTTCCGATCCATATGGTTGGGAAAAATATCAATACACAATGCACGACGATTCATCATCGAGAGTAACACTGCGAGATCAAATTGAAGACAAGATTTAATTATACACTACCTAAAGATTTGCTCGTAAGGATATTGTTGCAAAAATGAAAAACCCCACAAAAGATGCAGCTAGCTAGCGTCGTCGTCTACGCTTGATTTTATCGAAACGATGGCGGACGATTTGGACGATGCTACCAGAACTCGAGTATATATATGGATATATACTGACTCGAGTTCAACATCATCTCAGCTATCGTTTTTTATATTATTGTATAAACTGCTATATAATTATTTGTTTATTTAATTAGATACTGAAACTATAAAACTGTCATACGAAAGCATTTAGCTTTACTCCAACGTAATAGTCAAGATTTATATTTACACTTATGAGCTATAGCCAACCAACTTATTTGGAAACTAGAGCCTAGAGGTATCAGGCCGGGAACCAAAAAAGATTTATATGATCATGAGAAGAAAAAACACATTGAAGATTTGTTCAACTCAACTACATATTTGAAAGCTTCTTTTGTCCACAATAACAGAAATTAATGAGGATGAGACATACAAAACAGGGTGAATGAGACGTAGGCGTCATTTGCGGGAGAAATGGTCAGAATTTCTCATAATCCAAAACCTCTCTATCTCCTTTGCCTCTCGTCCGACCACTCTTCTTGCTATTAAATCCCACCTGGTATATTATTCAATGTGTGACTAACATATTTCTAATTCCGTTTTAATTTAGAATGATGTAAAATTACAAAAAGAAAAAAAAATATCTTTTTAGAATAGAATTTCGTTTTACAAAATTTTTACTTGTGTCATTCTAACATTTTCACACAAAATAAAAAAGTAAAATTTTCATTTCTACCCTTTATTAATCTATATATATAAAGTTAACTTTGCTCTCTTCTCCTTAAGCCACCTCATCATCCTAATCATCATTCACATCATTTTACTATTTAATTTTAATAATTTATTTATACCATTTTATTCTTTCATTTAAATATTTATACACATGTAAACAAGTTTTCAAAAAGGAATATGAAAAATCCTTTCAAACATCATCCACATCATTTTACTATTTAATTTTAATAATTTATTTATACCATTTTATCATTTAATTTAAAGATTTATACACATGAAAACAAGTTTTTTCAAAAACAAATATGAAAAGTCCTTTCAAATAATAATTATAATAAAATAAATATGTTAAATTAGTATAAAGTAGATTATACTAATATGTATGTTACATAACAAAAACAAATAACAAATATAACAAACAAATATAACAAATAAAAATAACAAACAAAAACATAACAAACAAAAATAAATATATAATAAACAACAAATCGGCATATCAATTAAAAAAAATACAACAATTCGCGCGAATCCACAAATCATTCTCAACTTTTGGACCAACATATTAAAAGGACCTACAATATTAACATCATCTAGATCTATATTTGGTGGGAGCCTTAATAACACATTTTTTTCTGCAACTCTCCATAACACTTCCGTTTACGCCTACACATCGATTTATACTATACACGCTTAATTTCTCAACTATTATAGAAACTAAAATAAAATAGATTTTCTATACAAACACAACATGAGATAGAAAATAAAAATATGATGTAGTAGAGAAAATAAGTACGAAATAAAATATGAATCAATTACTCATAAACTACGTAATAAAACTTCCGCGCATAGCGCGGACAACTAACTAGTACACTATATAATATCCTCTTTCTAATTAATAAAGAACTATTTATTAGGATAAAAAGAAAATATTTAGTCTTAAAACCTGCATTGAAAACACAAGACGGCACTATTTGTGAAACAAGACTAAAACTTTACAATGACACTATTTGTGAACCGGAGAGAAAGTACAATAAAATGAACGAATAACAATATCTAACTAAAATCTTGATTAAAAAACTACATTAATTACAATATATAAAGCATCAAAATAAAAATCATCGAAATGTAATAGTTAAAGTTCATATTAACACTAATCATGAGATATGCAAGCATATTTAGAGCCATTTATGTTTTTGGAAGGATCCAAGATTTCACTATATTTAAATTTTCATAATGGATTATAGAAATGAGATACATATGTCGGATAGATTGAATCATGTTGGATCACGCATAATAGAGATATCATAGAACAAGGTCCAAAGTTTAAATTATTTTTATATAAAACCGAAGAAGAAAATGTTTACCTGTCCCCTACAAGTTTGTACATTCGATAGATGAGATCCTCTTCTTGTTCTGTCATATTGATAAACTCCCATTTGATGCTACTCACTTCTGCATTTTCATTTAGTTATACTCAAATCACAAATCAAAGACAATGTGAGAAATCGACGAGACGAATAGATATATCAAAGAGAAACCTTGGAAGTCATATTGAGTGAACTTGGATTGCTTATGACCGTGAGGGCGACAAAGATGAAAACGGTCTGTGTTTTCCATTAGTATGGAACAATTGGTGAAGGCTAATGTTATAGGGAAAAACTGAAAACTTGAGTTTGGAGAACGCAAAGGAAAAAAGAAAAGATGTGAAGAAGAAAAAAGAGAGAGATAGGAAGAGAGGTTCCCAAAAGAACAGCCTCTGTAAGTATACTACTTGATATTACAAATACAAAGTATACATAAATATTTATAAGAATTATCAAAACATTAAATCGTAAATAAAATTTAAACAAAAAAAAATATTCAGTTCATACCAAATAACATTTATAACCGTATTATGTATATGAAAGTAAAATTTATAAATTTGAAATTTATGTAGTTAACATTAAAAAATAAATTGAAATAATGTTAGTAACATTAATTAAAACAGTGATTTAAACATCGCAAGAATTGACAAACTCATACACAACATAATATATGGCTAATAATTGTATAGGAATTATCATTTTATTTTAAGTGAAAACTTGCTGAGTTCGAGTATCAGCTAAAGCGTTGATAATGCTCTCACAGCGATAATGGTGGACTTTTGGGTAAAAAAGTTTCACTGCTAGGTTTTATACTCGAGTCCTTAATTTAGGTATTCATTTTCTTTTTATTTATTATTTTCTGTACAAACTTCCAAAATCTAGCATAGTTTTTGAATTAAGTTGCAATGGATTAGTCTGATCAATTATATTTCTAATTATTGTATAACGTATTAAATTGGAGTGAAGGATAATTATCAACATTATAAGTTGTCTAATTAACATGACAGCATCCTATATCAATTATTACCACAGTTTTACTGGGGTAATATAAGTTTGGGAATTCCACAACTTCAAAATATTAATTGTAAAACGTCGGCAATTCATTTGTATTGATTATTATAATATTACAAGCTCACAACTATACAATATATATATATATATATATATAGAGAGAGAGAGAGAGAGAGAGAGAGAGATGTACTGCCAAAAAGAATCCTATTTATGTTTAAGCAATACATACTACCGTATGAAGCTGCCATCGATCAATTCCATTTTTTATTTCACGTCAAAAACGTTTTAGTTTAGGCCATTAGGATTCATTGCTCAAAACGTGGTAAATAAATATAAGTAAAAAACTAAAGAATAATATTATGAACACACTAGCTTGCTTGACGACCATTCGATGAAGTTTTTGTGATGTTTCTCACGTTGTCAGTCGTTCGTTCTTAGTTGATACTTTTCTTGGCAATACTAGCTTGCTTGACGTACGTATCCCCTCCTATATAAGAGAAAACTAAACTTTTTTCTAATTATGTCACACTACTTTATGATATTTATGTATATTATGTAATTATATTTCTAACGTGAAATTTCAAACATGTACATGCATGATTTCTTACTCGAGTAATTGGAATAAAGAAAACAGTGAAGTACGTTTCACTTTTACCCATTAGAAAACAATGAGACTGTGTGTGGTACGAGAAGTATGCCACGATCAATGAAAAGTACGTTCTGCATCAATGACACATGATGGATAAATTACATAAATTATGAAAGTTTATTTACACCATTTGTGTTTTCTATTCTTTATATTTACAGCTTTTATGTTGTCTTCTTAGACCATTTCAGGTAAATAAAACATGAAAATTCCCTAGTTTTGGTAAAATCAGAGCATAGATAATAAGATAAATTGAAATGGTACATCTAGCATTCTTAGAAAATAATATATGGTTCATGCCGAATATCTAATATTATATCAATTTCTTGACAAACACAAAAAAAAAGGTATGATTTATATGGTTTAAGTGCATGATTTGGCCAAATAAAAGTTAAACGTAGCTCGAGAAAATTCAAATATCTAATTGAAACCAAGTATGGTCTGACAATGAGACAATCTATCAAAAGTGGTCCGATGATTATAAATGTCACGTACGTACGATCGACTAGACTCCATTAACAGCATCATATGAATTACGACATGATTCATGTCAACCTTCCCCACTGACAAAACTTTTGAACGTTTACGACTTTTCTTTTCTCTTTTTTTTTTTTGGGTTTTCTTTCTTTCTTTGATATGACACCCTCGTATTTTATTCTCACACCTAACATAAAAACCATGCATGTGACCTAACATAGGAAATGTCACAAGGCTGATTTGATTCTTCGGCAGGCGCACTGAATGAATTGTTGTTATTACTTATAGAAATAATAATCATCAGAAGCCGAAACTAAATCAAGCATGAACACGTCCAAAATATAAATGCTATGCATATTACTTTGCACCATTTTTGGTTCTACTTCTACCATTATGTTTGAACTATATTTTGATACGCAGTTTTGTAATCTAAACTTTTAGTTAAGTTACTAAATTGTAAGGTTAGAAATATTTTAAAATTTAATTAGTTTAAGTTATACGTACGTACAGTAAGTATGTTTCAACAAAAGACAAGTATGTCAGTGTACGGTGTTACCTATAATTAAATCCCATATTTAACCATGTAGACCCCGGCCCTTCACAAGTCTGCCATGCATGTGTGAGTGTCCTCTTCATTGTTACTCTTTCAGCATTTTTTGTTCAATCAAAGTTCTTGTTATCATTATTATTTTAACGTTAAAACCCATAAAAAAAAAAAAAGAGTTCTTGTTGTTCTATGAATCTACATTGAAAACTATACCATTAATTATTATGAAAGAAAAAACACACCACAAAAACGCTATTCATGTACTGATGTACATTGTTACTATGCATGCAAAGTCATGTGATATTATAACATGTCACGAGCTTGATGATACAAGAAGTTTATGACGTAGACAATTAAGATACATGAAAGCTCGAGACAGTAAAAAGAAAGCATGCAGCTATGTTAAACTCAGAAGTCAGAACTGAATACAAAAGGACTTTACTTCTACCTTCATTGCAAGGAACTATTTGTGAAATTTGGTTCAGAATTTGATATAACTTTGTATTAATGTATTGTCAAACATCATAAAATATCTTAAACTCATACATATAGATAAAATTAAACGAATTGTTTTTAAACTTAATATGGAACATATATTATCTTTTTGAAAAAATATATAAATAATACAGTAGAACGTTTTTTAGTCATACAGATTGCATAACTTAAACTTGATCCATATCCCAAAAAGATGTTTTATAAGTTTCGAGTTCATATCATGGTATCAGACTATCAATATATCGTGCGGCCCAATAAAAGCCCAGCAGCCGAGTTTGACTCATCTCTTTCTTCTTCCTTTTTAGTCAAACTTTTGACTTTTCTGCTAAAATATAATAAAAATTAATTAAAAAATGAAAGGGAAAAAAAAGAGTTCATCAGATAAGTCACCACCATGTCTCTCCACCCACGAAGAAGTTTCCTTGATCACAAACTATTCTCAAACTCAAAAGATCTGCCCTTTAGGGATACCCAGATCTTTTCCTTCTGTAAAGTCTCCACCTTTCACGTTTTTTTGCTTCTTACCTGAATCCAACCTTGCCGTCGCCGGCGAACTCACCTTCCTTCTTCTGGTTGACTCGTCGGACATAGTCCGACCTTTCAATTCGTCGATTCTACTTTCAATTTACTGATCGATTTATTAGAAATGGGTTACTGGTTCTTCTAAGTCTCTCTTTAGCTGAAACTTTTGTGCTCTACGACAGTTCGATTTATCCTTACTTGTTTAAGTTCTTCTTCAAATTCGTACTAATGGCGATAAGAATTACTTTTACCTATTCCACCCATGTTGCTCGTAATCTCGTCGGGACCCGTGTTGGTCCCGGCGGCGATCTTCGTTGCTGCTTTGAGTCTTTGGTTCGTCCTAGATTCTTCACCCACAAGCGTGATTTTGATCGATCTCCTAGATCCGATCCTCGGACTCGACCTGCGTCGATGTACGGTAGCATCGCGAGGGAACTCATCGGAGAAGGAAGTCAAAGCCCGCTTGTGATGGGTTTGATCTCGATTTTGAAGTCAACGTCGGCTCATGAGTCGTCGTCGATGAATGTTCTGGGGGTTTCATCACTCAAGGCTTCTTCTATCATTCCGTTTCTTCACGGATCGAAATGGACGAAGAAGTCTCAAGGAATTGATGTGGACAGGGGAGGAACGGCGTTTGATGATGATGATGATGAAAAGGAGTTTAGTGGTAAGGAATCGAGGAGTGGAGGAAGTGGATGGGTTAATAAGCTTTTGGGTATCTGTTCTGAGGATGCCAAGGCTGCTTTCACGGCGGTTACTGTCTCTATCCTTTTCAGATCGGCTCTTGCGGAGCCAAAGTCTATTCCTTCCGCGTCTATGTACCCTACCTTAGATGTGGGTGATCGTGTTATGGCGGAGAAGGTACAAATTCTCTAAGTCTGTTTTCTATTTTGATTGTAATTATAGATTATGGATGGTGACTTTTAGCCGGTTCTGAAATCAGTTCGTACATGTTTAGTATGGAGTAGCTGTGTGAGTATCTTATGGTTTGTTGAATGTGTACAAATTGTTCTTGTTGGCTTGATCGCATTGATATGAAGGTTGTTCCATAGGCAATATTGCTAGACTAGAACTTGAGTATTTTTGTTGTTTGATGTGTGTTTTTAAATGAGTTTCTTTTAGTTTCTTATGACAATAGTGAACGTTTTAGCTAAATCTGTGTTTTTGCCTTGGTGTTGGTCAGGTCTCATACTTTTTCAGGAAGCCAGAGGTGTCAGATATAGTAATTTTCAAGGCTCCTCCGATCTTGCTGGTAGGTCACAGTTTTTTCATATTTTTGCAATTCACATGTTTCAACCTGTGTGTAACTTGAATTGTAAATTAAGTAATTGTTATTCTCCTTGAAATTGCAGGAACATGGATACAGTTCCAATGATGTTTACATAAAAAGGATAGTGGCAAGTGAAGGTGACTGGGTTGAAGTAAGCCCTTATATCCAATCCACTTGTTGATTGATCCTTTTCTCACCCATTGAAGTCTTTGTTCAAATTGGTCGGTATTACTTTTGTAGAGGCTTTCTCGGACTTAAAGTCATCTCGGAAATGGACCCAACCCTTTTTCTGTCTTTTCATCCAATTTCTGTCTAACCTGTGGACTGTGTGCTATGTAGATTCGTGATGGGAAGCTCTTTGTGAATGACATTGTGCAAGAAGAAGATTTTGTCTTAGAGCCAATGTCCTATGGAATGGAACCAATGGTGAGTAACTTGTAATTACAATGTACTTATCCTTGTTAAGTATCAGACTGCTGATAACTGATAAGATTTGCTTTTACATATTCATTTGCAGTATGTCCCCAAAGGCCATGTTTTCGTCCTCGGAGACAACCGCAACAAAAGTTTTGACTCTCACAATTGGTAACTTTCTAAATTTAGAATCAGTTTTGAGGATCAAATGGCGTATTATCTATTATGAGCCGTCTTGTAATTGATGTTCGTCCCCATTGATGATAATGGTGAATGTAAATGCAGGGGTCCACTTCCAATAGAGAACATCCTTGGAAGATCTGTGTTCCGGTACTGGCCACCGAGCAAAGTATCAGACACCATATACCACGACCAAGCTATCCCAAAGGGACCTGTTGCAGTTTCATGACGAAAAATAATGTTGGAATGCTTCTTAGTGTATTAAAGCACAAGATCGTGCAAAACCAGTCTAGTCAGAATTGGGTAGACCTGGAATTGAAACCTCAAACCTCAACACGTTAGAGTATCTGCGGATACATACTGTATCGGTATGGATGGACATCAGGTTCTTAGCTGATGGCCAGAGAAATTATGTGTATGAAAGGAATGGAAGATGCAAAGAAAAAAAAAAAAAAAAAAAGCTTTACTGTGATTGTTTGTTGTGTGTTATATACCCTGAAATCAAGACAGTTTTATTTGTAAAGCCGTATAGGGCAATTGTGAAACAAAAGGGTCCTTTTTGTTTTTGAGTTTATATAAAAATGATCCTGTAAAGACATGTGTTGTTGTAAGAACAAAATTAAAATAAAATTTGTGTTGTTAAAATGTTTAAATTTGCAGCACAGTTGATAATTATTTGGACATTAATCTGTATGATGCAACACGACTTTATTAGTTTGTGAAATATCTCATTAGGTTGGAATGTTCATAAAATGTGACAAAAGAGTTAAATAACGTAAAAGAAGAGCTCAGAGATATGGCAAATCTAAACTGAAAGTTCAGGAAAATGCGAAGGACCCAACCAACGCTTAAACCAGTTTCATCAATGCTCTATTGCACCAGCTTTGGATCGAACCAGGGTCTAAGGTCGGGTACTATTATACCACTGACCTAATGGTGCCAATTGGTATGACAAAATTCTCTAATAATATAAAGCAAAATTTATGGCTTTGTTCACCAACACTCCCACTAAAGCTCTGCAAAAAGCCCACAAAGCTCGTTAAGTTAGTAAGATTGTGGTTTTCATATTACAACATGGTTCACTTTATAAAAGGAAGTTCAAAGGACAAAAAAAGGAAAAGAACAGAACTCAGTATGAGGCAATCACAACTGAGTAAACAGAAGAGTACGAAGGACCCAACTTTCGCTAAAGCCAATTTCATCATAGCACTGATATAGTGCACCAGCCGGGAATCGAACCCGGGTCTGTACCGTGGCAGGGTACTATTCTACCACTAGACCACTGGTGCTATATATTACCTCTAAAGAGGATTCACGAAGAAGTAGTTTCTCTGAGAAATGGACACAACCCTTTTGTTTTGGTTTTGTTTTTTTGTTTTTCAAAAAATAAGATTTGTGTGAAATCAATATCATGCAGGTTCGTATAGCTCTTTGTGAATGACATTGTGCAAGAAGAGCCATCCTTGAGTTGTTGGAACCAATGGTGAGTAACTTGTAATTAACCACTTGTACTCACCCTTGTAAAAGAATCAAAGTGTTGACAAGGTTTGCTTTTCATGTTTATCTTTTTGTCCTTGGAGACAACCGCAACAAAAGCTTTGACTCTCATAACTGGTAACTCTCTAATTGCATAATCAGTTTGGAAGATCAAATACATATGTCATCTATTCTGAGCATTCCAAGTTTTTCTTACATATGAAATGTGACAAGTGATGATGTTACTTAAAAAAAATAGTAGTTAAACCAAGAAAAAGGAAGAAAAATAAAAGAGCTCAGGAGTGAGGCGAGAACATCTGAGAAATCAGAAGAATGCGAAGGACCCAACCAACGCTTATGCCAATTTCATCACAGCTCATTTGCACCAGCCGGGAATCGAACCCGGGTCTGTACCGTGGCAGGTTACTATTCTACCACTAGACCACTGGTGCTTGTTGTTTATCACTCTTTTGATAATTTAATTATACATTTTCACAACCCTCGCATAAGTCAACCACAGGATCGAAACAGAGTGATGACAGAGCAAGAGTATAGAAGAATGATCTTAATCCTAATGCCAATTCCATGTGACTATTTCAGGTTGAAAACGATAAAAAAAAAAAAAAAAAGAAACTCAACTGTTTCATAACCTAGCATTAAGCTCCTTAGCTCCATTTGCCTTCTACAAACCCCAAGATTAATGGAGACATACTAAACTCTCACCACAAACCATTAGAGATAAAAAAAAAAAAAATACAAAAACAAAAGATGGGTCATTCTTGTAGTTTTGAACCTAAAAAAACTTATTTTGTTTCCTACAACTATGACAACAGAATCAAACACAAAACTGTACCTCTCTCACTCACTCTTCTTCTTCTTCTTCTACTACTCTTGCTGTCCTCAGACAACATCTTGAGAAAACTGGCTATGAGTTTAGCTTTTTTGGTCTTTCCCTTGTTCCTTCCATATCAGCTTGAACCTTTCGGATCTTCACCAATTTTCTCAGCCTCTCCTTCTAAAACCTTAACTCCTACAACATCACCTTCTTGAGCCACGCCTGAACTCTGCCCTATTTTTCTTTTTCTACTTTCGTCTTTCTCCCCCGCAACAGCTTCAACATCTTCTTTGTTGTACGGATCACTGTTCAGATCTATCCTCGCCGTGTTCACTTCTTCCTCTGCCTTATTCTTATCAGACTCAGCCTGTTCCATGTCCTTCTTCTCCTTCTCTTCTGCTGCTGGTCCATCACGCTCTAACTGCTTCTTCTTCCTCCTCATCATCAGCGTCTTGAACCTTCTCTTTACAGTGCTACACACAGTGCAAGCGCAGTTGGGCTTGTGCCTACCTTTCCCACTTGGTGGCTGAATGCACACAATGCAAGAGCATCCAGCCCGGTGCCTTGGATGTCTGGTTGTGGTTGCAACCTCTGGCTCGCCCATTGTGTCTCCTAAGACCGCTGCACTCGCTAGTGCATCCAAACCAGACGGTTCTTGCTCACTTTTTGCTGCCTGGCTTTCCCCAGTTCTTCTCTTCTTGTACTCTACACAAATACACAAACAGACAGTCTTGAGATTTGAGATTCTTAATAAGCTGAGTATTTGTATGGTAAGCTGCGTTCAGAAACAACTATGCAGGATACCAAGCAACAATCCAGAGTTTGATAAAACTCCAACATAAGGAATGTGCAACAAGCACAAATAACAACTGCATATCCAAAAAAAAATTATGCGAACGCCCAACCATACAATGCTCACAGCACAACGACTTGGAAGCAGTCTCTCACTCTAATGCAACAAGCTAATAAGAAGGAACCATGAGAGGCCAAGGTATAGATTTCATACCTCTCCCTGCTTTAAGAGCATTCTCAAGTTCCTTCAGACTCTCCTCCGGTGCAGAACATGAACACCTGTCAATGTATATTTTTTTTTAAAAACAAAGACAATTTCTAAAATGAAATTGGATTCAAGCGATCAAAAAGGTAAAAAACATTTGTGAAAGTTCTTACCTGCTCACGTCCCAAACATTGTCTATACATGTCCATTTTAAGGAAAGAAGAGCATTGACAGGTAACCTTCTCCATTTAGAGCAGTCATCACAAGCTGCCCATCGTTCTTGTTCGCTGGCCAATAAAAACATTTGTTAGTAAATCGCTTGCATGAAAATAAGCATTAAGTGCAAGTATGGAAGTAAATCATAGGATAAGGTATGTTGACGTTCAAATTTTGAGTTGAAAAGTGAAAGAACCAAGTGCAAGTATGGAACTTACCCTGAAGGTTTTGTAGTGACTATGGTCTTCTTTCCACAGACAGGAGGTTCCTGTGCATAACATTAAGAAGAACTATGACTTAACTGAGAGTAATCTAGTTCAAAGTTAATCACATGAAACCCATTGATAGTATCAAAATTAACAAGATTGACCACTTACGTCAAATTCTTCAAATTCATGCCCCTCAATAACGACAATGGTAGGCTTTGCACTGGGGGAGGGACGAAACAAGTCCTGAGCTTCTTCCCAGGTGATTCTCAGCTCCATAGATTCTTCACTATGCAAAAGTAGTCTCTTAGTTTTGGTCCCAATGGTTCGAGTTCTCTTCTTTTCTTTAACTCGTGTAGGATCATCAGCTACCCTGACCCCGTTATTCTCATTCTTTATGCCATTACCACCATAAGGTGAGCTCAGATTTTCAGGCATACCATTCAATTCTTTCGGTATTAGTGAGGGACACGAGGAACCATTTATCGATGGTGGGTTCTCTGTAACGCCAGATGATGATGTGTCCTCAGTTGAAGTACCGTTAGTGAGACCACAACTCTGTTTATAAATATAAGAACCAGATAAGAATGGAGCTAAGCAGAAATTAAAAAACCAGCACATTCCTGCAAAAACCAGTTCTAGAAAGCCAACCTGAATGTCTCCACCATTGGCTGCCTTCCTGGAACCCATGATTAGTTTTCCGCCAGGATCAACACGACTGAAAGTTACTGTACAGGTGAAAAAGAAAGTCACACGATGAGAAAATTAAACCAACAGTTTTTGATGTTGATGCCAACAAAATCCTGAAGCTTTAGCTAAAACATTAACTATATTATAAAGCTACCAAGCAGTACCTGTATCACCAGCCTGTAGCATCATGGACTGTATGCAAGGAGTGACACCTTCTAAGACATACATTCTACTGTTGTTATTAGGCCAATATCTGAACTGGAACGTCCACTCCTTACCCTTCACATCTTGGATTTTCAAAGGAATGCCTTCAGATTGACTAATTGGAGGAAAATATGCCTATATACCAACCATGCCAATAAAGTCAATAAGTCTCCAAGATAAAGAAACACGAGAAAAAAGAGAAGATAACACCATATATATTGGAAAATACCTCTGCACAGGCTTTTGGAAGAACTAGTCGACCAATGCGACCAGCATCACTGGCACTCAGAGTTTTCTCAAAAAGAGGTACAATGTTCAAATTCAAGCTAAGTATTGTTAAGATAAACATAGAGTCACCAGAAGTCTGTTATTTGGCAAAAATCACCAGAAAAAGATATTGAAAGCAAAGAAGAGGCAAATAAAAAGGATACTTTCCCGAGATTTGCTGAACCTCTTTATCTGTATATTTTGGCCAATACCTCGGAAGTAAATGGCCTTTCCCTCGCCCTTCGACAGGAGGCCTTCCAATCCTCGCCTGAGCAGATTTACTAGCCACGGGAGGAGTTGACATAGCAGGTTTTGATGGCTTTTGCAGAATGTTGGAGGCAGAGCAATGGACCATGTTTGACTGAGAAGCACCAATGTGTTTCTTTCCCTCGATACCCTCGGTTGAAAAAGATGGGCTATATGGAAGTACTGACAAACCCATGTTCAAAGATGGCTGTGCCGGTGACGATTCATGCATTTCCACAGCATCTAGCCTAAATCCAGTGTTGGTATTTTCTGAACTCATAAGATTACCAAACCCACGATGAGGTATGAACTCCTCTCTTTTATCCCCACCCATGACTAATGGCTGAGACTCACATCTCTGGGGTTGAGAAAAGAGATCAGCTTCGTTTCTTCCTCCTTCAATATTCATCCCACTTTCGCCATTTACATATTGCCTATCAGCTAACGATTTCATTGGCAATCTGCTAAACACACCTGGATTCTCACCACTATTGTTCTGCAAAGACATTAAGGTCAAGACAGAATCATTAGAACAACAACTTGAATATACTGGAAAGCGCGGAGGCTAGTCAAAACTCACGAAATTGAGTTTCTGGCGGCAAGCACAAGTACTACAACCAACACCACCATAGTCCATAAGCTCAATCATGACCTTAGAAGCAATGCATCCACAATGTAGTTTCTGTCAATTGCAGAATCTCAATCAGAACAACAAACATTGCAGACAAATAAAAAAACTAAACTATATATAGAAAAAAATCAAAACATAATCCATATAGTTTCAAAAAAAAAACGCACCTTGTTGCACAAATAGCATTCCCTCCAACCAGATTGGTCCTTATGGAATTTTTCACAGAACGTAGAACTCTCATATACAGATCTATAAGAAAATTCATTTACAACGACCAATCAAATCATCTCCTCTCAAAAAAAATTTCCTTTTTTGTACCAAAGTCACATACTTTGTGCTATTTATAGATGTAAAGAGTCAAGCTTTGCAGTAAAAAAACCCATCTACGTAAAACCAATAGTGACGAACAGAGGAATCAAGAAGAGGGTCACGAAAAGATGGAGACTTTGAGTAAAAAATGGAACAAATTTGGAGTTTTGAATACGAAATTAGAGAGATTGAGATTGAGAGATACCCGCAACGCTGACAGAGATCAGCAAGGAGACCAGATCGAAGAGGCCAACCTTTCTTCCATTCAACAGAGGAGGTCGTACCACATGAAGCGTTCATGCACATCTTTGACCCCATTTTGACTTCAAACATCACAAACCCACCTCGATTTTCGAATCCCAATCCCAAAATCTTAAAACCCTAAGTCACCACGAAGAGCTACAACAACGAATCGGAGATGAAATCGACGTGAATTGGTGAAATCGATGAAATTGAAAAGATTAGACTTTAGTCATGAACATGCATCGACGTTGATGGGTCGAAATCGAAGCCATGTAGAGAGAGAGATCAGAGGATTGTGGAGAAAGGAGTGTGAAAACACCGGCGGGAATAGAAAAAAGAGAAGATTTTTGACGGCGAATTGAAGAGGAAGAAGAGGACTGTAACGGCGAAGAAGAAGGCAACGAGGTTTTTTTCTATTTTTTGGTGTGATTTTGTTTATATTTTATAGTTTTTTTTTAATTTTTCGATGTGAAATTAAAATTATGGGTGAGATAGAGAGAGAGAGAGAAGAAGAGGAAGAGGAAGAGAGAGAGCATGCAAAGAGAAGAGAACAAACGAAACGCATAAAATGCATGCACGACAACTTTGAGAAAGACTTCGAAAGACACCAAAAAGTTACAACGAAGACTCTCGCAGAAGATGAGATTGAGAAGAGACACGAAGTGAAAGACTTTGGTTTTTTTTTTTTCTTAATGTGTTTGTATTAAGATTCTTTTTAATTGATTTATATAGGCATGAATATATTTTTAGGGTTGGTAGGATTCATATATTTTGGAAATAAGAGCATATGATGACGTAATTTTAATATTTGGTTATAATGTATTCAACTCTATATATTTAGGTATTTTACTTTTATACAATTTGGATATTAATATTTCTATTAGTGGGTTTTTATTTTTGTTTTGCAAATCATAAATATATAGAATGCATGCATGACACTTGAACACACATGCACACAAAATACTTGAGGTTATTATTTTCTCTTGATTTGTTATTCTTAAATACTCTTTTAAGAAATCAAATTTTGCATTTGTATCCGGTCTATGTGATTGACTCAAATATTTTGAGGCCATTAGGAATGAGATCATTAGAAAGATTTTGCCTTCTCTATGGTCAGATTTGGAGGTACATTTAGTGAAATTTTCTCTACATTCATAACCAAGGCACAATTTAGTATGGATATATTTATGAGTCTGGAAAGACTTCGGGACTCTTTAAGAAAACTTGTGATTAAGAAAATGCATTACAAGGTTGACAAAAAAAAAAATGCATTACAATTTATTACATATTTCATTAATATTGTATAGAATATGAAATTTCAAAACATATTTTTTATAACCAGATAATAAGTTTCAAAAAAATAATACTACGTATTTTGTACTTATTCGATATAAAATTTACTATAGAAATTTTTGATCGCATACATGATACATGATACATGTATAGTTGAATAGTATACATATATGTCATTCTCTGTATCTGTACTTCAACCAAATTTGATACCATAAAATTTAGAGAAGACTAAAACCGCTGGATAATCATGGATCGACGATTAATATTGGATGTTTCGAATAACACGTATGATATAGATAGATATATATATTCTTAAATACAGTAAAACCTCTATAAATTAATACTCGATAAATTAATAATCTCTATAAATTAATAAATTTCTCCGGTCCCAAGTTGGGACCAGTGTAATTTTAGACATATTTCGATAAAATAATAAGATAATAAATTTTTTGAAAATCCTTTGTAAATATATGGTCCCATCAATATTATAAATTAATAATTAGGTAAAATTTTCAAAATATATGTATATATAGACACATTAGTTTTTGTTAGATTTTATTTCTAATATTTTACTATATGAAAAATAGTTAGCATTCTCTTTTAATACATAATAATTATTGTTTTATTTGTAATTGATTATATAAAATGTTAATTATCATGATTAAATCTTATTTTTAAATATTGTTTTGAAAATATTTTCCAAATTAGGAATATCTCTCTATAAATTAATAATTATTAATTTATCGATAAATTAATATCTCTATAAATTAATAGATTTTCATGGTCCCAACATTATTAATTTATAGAGGTTTTACTGTATAATACTAAGTTAAAAACATACGAAAAGGGGGAAAATATATCACTTTTACATAAACTGAAATTCATCTCCTAAATATTGTCTGTCAAATTTTTTTGTTAAAGTAACACTCCACACAAATTAAATGATTTGCTGTTAGGAAATTAATATCATGTGCCATTTTGCTATAATTTAACATACAGTACCATGGTCCATGGTATTTATGTAAATTATGCTCATGATAAACATAATTATAAATATTCACACGATTAAATATAAAGATGTTATTTTATTATGCATGTAACTGTAGGATTTTTTTCTTCTTTTTTTTTTGTTGAACCACAATATATTGCGGTCCATTAGCCAAATTCATATGTTTATTAAAGAGCGGGACTCGATTCATGACATAATAATGCATATAATTGTAGATTAAATATGTCTAGTTACATTAAAATATATTAGATTATATACAAGGAAAGAATATATTTAATATTTACTCATGCATACTATATACTCACTTCTTATTTTCCATTGAAATCTCTAATCTTTTAATAATCTAGTTAACTCAAAATTAAGATCTAACAATGATACCATATCTTTTGAAATCGCTATGTTTTTGGGTGGAAAACTTCTACTATAAAACGAGCTATTAAGTATTACGTCTGTTTCAGCCCTCTTTGACCTTGTAGGCTTTGTAACTATTGAAATGAGTAACTTCTCATTTACCCTTTATTATAAGTCGGTGAAAAACGTCACCTTCTCTTAAAAAAAAGAAAAAAAAAAAAGCTATATTCGTTATTTTCATTATGTAATTATGGAATTTTCTGGTTGACAGCAAAATAATATATAGACGTTTCCCCTTTTTTGGATTTATCCATATAATTATAAATGGCAACTGTATTTGATTTTACCATGCACAAGAGATAATCATCATCAACTTAGGGCCACTTTCCCCTTATCTTTATATTTAATAGTTTCTTTTGCTACACAGTTTAATCCCATGAAACTGACATTGGGTAAATCCTGAACCACTAGATTTAATACAACTTGATTATAATCTCAAACTCAATCCTGTATAATTCATTTTCACGTATGAAAAGGAGGAAGAAAAAAACACGTATGAACTACTTTTTTTATTTCACTTTGCGTGTTTTCATATTATATACTGACATTTTGACTGGCACCGATAATATGATGATTTTCAAGTTTCGAATATTATAGGCTGTTTAAAAGAAATACTAATGTTATAGGTTGTTAAAATTTAAAGTTCACAACAAATATAGATCAGCATAACCTATGAAAAAATATATAAAATGTATATTTGAATCTAGACTTATACATCCAATCCAATGATTAGTTTGAATTACGTACATATCTAATACAAATGATCAAGTACTAAAATTCTCGAGTTTGATATGATTAACCTTTTTTTAATATCTTTTGGCCATGTGAATCCTCTTATTAAGAGTAGTTGTCATCAAGCGAGCGATGATGGCTAACGTAACAAGTATCAATCTCGTACTACACATGTTGCACGCACATGAGTAACAAACAGCCGCAATATTTCTTGATTCATTTCGTTAAAAACAAAACAAAATAATCAATAAGACCTATACCATATTCTTTTTTGACATCCCCAGACCGAAGCAGGTTTAAAATTACTTTGTTGTCATTGGTATTCAAACTCGTATTAGATGATGAGACCAACTAGTTTACATATATACATCCATAACAATGTCTTCTTTTTAGGATATATACTGAGAAATTAACAATTTAGTTAGAATATTTCATACCCAAAAAAATAAAAAACAATTTAGTTAGAATGTTTTTAAAAGTGTATTTTTAACATGCAAATGACTTTTTAGGACGGCATGTAAGAAATAGAATCAACTGATAGAAACTGCAATAATGCATGATACACACACCCAGCTGTAATTGGGGCTCACGTTCCCATCCCCAGCTTGCAATTGACATTTTTTTACATAACTTATTAATAAAAACTATAGTTTATAATACTAATATCAAGGAATCTCATTAGCCCACATATCATTAAAGTACATGCAACATTGACAACATCAACAAAAAAAACAACTATAAACTTAGATAACACTTTTATAGAAAAAGTAAGCGTTATGAACTTTCTTTACTCCAAAATCCAGTATGTTGATAGAAAAATATGTCATATATAAGCATATAGATTCTTGTGAGTAAGTAAAACAAAATCAACGACACGTTTTAATGTTATAGGATTTCATTTCGAACCTTTAAAATAGATAGAAATATTAAAAAGTCGCGATACACACTGCACAAACATGTCTACCTAAAATTGGTCAAAACATGTTTTACGTGATTATATTTCCTTCATGAACTATTGACACACAAAAACGTCTCAAATAGCGATATACAGAACGTGGGTAGGGTAGTTGACAAACACGGTTGCATGTAAAGGTAGGTACAAAGGCTATATATGGACAACATGATATGGTTGATTTTTTATATCTGTGTGCATGCTCAATGAAAATTATATACCAAGAATGGTAACATTTCTTTATATAAGCCCATGAAGCAGATGGAATTTGGAATTCAGATTTGGTGATAGCTAGAACCAAAGATTGGATATGAATATACGTACCTAAGTTTTTAAAGAGTCAAGGAGCAATGCTTTGTTAAAACAAACGAGTTGAAGTGTGCGTCTTTCCAGCATTATCATTTGTTGGAACGAGTCTCTACTTGTCTTTTCTCCTGATTCTTTCTCATGTTAGCTTGTTATACTAAAAATAAACAAGTAATCCCAGGAAACATAATTCAGTTTACCTCTGTTTCCTTGATGCTTAGCTTCCGTGACTTCCTTGTTCGGGTTACATCTAACAACAGTTTCCATGTGTCAGGAGAATTGGGATTTAACTTATGGAATTTTGGTATTTGAAAGAGCAACAAATTGTAAGAGAAGTGTGTGATACTGTTCACCGTACATACTCATTTTCGTCTGAGAGGCTCTTTGCAATGGATGATGAGGTCTCATCTCCCTGATTTTTTGGGTCATTCACTTCTCTGCTTTGCTCATTATCGTTCTCTGATAACGTGTCATTCTCAAAACCGCATGTGTCTCCTGCTAGTTTTGATTTACGGTTTGCTGATAAACAGTTTACATAGTCGTCTTCATCATCATTATCTCCAGTGCCTCCTACTGAAAACTTGGGAACCCATGTTTCCGGAATAGAATCAGGGGCACGAGATGGACGCCAGTGCGAGCTACCAAGCTCAGGGTTTAGAAAAGGATATGGCTTGTCCCTCTCACTTGTAGTATCTGTGACAGAAGTTAATTCAGGAATTTACATCTGAGAGATCGCCAAGATATTAATTATGTTATAGTTCTGAAACCAGATCCAAATCTCAAATGGATTGTCTATGGTTCTAAGAGATTTCTGCACCGTAGCTTGGGGAAAGATGATGAACAAAGCCATTGAAGATTTTTCTGATAACAAAGTAAAGGCAAACCTGAACTTATGGCTGCAGATGTAAATCCTTCTGCAAACCAATTGTAAGACGCATCTTGACCACCTTCTCTCTGACTGGTAGATTTTAACTTCCCTGGATTTGATAGTCTAACCTGCTTTCCAGACCCAACTTTTCTCTTCATATGTTGATCATCCACATCCCAATCTTCACATGATTCTTGGAAAAGGTTATTATTCAGATACTTCGTGTCTCCAAGGTTGCGAAACGAATTAGTTTCCCTTTTCTTTTGTCTTGCTTTAGCCTCAAACTGTGAACCATGGGTTTCACTGGTCCAAACTGACAACATTATGGAGCAGTGACGTTTCAGTACTAAGAAAACCAAATGCTTGCAAAATCAAACATTTGTGTACCCAAGAATTCTTCAGAAAAATCAATACCTGCACTAGATGAGCAAGATTCTTCGCTGTTAGGAAAAGTGAAATGGCGTCAGGTTTGCAATTCATTCTATATAAAGCATATGAAATAACAATCAGAAAGAGACATGAAAAGTCTTACCTACGCAAACTAAGACTGTCTTTATCTTCCTCAGGTACAATGGACGACCAAACCGGTTGGTCAAAGTCATTGTCAAAATCAAAGTCAGGGGGTTTGAAATAACTGGATGTTATTGAAAAGTTCAGTCAGCGTGAGTTAAAAAATGACTTGATGCAATTTAAGGAATTGACTTACGCTGCCTTAGTGAAACTTGGATGATCGATATTCCTTTCTCGAAGATGTGATCTTCGAGTTGGTGAATCTGATATACGGAAAATTAAAGGAATTACCAAATAAATAGGCCAAAACCCAGTAAGCCTAACATAAATGTAGATACATATCTCTCCAACTCATACACGAACAATAGATGAAGCTAAGAGATACTGAAAGAAACAATGAGTCAATGAACTTCCAAAAGACATATGCTTAGATAAGTTATTTTATGAATACAACTTATAAGGTCAGATGAAAGTTCTTTGATAAAAGCATATATGCAGATAGCCGTTATTCCTAATTTAGTTGAACTAAACCCACCTCTAATGTTGGACCTCCAGGTTGATTCCAGGTAATCCCTATAGCACAAAGACTGTCAATGTCAAGAGGCATAGTATCAACATTATGAAGTGACAAAATTAGAGTTTTTTGAAGAGCACCTCTTCTTTTTCCTGTGGTATTCTCCAGAAGAGCGAGTCTCAGTGTAATCCTTGCCATATTTCCAGAAATCAGAGTTCAAACTTTCCTTTTCGCATGGCTGTTCACCCTTCCAGTAAAAACCATTTTCCCCGTCATCAAGAAAGGCAGACTTAGCTGGTGAATTAAGAAGAAACTAGATTTAAACATTTTGTTATTTGATCTCACAAGGAAAGAAAGAAACATGTGCACATATGATCTTAGAACAGAAAGATTCCCTATAGTTCATTTCACATAACAGGAAATTGCGTTCATTTCATTTTATACTAGAAATATTCATTAAGAAGTGTCATGCTACTTTGATCAAGTCATGTTTAATGTAAATTGCAGACGCTGATGGGTTGTGACCGACTAAGAGAAGATATAGAAAATGCATGAAAAATAAGGGCTGCATAGATGGTGAGTTGTGCATGACACGAAAACGAAACCCTTTGCATATGAAATTACCATTCCACTCATCATCTGAAAACCTGCTGTTGTTGTAATCTGCAACATCAGAGAAGTAACTTCTTGAGTCGCTAAATTGATTTTGAAAGTGATCACTGAACGTGAGCAGTTTTTGCTTTCTTTCCCCCTCTTCAGCATGTATAGCAATGGGGGACCTATAACGGCTGTCATCTTGGAACATTTTGCTACTTTCAATAATTGTGTCCTGTAAGGAGGAGATGAAATTATTGGGTCTGGTCAACAAGTTAGAAACGAAAAGAAGACAGAGAAGATAAGATGACAAAATTTCTTACCACTTCCTTCTCAAAGTCGTTGAGCCTTTCCCTGACCTTCAATGTGTCTTGTTGACCAGTATCCTTCCATGGAGAGGAGTACCGGTACGCAAAGGTTCTTTCATTTTACAAGTTGACAGAATTACTGATCATAAACAAAAATAAGTGCCAAAACAACAACCAATCGTAAAAGTTGCCCACCTGTCTGATGGATGTGGAGAATTAACAGGAGTTTTCGTGTTTATTTGACCTAATCCTGAATGGAGAAAGTAAGAATCACAAGAGAAAGACACAGTAGGATATCTCGTCTTAAAGATTGATCATAATGTAGGTAAACATTTTAAGTTAAACTTTCCCCACCTTCAACTGAAAATGCCATATGAGCCTCAGACTGAGAACAGTCTTTCTGGTTGGTTGTTGTATGATCATCACCAACCAGATCAAAGACAGATAACTCTGAAAAAGATCATAATGTCCATATCAACTAAAAATTTGATACTTGCATATGGCGAAAATTTGAATAAGCATAAAGTGGAAAGTGATTGGGAAGTCAAACAAGAATGAAGAGACTTGTCTAGATGCTATAGATGTTAACTCTATGTAAAGAAGAATGAAAACAGAAAACAGTAAACAGTAAACCTTTCTACGTTCTAGATATAAACACATTAGTCAATGTTAAGTTATAGTAATTACTTACTCCGCTCTGTGCCATCCATCAGATCGAGGGTGGTGTTTGCTTTCTTGAGATCATTTGCCTGTTTGTCAGCAAGACTAAACGAATTCTTACAAGACAGTGAATCATCCATCAGATCTTTTGTGGTGTTTGCTTTCTTGAAATCTTTTGTCTGGTTGTCAGGAAGACTAAATAAAGTCCTGTAAGACAGTGAAGCATCAAAATTTCTATAAGGTGTGCAGTTCCATTAGCAAAATAAACAAGAGGGTATATATGCTGAGAAGGAAAATTTGAGCAGTCACATTATATGAAAGCAAAACAAAGAAAACTGACTTGCCTCTTCGAGGAAGTAGGTTCTGCTTTATGGTTTAATGAACTTCCTGCATTACCACACATAACATGAGCAGAAGTAGAGAAGATTTATAGATCCATGATTTTGGAGACCTTACCTAGTCCTACTCCGGATGTGTTGTCATTCAAGTTGTAGAAATCAGCATCCAGATCTTCCATTCCTTTTTCCATTTACAAGTGACAACACAAACAGGAAGAAAGCAAAATGGAATTATATGTCATGGTCCCAAACTCCCAGCAATAATGCAAATAAAGGGTCCATAAAACTGACTCCAATCATGAGGGAAACTATAAACCACACTCAGAACGATGCTGGAAGCACTAACAACATATATACTTACCACCTTTTGGACAAGCAGGTTTGCATTCAGGAGTAGCGGTTGACAAGTTGTGCAAATTCAGAATATCCAGAGAGTGTTGTTCTCTTGGGTGTTGATTACTATTGTTTGTATCATTAGTACAGCTCTCAGACCCAACTGTGAGCTGCTGATGCTGGTGCTGTCTCCTCTGCTCAAAGTATTGCTTTTGCCTTCAGTGTCAACAAAGATAAAAATTAAAAATGTGTGCACTAGATGTCTAATGTCTACGAAAACATCAATGGGAACCATGCATTGAAAAATTTCTCATAACAGAGAGAGAAAGGAATTACACACCTCTTCCTCACTGACGTGTGTGACTGAATGCCCCAAGAGGTCCCCATAAAACGATAACAAGTAAGATTTTAAACAAATTCTAAGCTAACTAATTAAGCAATCATCTTAACACAATTTATAAAAGGAAAAAGTAAAAGTCACTCACAGCGGTCACTTTCCTCCTCGATCCTCCCATCCATTGCAGCATTCTTAGAGGTTGTTTCTTAGGATCCCGATAGGTAAAGCATTCACTAGCTCCGTAATTTAACACTCAATTGACCACAAATTTGACTCAATCGCTGAAATTTCCAGCAGAAATGAAGATCTCAGCAATCACAAAACTATACTCCATTACAACTCAACCCAAGCTTCTTCAGGGGAGACAACTAAAAATCTAAAGTACTTCTAACCAGAAAATTGCATGCGAGATGAGCCTAATTGCTCTAATTTTAGGGTTTCTAAACTGTACGACTGCATACGGATCTAGAAATTAGAATTTCAACATCACCACTGATCGAGGCAACGATTCCATAGTTCGGTTTTGTTTCATGAACATTACGAAATTAAGATCATATCCCTAAAGAAATGGAGAATCGAGAGAGAAGATAGAGAGATTACTTCGAAAATTCGAGGGGTTCTACAGTATCGGAGCTCAGAACCTGGAAACGATCTAGAAATCTGATAATTTCTTCTGTACAACGATGAAGACGATGATCTTTGATCAAATATGCAGCAGGAGAACAAATCAAAGACAATGCAGCGAACGTTCTTCTCAAATTTCGAAAAGTTTCTTAATGGAGCATTTGGTGTATTCGTTTCCCGCTGCGTAATCTCTGTGAATGAGCTCGACTATGATGGGCTTTAAATATGGGGCCTTATATATGGGCCTTATAAAGTCCATTAATCCATATTACTCGACTGTGAGGTCCCCCGTTAAAGAGATGATCATCAAACTCGAGCTCGAACCATTGAATTCATAAATTTACAAGTGATCTTTTAAACACAACTTGTATAGCGAGTTTTTTAACATGTTTACAAAGGAATTTGTTTCAAGTTAGAGGAACCTAGAAACCTCCAAATTAATGACTACAGTTCAACAATCATGAGAATTTGAATTTGATATAACATCGATGTCCATTTAAAACAATGGGCACCACTAAATTATTGCAATCGTAAAACGAGCCATTTTTAAAGACATTTTACACAAAACATCTCACAAAAGCAAAACATGGGAATATTCAACAGATTTCACAAACATCACTATAAAGTCATTTTGTTCCTTTGTTCTTTTGCAGAAAAGTTTAAAAGTTCCTTGGTTTCATAACGATCGTGGAGTGGTTAAGGATGTGCAAGCTGAATTGTCCACCTTTCTCAGAAGTATCAATCTTAGACTGTCCTGGAGGAGGAAGAAGCTCGAAGTTCTGGACCATCCTACCAATGGTGATTCCCAGAATAGGTAACGCCAATATAATCCCAGGACAGCTTCTACGGCCAACACCAAACGGCACATACCTGAAGTCATTGCCGTTCGCTTCCACGTGGGCTTCCTCTTCAAAGAACCTCTCTGGTCTAAATTCTTCAGGCTTCTTCCAGCTCTCGGGGTTGTTTGCAAGCCACCACGCGTTGACAAGGATTTTGCTCTCTGCTGGGATATCGTAGCCAGCGAGCTTAGCGTCGTGAAGGTTCATGTGAGGCACGAGAAGAGGAATCGCCATTCTTAGACGAAGTGTCTCCTTAACCACGGCTTGAAGGTATGGAAGCTTGTGAAGCTCAGGCTCAGTGACTTGCACACCTAGTCCAAGAACTGTGTCCATTTCGTTCCTTAGCTTGCTCTGGATTTCAGGATGGTTCACTAATTCCGCAATTCCCCACTCGATCGACCACAATGTTGTCTCGATAGCTGTTTCAACATAATTTCAAGAAATCAGCGTCACAAAACTGTACAAATACAATCTAGCCTATTCAGGGGAGGCAAATAACAATCCAGACGAGCCTAACTCCCTCTTATGGTTACAACTCCGAATTAATAGGAATCACTTAAAACACTAATGTCCAGTTTCGTTTCGTATGCAAGTAAGAGACGTCTAGAGGATTGATAACGTATCGTACAAGGAAGAAATAGTTACCAGCGACGTTGATGTTCTCAACAATGTACAGAACGTTGTCTTCGTTGATTTCTCCCTTCTGTTCAGCTTCAAGGATGTGATCAATGGCGCATTTCAATCCTTCACTGCCTGTAGGCTTGGAGCTCGCAATTTGCCTGTATGGATTCATCATCAATGTCAATATTCCGAAACCCCTGAGACCAAACTCAAAAGATAAAACGAAAACATAAACAAAAACTCACTTCCTCTCATCAACAAAGTATTTCTTGAAGAGAGCAATTCTTCGATCCTTGACATCTTGGCAAATCTTCAAATAACCTCTAAGGAAAGGTCTAAGGATAGGGATGAAATCACCATAGTTGTACTCAAAGCTCTGAGCTAAACGACTTCTCTCACCATTCAAAGCCTTAAGCCTAAGGAAAAGAGGATCATCCTCACTCTCGAACCTTCGATCGAACATGATACGGAACATATTGTTGTACATCATCAATTGCAAACGTTTCCTCAACACGATTCCTTTAGTAGCGGAATCTGGATTCTTCTTCACATCCTCAACAACACTCGCGGCTTCGAACTCCCAACCTTCACGATTCTGCTGCACAACCTTGTTAGTGAAGAACGGAACCGTCATGATCCTTCTCATCTTCCTCCAGTGCTCTCCGTAAACAGTGAAAACCATATCCTGACCTTTACCGGTGAAAATGTCGAAGACGACGTTTCTGGTTCTAGATCCGAACTCAACACCTTGTGTGTGGAGCACTTCCTTTGTTAGATTCGGGGAAGAGACGACGACTAGGTTACGCTGACCCATCCTGAGGAGGAAGAGATCGCCGAATTTCTTAGCGTAATCGACGAGATTACGGTGGTTGAGATCATCTCCGACTTGAAGCCAGTTTCCGAAGATGGGAATCGGCATAGGACCTGGAGGTAGCTTCAATTTCTTGCCGCGGAGCTTAGAAACAACCGTGGCGAGAACCACCGCCACGAAGACGGCGATTAGAGACTTCTCCAGTAAGAGAAGGTCCATCATAACAAATCAGCTCTCTCAGTTTTTGTTTATGCTCTCGAGTTTTTGAGTATATTAGAGTGATTGATTGAGACAAAATCGTCCGGCGAATTTGGATTGTGTAAATAGAAAAGCAGAAGAAGCTGCTGAGGAAGAAATGGTGAAGCGGAAGAGGGTTTTATAAGAGGGAGAGAGGTTTGGTTGGTTTGAGAAAATGAGAACCAACGGCAAAAAGAAAACGGCGTTAGGTACGGGAGAAGGAGTTGGTGAAAAATGATAAACGGCGTTAGATTTAACGGGATGGCTGTGTGTGTGTAGTGGTGTTGATGGATGGGGGTAGGTAAAGAAAGACCAACAAAGTTTTTTTTTGTTTTTTAAAGGTGTTTGGTGAAGGTAGGAGAGGAACTGAGGAAGAAGAGATGATTATATATATATTTTGTAATTAATAACATCAACTAAACTTCTCTTTTGTCTTTTCTATTTGAGTGTAATTAAGAAACAACTAAATATACAATTTAATTAACAAAAGTATTTGCTTAAAATAGTCATATAACATACCTTATACGAACTAGTACTAGTAGTATATATGATAACACTAATCTAAGACAAGAAACCACTTGCGGACGTTGACCGAGTGGTATGGTAGAACGAACGTTTTAAGATTAACAACAACGTCCATGTTCTTATTCTTACGAGACTCCCTTACCAAATGAATGATTGATATACGTGTGTGTGTGTGTAAACTATAATCTTCGTACTTTGGACATGTCTTAATAAAAATATAAGAACGAGTCAACTTTAACGTTAAAACACATAAAGCAACAAAAACGAATTTTGGATGCACGTTTAATAAAGTTTACATCGGTTTGATTGACTAAATTAAGGTTTGTCTTAATGGATTCCAAAACAGCTTGTTCTGGTTACAAGTAAACTGTGTGCCAAATTTTGTTGAATGTATAATATAATAAGTTATATAATTGTCGGAAGGCTTTACCTTTTTGGAGAAAACAAAGAATATCAAGATAGCACTAAAGGAGATTGATGAACTCTTAAGAAGAGCTTTAGAGTTATCATCCCATATATGGAGACAATTTTGTAAACTAATAGACATCTAATTATAAAGAAGATGAAAAGTACTACTGGAGACAAAAAAAAAAAAAAGTAAAAAGAATCATAGGTTTTGTATGACTGAAAGAGGAAACCCGAAAATTCAAAAAAAAAAAAAA